TAAACGACATGCAAGATTATTTAAAGTGTAAACTACATGCCAGATTATTTAAAGAGTAGACTACATGCAAGATTATTTTAAGTGTAAACTACATGCCAGATTATTGAAAATGTAAACTACATGCAAGATTATTTAAAGTGTAAACTACATGCCAGAATATTTAAAGTGTAAACTACATGCCAGATTATTTAAAGTGTAAACTACATGCCAGATTATTTAAAGTGTAAACTGCATGTCAGATTATTTAAAGTGTAAACTACATGCAAGATTATTTAAAGTGTAAACTACATGCCAAATTATTAAAGTGTAAACTACATGCCAGATTATTTAAAGTGTAAACTACATGCAAGATTATTTAAAGTGTAAACTACATGTCAAATTATTAAAGTGTAAACTACATGCCAGATTATTTAAAGTGTAAACTACATGCCAAATTATTAAAGTGTAAACTACATGCCAGATTATTTAAAGTGTAAACTACATGCAAGATTATTTAAAGTGTAAACTACATGCCAAATTATTAAAGTGTAAACTACATGCCAGATTATTTAAAGTGTAAACTACATGCCAGATTATTTAAAGTGTAAACTACATGCAAGATTATTTAAAGTGTAAACTACATGCCAGATTATTTAAAGTGTATACTACATGCCAGATTATTTAAAGTGTAAACTACATGCCAGATTATTTAAAGTGTAAACTACATGTCAGATTATTTTTTCCTGATTCCAATCTCCGTTCTACAATTTTTAGATTTTAAATTAGAACTCAGTGACATCTTATAATTATAAGGTTGAAGTAACTACATGATAAATTGTATAAATCCGTTGGTAAATCAGCAGAATTAGATTAAGAAAATAGCGATTTGTCTATTTGGAGAAATCTTAATTGCAAAATCTTCATTTATAAAGAAAAGCGTGAGAAAGACATTGCAAAGAGAGAATTACAAATGATTAATTGGATGTAACATTATTTTATTAATTGGACAGAACATTTTCTCCCAATTGTTTCGTATTAAGGTCTGTAACTGAATGTTCTATGTCAACCATTCTGTAGAATTGTTCTCCAGTGTAGCTACAAACTGAACTTTTTCTGATAATATATTAACTATCAATGATTTTGTAAACAATTGTAAACCAGTAGGGTTACAGGCATAACAGTCAGTTCAAGAAATAGAGACTCTCCTATATTAGGCCAATATAATAGGCCCTCGGGCAAATATATTATATTTGCCTTGGGATAATCCCAATATCCTGAACCTCATATAGGATAATCTCTATTTATGCAATGTGAAAAATGTGTATCTCCCTCAGTTCCTGTGGAGGTATATATATCATGAGTATTTAACCTTGTATCCCAGTATATTATTTTATATACAGTAAAACTTGTGTATAGTGAACATTTTTTTGCCAAGAAAAAACGTTCACTGTAGGAAGGTGTTCACTAGAGAGAGGGTAATTTATACATAAGTCAGTGGACTATGTGCGTAGGAAGGGTGTCCACTAGGGACAGGTGTTCACTAGAGAGAGGTGTTCACTAAGACAGGTTTTACTGTACTGGTTATTTGATGTTGAATGTTAATTAGAATTAATTTAATGAATCCCCAAATGACCAATATTTATAGTACATTACACTTGTATGCCTAAACATTGAATCAATCATGGGGTAATTCACATTCATGCTAAGTGAACATCAATCTATTTCCCAGATTTACAAAATTGAGAGGCTTTAGCACAGAATAACCGATTTTTGAATATATTGAGGATACTCAGGTTGGGTGTGTTTTGATTGTTTATAGGGATCTCAATTATTTCAAGTCATTTTAATGTTGCCCTTTATGCTTTCAAATTTTACAATGATGTAAGCATAAATCAACTTGGAATTTAAAAAAAAAAGATTTTAAATACATGTATCATCGTGTTTCTTGGAGTTTTTGGATGAGGAGATGAGGAAGAATTTGTGATGGATTGCAAGTGGCCCTTTTGGTGTAAAAATAGACCTCTTAGAATGACTCCAATCTTACTTACAATCAGCTAATCCTGTTATACATTGCCTTGAAACAAAATTAACACAAAATGAGAATCATTGATTCATGTCTCTCTTACAGAAAAAGAGTGCAATGCATTTGTTGCAGAAGTAAAATGAAGATAAAATACAATGGAAAGTATAGAAATGTCAGCAATGTGTGTGAAAAAAGATTGAAGCACAAGAACCTATATCCATTATGCAATAATGCATGTGTTTACTCGCATGGCATAGCTAAACTCATTCTGTGAGCTCGTGTTTAACTACAGACATAATATGCACTTGATGCATTGTCTCTTGTCTCTTTTGTTGAGATTAAATATGTATTTGTACTTCTCTTGTTTTTATAGAGCTATGTCTACAATGCTTGGTTTCAAAGTTAATTGATGATGATATTAAGTCTAAGCTGGAATCTTTTCAGCAATAAACCACAATTTTACATTCATTGTAAAACATTTTTCATATAAAAGACTGCCTCATAATTCATAAAATGAATCAATAACAGTCTCCTTGAGAGACTGGCATCTCCTTTAAAAAATATATGTATATTAATTAAGCCATGTATTTTGCTTTCAATACATATTTAGATAAAATATCAAGTTTTCTAGCATTTCTCTATGACTTAGAGCGTGAAATAAATGCTTTCAAATTTATTTCTTGCATACTCCATTTTTATGTCACTACACGACCAGAAGTGGTGATAAATTATTATAATCTCCAACTTCTTTTGGACAGTGTTCGTTGTTTTGGTGTTTGATATCTGACAGTCAGAGTTTGATATCTGTAACAATTTGCAATAACTTAAAAGGATTTTTATTGGTTATTTATTTCCTTCATATCATTAACATTACATCATACAAATTATTTACAGTAGATACCCCAGATAGATATATATACTGGTTCATTAAACATAAATTGAAAATAAAAATAACGCAAATAAATAAATAAGAGCACATTAACAGATGTTGAGGAAAAGCATAGGTTGTGAAAAAAGAATTTTTTTGTCAAGTCCATGCCTTGTCCCTCTCTGTTTTGAATCCATGGGTGAATATTGATATCTTCATGAGTGAGCGCAGCGAATGAGTGAAAATATTGATATCCATGAGTGAATATAATTGATATTTTTGAAAACAAATTAAAAAAATGTTAAGAATTCTTTTTAGGAATGTGAAAAAAAAGTTGAAAAAAACAATTTTTGAAAGTTAAGAAAAATACAAATTATTAAAAGAAAATTTTGAAATTTTTTTTTCTTGCCCTGAGGAATTTATCTTGTTAGTCATACTGCTTCATTGGAGAAGTTCTCTTGTGGGTTATACTGTCTCATGGGAGAAATTCTCCTTTGGGAGTACTGTCTCACCAATATATCGGGTGTCCCAAAAAAAATGAGACACTTTTTGCCAAGTATTTTCTCGGCAACTGATAAACCAAATTTTTTGAAAATGTGTACAAAGTAGCCCTAGAGAATCGTTAAGAAGGTACAGAAATATGACAAAGATCAGATAAATGTTATGTGAGAACTAAGAAATTCAAGATAGCATGTCAAAATGTCCCATACCGGAGAAAAACAATGAGAATTTTCATCGCGTTTGTACCAAAAATTGGAAGAATTGACAAGTGATTTCTCAGCAATGGATAAGTAAAATTATTTGAAAACTGTACTTGAGAAACTTTAGGGTATCTTCTGCTCATGCTATGAATATGTAAGGGATTGGTTTCATAATTATGTGTGTATTGTTGGATTAAAAACAGTATGTAAAAATAACCAATATCGATGTAAATCTCACTTATTAATCCTTTTCATGCAAAATACCATTCCGTATTTATTCTAACAATATCACCTCCAATGAATTTTGAGAATGAATGGATTTTGGATATTTGGGAAGAATGAAATGAATTAAGTAGACATGACACACAGACAAGCTATTTTGACTTATTTACAAATGCTATGACCTGATAGTTGGTACAAACACTATAGAGGTCTCATCGCAGACTTCCTGTATGGGGATTTTTGACATGCTATATTGAATCTCTTAATACTCGCAGAATATTTACTTGATCTTTTTTTCTATTTGTACAACTTGCTAATGATACTCTCAGGCTAATTTGTACAAATTATCAGTGAATTTGGTCAATTAGTTGCCGAGAAAATACTTGGCAAAAAGTGTCTCATTTTTTTGGGACACCCGATATAATAAATAACTTAAGACTAATAAGAGCGCCAGTATAATATCCTGGGAACCCTAAACTTAACTTTTTAGGACACAAATTCAAACTCTTGAAAAGACCAAGTGTGTAATTTTTTGGTCTTTGGGATGTTCTCACATCGTCCACACAAAAGTGATTCTATTTCGATACAATTATGAATTTCCCAAAGTAGGACTCTTACTTAATATTATGACTAATTCTGCAAGTGGCATTTAATGTAATGGTTTTTCAAATAATTATGAGACCAATTTATAAAAATGTGTTACAGATAGTAGTTTTAAATGCCATGTTGTATGAGGTTTTTTGAAATTATACGTGCCTAGAAAAAATTATTATTAATTGATGTTTTAATTTCTTTTATATTGAAATTGATGATGGTCCTCCAGTGGAAGATATTACCCAGAATTCATATGTGTCACTTTTCTTTGTTGATTTATTTCCTTAATTCATTTACAAAACTTAAATCATCCACCTCCAAAACAATCACCTCATTCCTGTTTCTTAAAGTATGTTTTGGAGAATTTTTGTGAAGATATTGAAAGTGTTGGGATTGATATAAAAAGCAAACTACATATGTATTGTTTTCACAATTTCAAAATTTTACACAGCTTGTAAGCAGAGTAATTATTTGTGGCCACTTATAACTTACATGTGCTTTGTTCGTGTTAAGTAACTAGCTAGAAATTGTTTTAATTTTATTCCTGTAATTGTACATACATATAAAGACTGTCGTCTGCAAATTATTCAGTTGCATTATGGATGTTTTTCAGGATGCAATAACGTTATGTACACTGGGAAGTGGGTCAGCATTTGGAGAGTCAATCCTTAACGACACCCCACGACATGCAACTGTTGTTACCAGTGATTACTGTGAACTGCTGAGAGTGGAGCAAAAGGACTTCAGAACGCTTTGGGAGGTGAGTAATCATCGTTCATTGTTATCCCATCGAACGAAGTTCGGAGGGATATAGGGAACGCCTCCGTCCGTCCGTCCGTACGTACGTCCGTACGTACGTCTGTCCATCCGTCCGTCCGTCCGTCTGTCCGTCCGTCCGTCCGGGCAATAACTCAAATACCGTTGGCCAGATTTTGTTCATATTTTGTACACATTTACCTTATGGGGGTAGAAGTTCTGCTCGAAAGCCGATTTTCAAAATGGCCACTTATTTCAAAATGGCGGCCATTTTAGTGACGATTTTACAGTAATTTAGGTGCAATATGTAAAACTGTAATAGCAATATGTTTTAAATGTAAAAGAAATTATAAAGGACATTAATAATGCTACAAATGTAGATATTAAAAAGCACATGGCAGCCATCTTGAAAAATGGCGGCCTTTACTCGTCATTTTACGATTATTGCTGTAACTCTAAAAATAGTGGAGCGATTTTGTTCATATTTGGTGTGTGAATACTCTAAGCATTGCACACTGTCTAAAGACACTTTTGGTAGAAGGCGGCCATTTTGAAAAATGGCCGCCATTTTAACGTATTTTACTATAACTCGAAAAGTAGTGGAGCGTTTTTGTTCATATTTGGTATGTGAATACTATAAGCATGGCACACTGTCCTATGACACTTTTGGTAGAAGGCGGCCATTTTGAAAACAATTTTGAAAAATGGCCGCCATTTTAATGTATTTTACTATAACTCGAAAAGTAGTGGAGCGATTTTGTTCATATTTGGTATGTGAATACTATAAGCATGGCACACTGTCCTATGACACTTTTGGTAGAAGGCGGCCATTTTGAAAACAATTTTGAAAAATGGCCGCCATTTTAAAGTATTTTACTAATACTCGAAAAGTAGTAGAGCGATTTTGTTCATATTTGGTATGTGAATACTATAAGCATGGAACACCGTCTATTTCTAATGACGCTTTTGGTAGAAGGTGGCCATTTTAACATATTTTACTATAACTCGAAAAGTAGTGGAGCGATTTTGTTCATATTTGATATGTGAATACTTTAAGCATGGCACATTGTCTAATAAAACTTTGGGGAGTAGTTGGCCATTTTGAAAAATGGCCACCATTTTTACGTGTGTTATTTTACAAGTACGTGTGCGATTTTTCAAAAAAATTTAGAGGTGGCTACTTAAAAGCATTTTATTTCTTCTGATGACAACTTGGCTAGTGAGCAACCATTTTGAAAATGGTGGCCTTTCTGGTGTGTTGTTTTACGATATTTGCGCTTCATTTGTAAAAATGCCAGCCATTTCTGTTCGATGGGATTCGCTACGCTTTGGCGTTGCCGTTGTTCTGGTTTGTTTTGGTGTCTATTGTTAGCAGGATTTCAGCAGTCAGAGAAAAGGCAGGAAAACCTTTTAGACTAACCTGGAAAAGTCCATTCTGGTAAGCCATTGCTTTTCCACTTCTGTCTTACGATGTAACAGAGAGAGACGCTATTAGTATCAGAATGGGAAAAACCAGGGAATTTCAAAATGGCTTTCAGTAATAGTCAGGGAATTTTGAAATGGTAAAAAAAGTCTATACTTTTGGAAAGAAATAACCCCACTGTATCGCCTCTTGTTTTAATTTTCAGTTTGACTGGTATGGCCAGTACAGCATTATGTGAGTCAATGTTTAGAGACAGGCTGTAGGCTTTTATCATCCCATATAATGATTCTTAGGAAAATATCATCATGCCAAAATCAACATTTCTTTCCATATAACTTTTTATTACATATTGATTCCTTTCCCTAATGATACATAAAGCTTTCCTCGGTTAATTGTCTAAATTCCATAAATAATAATATTTTCAATAATTTTTTCCGCGGAATTATCGACAATGAATCAAAAAATGTAGTCATTGTGGTTTAATTTGAAATGTAAAATAAACTGGAAAGGAATTAAATCAAAAAATGAATTAAAATAAATTAAAAAGATGTAGTATATTTATTCAATACTTGTCCTCAATACTCAATAATTATACGATTCTGTGTTTTCTCGTATGAGAATGTCAGAAATTGACCCGAGAGAAACTCTAGGCATTTGTTAGAGTTGTTCACCTGCCATGCCATATTATACGTGCTGATTACAATGTACATGTCTAGCTAATTGATGGTTTTCCAAGATTGAGCAATATTTCAGAATTGTATAAGTGCAATTTGTGCGGCAATTTCCGCCTACTAAGTTGAGCAGGGCCACATAAGATTTCTCATTAAGATGTGTTCGTTAATTTGTTGTGACTGATAAGGCCAGCCAATTGACCTTAAATCTCTTAATTGTCTTCTAAGCCCCATAATTGTAAGCAATGGCGATTTAGGCCTAGTCAATTTAATTAATTAATTTGAGGTGAATGTTGAACGAATGTATAAGAATTGAACAAATAAACAAACAAAAGAACTTGTATTTTCTTGTATATAACTACTGTACATTTTTAAAAAATATATTTTGTCAAATGCATTTAAACATTAATATTCTTTATTTCAGAGAAATAAAAATTTGGTTGATGGAGTGCTGACACCTATACCTGGGTTACCAAATAAAGGTTAGTTCAAGACTCAAAAGAGAATGATTAGATGGTCATGATTGAAATGCAAAATAGAGTTGAAGAACATGAGTTGACACTTATAAAAAGTCAAATAGTTATTCAAAGCATGGGCTTTCAAGCCCATGTTCAAATAGAGGTATAGAAAACATTAAAATCAGAGTAGGTGCTTTACTGATAACCTTATATGAGACTTGACATTACATGTATATACATGTACATATTTTCTTGAGAATGTATAACATTTAAGATTTACTTTTAAAGAGTATGCCATCTATATAAAAAATAAGAATATTTATACCACTCTAAGTCCGATTACAGTTGTATAACATGGGTCTATAACAACGATATACAGTGGAGAGTGGTATATCGTCATAGTATACAACTCCTCCGTATACACTCCAGCGTATTCCACTGTAGAAGTGCATTCTGGGAACTAATGAATATTGACCGAAGAACGAGGTGTATGTTTTGTTACACATGATTTCCTAGAATCAAGTGACGTCATAAATGGTTCCCACATGATTTGCTAGAATCAAGTGACGTCATAAATGGATCGAGATCAACATCGGCATTACTGAGTTGGCTATGGGATATTTTTATGGTTTTTATAATTGTTATGATTGTGTTTGAATCAACTGTAATTGAACTAAGAGTGGCATAATAAGATTATATAATGGTTCATTCTGTATATCGTGCATTTTATACTCTCGTGAGAATATAATATATTCACTCGTTCGCTACTCTCACTTGTGAATATATTATATACTCACTCGAGTATAAACACGATATACAGAATGAACCATTATATAACCTCATAATATACAATATGTATGTCATACTATATTTGATAACTTATAGTTGAGTAATTCAATGTAGACACTTTCATCTTTAAGTGAAAGAAAACTGATACGAAAGAAAACTGATACGAATAAGAAAACATCTGATAGGAATAAGATTGCCCATATATAGATATAGACATAGATCCTGTGTAATAAAATCATTATTATTGGTAATATGAAAATTGAAAGTGAAATATGAGGCTCCATTAAATTTTATTAAAAAGTCAAATAGAGAAGTTGCATTTTCATCTCAGAGAATAAATGTGGTAGGCGTTTTGTGTTAAAAGTGCTCTGACTAGTGTTTTGCTCTGTTATGACAGATTTCCTAGAATTTTGAAGAGTTATATAAACTCGCCTTAATTTGTGTAAGAGCTGTTGGCGATGTATTCTTGGAATGCTAAATATATACCGTAGTGTTAATAAGGCTATTAGCTATTTGTCTCGTGATTACTGTCAAGTCTTCCCAGGTGTAGAAAAGGTTCATCTTGAATGATAAATAGATCAATTTTCATCTAATCTTCCCAAACTTAGAAATCATTTTCTCAAAGAAAATTCAAATTTTAAAGTTGATAAACAGTATTATATTTAAAACTTCATTCCATCACTAGATTCTGAATTTGTATGATTAAGATAAAGCTCAGTTTTAGAGCAATCCCAGGAAAGCGAGGGGTTGTGGGTTCGATCCCCACTGAGGTTGACTGATTTTTTTTACATTAAGCCCTTAGGACAGGATTTTATTCTGTGTTTTCATTAACCAATGTTATTCTCCTTATGGAGAATGGCCTGTGGGAAAGTCCAAGTGACATCATGAATAGAATGATTGACAACCTGGAAAGACATGGCTGCAATGCTATACATGTATATGTAATGTTGATGTGAAAAAGCCAATTGGTCCATTTACAGGGTGGTCCAAAAAAAGTGAACCCTTGCAACCGGCTATATTTCCCTTATTACCTGCAGGAATCCTTTCATAGTTTCACATCTTGAAGAGGAAGGTCTAAAATTTTTGTTGGTACTATACATTTTTCTTAGTATTGAAATTCGCAGAAATTATAAGCCCTAACGAAACATCACTGAAAATGGGTAAAATGTGAACTTCAATATCTGCGATTCTTCAACCCTTCAACAATCTTCTCATGGAAATCTTTTAAGCCAGAGTCTGGGAAACCTAATGTTTTCTGACTTTGTTTGGTTTTGATTCCTACACAATATGATGTAAAAATTAGCATCCTACCTCTGCTAGTTGCAAAGTTATTGTGATCAAAAGACATGTTCAATGTTTCCAAAGACGAGAACATCTTCCAGTGAAATCGCAAGTTCGCAACATAACCCTATATGGTCTTAAAATGTCAATATCATCATTAATCATGGACAAATTCTAATGAAATATGGCTCAAAACACTGTATGTTAGATTTCCTTTTGATTTTTGTAAGATTTTATATGAAGGGCTTCTCAGATTTTGGATCACACGGGGTAACTTTGCCCCCCTCTACCCGTTTGTGTAGGTAACAAGCCTCTAAACTGTTGAATGGTTAAAACAGCTTCAAAATGGTCAATAAAAGTGTGAAATGTGTTTTCTGCTCAAATAGTGTCCCATCTGTCATACGGTAGGGTTTAAACTTATAATCTCTCACTGAAAGCTTTTTTAAGATCATCTAATGTGTATCAAAAATTTCTGTCAATCACATTGGTAAATTTTGCACAAAATCTAATTTGAGGCATGTTTGTTTAAGTCTTGTAATTTCTTCAAAATTCAAGACTGAGAATAAATGATGGTGTCAACAAAAATTTTAGACCTTTCTCTACAAGATGTGATAATATGAGCAAATTCATGCATGTATTAAGGAAAATATAGCCTGTTGCAGGGGTTCACTTTTTTTGGACCACACTGTATATAATAGCTCAGTGGTAGAGCAATTGCCCAGAAAGCAAGGGGTCATGGGTTTGATCCACACTGGGGTGGACTGACTGTTTTCACATCACCCCTTAGCACAGGATTTCATTCTGTGTTTTCATTAACCAAGAAGAATTTTTCTACCCGGATCCTGTCTATTGTTGGTTATTCATTATTAGATCAAACATATTTTCTTCTGTAGAAAGTTAGTGCAAGGTGCTGAAATTATGTGTCTGTAAAACTTGAAAACCTGAGCAGTGCAATATTATTTTGAAAAATAAACATTCATACTTAAGTTGCAAGACGTTTGTATAATTATTTCAGATTAATTGTTGTAATCTTGTAAGTTAGGGAACTTTTTTGAAAATAACATCTCAGAGAAGCATCAAAATACAAGAGGCCACACAAATAGGACCTTCTTATTTGAACAAATTGCCTATTCACATAAGGTGCCCTAAAACAGTATCTATTATCAAAATATTAAGTTGTCAATTGTCGGCTACAGCAACACCTAAAATCTATCATGTACTTATTAAGAAGTGCCACTCTTTCCTGTTGTTACAAATATGAAACACTATTATGTCACCACCAAGAAGTGGTGACATATTGTTATGGTCTCCATTTTTTGTGGCGGTGGTTGGTGATTGGGTTGTTGGTAACAAATACTGTTTAGACTGACTTAAATTTTTTTCAAAATCAACTAAAAGTTCTCAAAAGTTCAATTCTGACTATAGATTTGACCTTCAATGACATTCTCAATTGGTGGTTGGAAGTTGGTGGTTGGCGATCGGTGTTTGGTGTCTAACAATTCTTAAAACTTCCATTAACTTAACAAATACTGTTAAGGCTGAGTTCAATTTTTCCCAAATCATCTTCAAGTTTTCAGAAGTTCATATCTGACTTGACATTTAAGATTTGACCTTCATTGATCTTTTCAAGGTCAAAAAAGGTTTAAAAGGTCTTTTAAACTTACTTCAAATTGACCAATTTCTTTTTCTAATGTGTATCAAAAATTTCTGTCAATCACATTGGTAAATTTTGCACAAAATCTAATTTGAGGCATGTTTGTTTAAGTCTTGTAATTTCTTCAAAATTCAAGACTGAGAATAAATGATGGTGTCAACAAAAATTTTAGACCTTTCTCTACAAGATGTGATAATATGAGCAAATTCATGCATGTATTAAGGAAAATATAGCCTGTTGCAGGGGTTCACTTTTTTTGGACCACACTGTATATAATAGCTCAGTGGTAGAGCAATTGCCCAGAAAGCAAGGGGTCATGGGTTTGATCCACACTGGGGTGGACTGACTTTTTTCACATCACCCCTTAGCACAGGATTTCATTCTGTGTTTTCATTAACCAAGAAGAATTTTTCTACCCGGATCCTGTCTATTGTTGGTTATTCATTATTAGATCAAACATATTTTCTTTCTGTAGAAAGTTAGTGCAAGGTGCTGAAATTATGTGTCTGTAAAACTTGAAAACCTGAGCAGTGCAATATTATTTTGAAAAATAAACATTCATACTTAAGTTGCAAGACGTTTGTATAATTATTTCAGATTAATTGTTGTAATCTTGTAAGTTAGGGAACTTTTTTGAAAATAACATCTCAGAGAAGCATCAAAATACAAGAGGCCACACAAATAGGACCTTCTTATTTGAACAAATTGCCTATTCACATAAGGTGCCCTAAAGCAGTATCTATTATCAAAATATTAAGTTGTCAATTGTCGGCTACAGCAACACCTAAAATCTATCATGTACTTATTAAGAAGTACCACTCTTTCCTGTTGTTACAAATATGAAACACTATTATGTCACCACCAAGAAGTGGTGACATATTGTTATGGTCTCCATTTTTTGTGGCGGTGGTTGGTGATTGGGTTGTTGGTAACAAATACTGTTTAGACTGACTTAAATTTTTTTCAAAATCAACTAAAAGTTCTCAAAAGTTCAATTCTGACTATAGATTTGACCTTCAATGACATTCTCAATTGGTGGTTGGAAGTTGGTGGTTGGCGATCGGTGGTTGGTGTCTAACAATTCTTAAAACTTCCATTAACTTAACAAATACTGTTAAGGCTGAGTTCAATTTTTCCCAAATCATCTTCAAGTTTTCAGAAGTTCATATCTGACTTGACATTTAAGATTTGACCTTCATTGATCTTTTCAAGGTCAAAAAAGGTTTAAAAGGTCTTTTAAACTTACTTCAAATTGACCAATTTGTTTTTCAAAATCATCTACAAATTATCAGAAAATCAAATCTGAATTTAGATTTAAGATTTGACCTTCTCAAGGTCAAAGAAAGGTCAAAAAGGTCATTTTTCAACTTGCTTTAAATTGAAAAAAGATTTGACCGTCAAAAAGGTATTTTTTTTAACTTGCTCTCAGAAGTTCAAATCTGACTTTAGATTTGACATGTTACCTTCAATGACCTTCTCAGGGTCAAAAGGGTCTTTTTCAACTTGCTTCAAATTGACCAATACTCCTATTCGTGATAAGAGTTCAGGTGGTAATTTACATAAATATCTCCCATGATGCATCGCTTTGGAAGGGACAAATTTTCATTAGCCCGCCGAACGAGTCGATTACTCTGAACGTTTCTCAGCTTCTGATGTTCCATCAGCCCTCAAGCATAGTTAAATAATCCAATCTATTCAATAATCAGAAAGATAATCGGAGATTATATTTTTCGATCTTCGATGGCGTCTGAGCAATTTCTGGGATATCAGTGACGTCACTGGAATTGGACGGCATTTTAACTACACATTTCTTCGGATCTGGGGATTATAGCTCAAAAAGCTTTGTCATATATCTTAATTACATGCATACCTATCGTTTGTGCAAATGAAACTTTACATAAATGTTTAATAGAGCCGCAGTGCGGCATTGAAAATAGCACCCCTGTGTAATCCAATGGGAAAGAACCCGGATGTAGACGAAGTTGTACCATACATGAGAGCTCTTCAAACGAGAGGTAGCTAAACTGAACGAAATTAAATGTTATCGCGTATTGGTATATTCATCTCATCTCATTCAAAATCATCTACAGAGTTCTCAGAAATTCAAATCTGACTTAAGATAGGTTGTTGCTATTCTACATTTATAATTATTCATTAAATGGAAAAATACCTTTCTTGTTGTTTTTGCTCGTAGGAAATGAATGTTTATATAAAATTGAATCAAAGTTATCACAAATGGTGACATATTGTTAAAGTCTCCAACTTTTTTGTGGGCAGTATTCGGCATTTTAAATATGTAAATGTTATGAATTATTATTATTTGTAAAGTGGCATGATGAAGCTGACTGGCATTTTCATCTTTTACATAGTTTTATCACGATATTCTGCAATTGTGTGATTCATGATTTTTCCAAGAAGCATTGGAACATTCCCAAATGTGACATGTCATGGCGTTCATGTTTTAAATACAAAATTGGGTAAATTGAGTGGAACTAGCAAGGAAAAAAGTAAACTCACGTGTAGATAACACCTTAAATTACAGAGAAAAAACAGAAAATGAGGCAGTTCAAAATTGTGGAGAAAATGTTTAGAATTGGCAAACCGCAAGAGAGAAGTAAGATATGAGTCAGTTAAATCTTCTGCAAGGGAATTACAGCTATATCTATTCAGTGACAAATATTTTAAGTTAGATGAAATGAGAGAGAGGGAGTGAGAGGGACTTGGTAGCAAATAATAACTGCAGCCAAAAGACAAGCTACAGAAAAATAACATAGTAGAAACAATTAAAACATGAATAAAATTTCCATTTCCAAGCTTTCGAAACTGACTATGACAAAATTATTTCGAAAGTCGACGAAGAAGAAATTGTGGAAAGGAGTTCTTCAACTTTGTTCTATTTTAGATGTGAAGTCGCTCTGCGGGAACAATTTAAACAAAGGGAAGAATCTCGTCAAGAAAACTGATGGAGGACCTAACCCAGCTGCCCCTATTACAAATGTAAGTAAATGCAGCATGTTTGATTGTTTGTTTGTTTGTTTGTTAGGTGTGGAATTTGACTTAAAAATATCTTCAGTGATATTTAGCCATATTATTATTACATCGAGGAATTTTGATATTCTGGTTGTCACATAGATTTTTACTTAAGATTAGTAATGGAAAATATTTATATTTTGTCGAAGAGGAATGGACTGAATGATGAATAAAAAGTTGAAGATCTACCATGTGTATCTATGCAATTTGAGAAGAAATTATCAGTCTCTGCTTTATTGCTCAATATTAAAAACTGAGATGACATGTACTAATTTTAAGATTTTTTTGCGCCAAGTCATTTCGAAACAAATTGTTGTATTCCAGACTCCCTCTGAAAAACTTGTTCGAGCAAGCAATATTCTCCGCACCGTGTTATTAGCACGCGCTCCACACATGATCCGTGACAGGAAGTACCATTTACGGACATACAGGAGGTGCATGGTGGGTACAGAGATGATTGATTGGTTGCTACAACAAAGTTCACAGGTTCATTCTCGTAACCAAGCAGTCGGAATGTGGCAGAGTCTTCTCGAAGAGGGCCTCATTGTGCATGGTGAGTTGAAACAATATTAAGGTTAAGCTACATGCTTTAAAGAACTTGCACATGAACATATATTACACAGCCAATATAATTCGGCACCGTTTCGACATCGAAAAAATTCGGTGCTGTTCCAGCACCATTTCGGCACCGATCCAGCACCGAAACCTTTCGACACCAAAATTTGCCACCAGACTAGTCAGTCCATTTGGTGCCGAAATGGCACTGAAATTTGGCACCGAAACAGTGTCGAAAATCAGATTGCATTTTGGGGGTGTATCATAACCCTCAAGGATTATTGTTCCCCTCTCCACTGGTTCTCCATAAACATTTATCCTCAATCAGTGCATACTAAGAAGGGGATAATTAATTTTTATGAACATTATTCTACACATACATGCATATGTATATGAGTTCTTAAATATCTGTACATGTTATAGCTTTACAACCCTAATGTGGATATCATAACTTGTTAAAGAGCATGCATGGGCGTAGCGCCTGTTCCGCACACTACACCCGTGCATACCAAATGAATTTGAAAAAATTTAAAATGTGTTAAAATGCATTAATTTGTTTGCACATTTATTGATGATTCTGTATTAAATTGTATATTTAACCATTAAGTTTTATCAGAATAGAACTATTTTAAGTTGATATAAATGCTAAGATTGCTAATAATTTCTTCTTCGCATTGTTAGAGGGAACAAATTTGGTACCAATTTTGTCTATTCAAAGGGTACAAAAGAAGGCAATCTGGCAGTACCTCAGATAAAACACTGACCTTATTGGGGTCACTGGGCTCTAATCCATTTCTCAAGAAAATTATATATTCATTTGCCAGTTGCTCAGTTCTCAGCCAAAGAAAACAGATAAACTTGTTTATGTGCACACCTTGACAAGTTGTCTGCAAGGAGTACACTAACAGTACCATTTTTGATATCCCATTAGCTCCCATATTTTGCAATCCTCTAAATGTGAGCATTTTTGATGGTAACACTTTTAGCTGGTTCCTCCCGGATCTGCTCTCTTCAGGAGATAGTTGAGCCAGTAGAACCCATAATGGTTAATCCTAGGTCCTTTCAATGTTCACATTATAGGTTTAACTGTACAAACCTTTTGAAATGCAACTCCTGGAAACAACGTCATCATTGAAGATAAAGGTATATATCAGAATGAATAAATTTTGATTATTGGGGATCTGTCATGGAATTTTCGGAATATTCCAGAAATAAATGCTGGGCTGATAAGCTTCCTTCTGGCAGGAGTTGTTCAAAATTCATAATTTGGAGCTATAACTGATGCTGAAAGGGGCAACATTTTTCAAACTAACAAGGATCATCACCTTTAATGAGACTGAAAAATTCAATTTCCAGATGGAATCATTTTAAGGATTCTTTTATGCGACGTTACATGATTTAAAGTCTTTGGATAACCACTGGACAATTTGCAATTAAGGAATATTCCTGCACGCAGGATATGCTTTGAACAATGGCAGGATCAAGTAAATATAAAATATTTTTTGTTGTTTTTAGCTTAAATGGTTTAAGATGTATACTCACATGCAAAATTGGAAGACAACAAGTTGTTTATTTTATTATTTTTTTCTTAATAGTCAAAAGATATGTGCTCACATGCAAAATTGGAAAACCTATTGGAACAGACCAGGTTATTTATGTTTTCTGAATTCTGGATACCCTATGTATTTTCATAGATTTGGCAAATAAATGGTGACATGATGAATTCCAAAACTATTGTTTTGCCATCAATTTTTGGATGTTATCATTCCAGAACTGACCCTAAAGACCCTGCAAATCAGTCACTAAGCTTTTCATATATCATTATTATTGTGGCTGGCATCTGGATTTGGCTTCGATAAAAAGTTTTTACCCTTTTGTGCCAATTCGCAATAACTTGGCATTTTATCTTGCTAATGCTCTGTTTTCTTTGGCTACACCATTGCATCATTTTCTGTGCCTAGAAAATGAGGTGCATCAATAAGGCAACATTAATTTTAATTAATTGAACTGTGCACCTAATAAACAAAGTATAAGTATTTTATCTTATATTATTTAGCCCACATAAATTGGAGTTAGGAATGAGGCTTTAGATACAGAAAGAAGAGTTAGAATGCTTTCCTACAAATTGAGATACAAGGACCATGCATACATGGACCATTTTCTTATGCATAAGGGTTGTGCTCTATATTTTCAGTATGCCATGAACACCAGATGAAGGATAAATATTTATTTTATCGCTTCCTTGTTGATGATGAAGGTGTCGGCACCTCTCCTAGTCATGTGCAGAAGAAAGAGTCCGAGGATGAGCTGCAGGATACGTTTAGTTTACTGGCACAAATCGGTCCTGATGCTATGATGAGAATGATCCTGCGCAAAATGTAGGTTTCAGAGTAAATACTAGTATGGCAAAATTGAGTGTAAAATAGTGAAGTAGGCATGGAATAAATTAAACAGACATGGAATCCAGTTTTAAATTGTATGGAAATCTGAAAAAGGCAGTTTATTAATTAATTGTTGCCTTATGGACCCTATACTTTACATTTGTAACGTCTGCTTTCACTGTTGCATTATGGTATATTTCAGACCTGAAGAGCGCAGTGTTGAGGATCTTGAAATCATATATGAAGAACTGCTTCACATCAAGGCCCTTTCTCATCTTTCGACTATGGTGAAGCGGGAGCTAGCATCTGTTCTGGTGTTTGAATCTCATGCAAAATCAGGCACAACTTGTAAGTTACAATTTATATTATACATATATGTGCCTTGTCATGTTTATTCAGAAACAATAGACATTGTTTTTGTTAGGGACCGTCACAAAGGTTTTACACAATGTGCCATAGTATTCTATATAATAAGGATATATACCCAAGCTTGATTTTATTTCTTATTATAATGAACAATAACAGATGATTAGGTGCCAAAACTTAGCAGGAGTTATATCATAAACATCCTAGTTAAATCTAAACATCAAGTTAGATTCAGACAATGCTATTATTTATTGATTCTGCCAATATAATCATGTTGCATCTTGGGAATCAACCCTTTTGTTTTAAACTTGTTGCATTGTGGGAATTAACCTCTTGTCTTTTCAGGAGTTGTGACTGGGTTAAACATGTTCCATTATGGGAATTTACCCTTTGTATTTTCAGTATTCAACCAAGGAGATGAGGGCAAATCGTGGTACATCATTCTCAAAGGATCTGTCAATGTGGTCATATATGGCAAGGTGTGTATTACCAACAACAACCAAAAACAAAGTTTTTTCATTGCAGAGAAAATAATTACCTGTGTTAGATGCCAAAAGTCACTGTAATTCAATTTACATGTACTTCACAAATTGGCTATTATTGTGTCCTTGCCAGAGATGTTTAAATTACATATTTTTGTACAGCTGTATGTTCAGTTATTTTGAAACATCTATACCTTAGGAGTAAATTAATCCAATCTAAAATGTTCATATAGAAGGCTAGTTCATATTTAAATGCTGGAAAAAGAGGTTAATCGGTTACGTTATTTCCAAATAAGCATATCAATGAATTCAACATTATAGGGAGTAGTATGTACCTTACACGAAGGTGATGATTTCGGAAAACTGGCTCTTGTAAATGATGCACCTCGAGCTGCCACAATCGTCCTGAATGAAGATAACTGTCACTTCCTTCGGGTCGACAAAGATGATTTTAACCGTATTCTTCGTGACGTAGAAGCCAATACTGTTAGATTAAAGGAACATGGTCAAGATGTGTTGGTACTTGAGAAAATACCCATTAACAAAGGAGGCAATGTTACAACCCACTACAAGTAGGTTTTTTATCCCAACTTTGTATTAATCATTTTATCCAAATATTTGTAATCAGTAGTTGGACAGGTATCTCAAAAATTGTAATGTTGTATTTTCAGTTCAACTGTTCATGAAATTTAGGAAGAAAATCCAGACCTGAATATTTATATGTCTGCTTATAATTACTTGTGCATTATGGTATTTTAGATATTCTGTGATGGCGGGAACACCTGATAAGATGCTGGAACATCTTTTAGAGACTCGCATAGATCAACGTAGTGAAGACCTCACTGATACGTTTATGGAAGACTTCCTGTTAACCCATGTGATATTTATGCCAACCAATCACCTTTGTCCGACATTAATGGCTCATTATCATGCTGAGGCAGGAACCACGCAAGATTCAGAGCAGGACTCTGGGTATTATGGACTTATAAACAAACGTCGTGTGATACATTTTGTTGAAAATTGGGTGGGAGTGATTTGTGATGCATTTTACGAGGACTCAACTATTGTGGCATTTCTCGAGGAACTTCATAGTGCCGTCACTGCTGATAGCGCCAGCTATCCTGCTCTAGCTGGGGATCTAGACTCACTAGAGAGAATTATGCAAGAAAAGAACAGGTATGAAAAGAGCAACTTCTATGATTGAATTATCTAATAACACTTGAAATTTATTTTATAAGAATATCCACGAACAATTTGCATTGGTACTGTTTTTAAAGTGATCAGATATTTAAACAATATGCATTTTTTCATTAGAAACGCCATTGAAATAAAATTGATTGTTTTCCTTCAGCATTAATGACACTGATGCAATTTCATACCACCATCGTCGCAATCCAAAGATCCTTATAAGGAAAACTTCTCGAGATATTCCTGAGCCGTCCAATAACTTCAGAAAATGTCTCAAGGCCGGAGATGAAAGTAAGTTCAAACTTATTGCTAATACATAAGGTGTACTTCACAAGACATAGTAGGTGGCATAATTAAACAATATGGATATCAGAAAATGGTGGCATTGAAGTCCAAAGGTTATTTATATCAAAAAAAATCTCTTGGTTAATAAGGTTTAACATTTAAAAAAAACTGTATTCAAGTCCTTAATTATTTATATCAAAAATGTTTAAGAAACAATATCTTGTGCTTTTATTAGAATCTCTTGGCAAATAAGGTTTAACATTTAAAAAAAATTGTATTCAAGTCCATGGGTATTTATATCAAAAATGTTTATGAAACATCACCCTGTGCAATATTTAGAATCTGATGACAACATATGATTTAACATTCATCATTGCCATAGTGATTTAATTCTCATTTAGTGAGTTGAATTTAACAGCTGGTAATTAAAAATTGTTGGTTTAAAGTACAGCAGAAGATTATTCAAGCAATCTTTGATTTTGAACACATATTTTATGTCTCAAGCTGGGCAAAAAATGTACATGTATAAATGTTATTTTAATTTTTGTTTTTGTATTTACTCTATACCCTATAAGAGGTGAATTGAGAAATAAATAAATAATAAAATAAATTAAAAATTATTTTCTCATTGTCATGTCACCACCAAAAGATGACTCATTTTTCTTGCTCATTGGTTGTTATCGTACTTTTAAACATATTTTAACATTCTTTCATATTCTCATATTCTTTCAGACTTATTCAAAGTATATTGTGCCGACCATACATACACAACCCTAAAACTCCCGATGATCGCATCAGTTGATGACATCATCAGTCATGCAGCAGAGAAACTGTGCCTTGGAAATGACGTTGTACTCTGCGAAGTGAAGTCAACAGGGGAAAGAGTCCTCTTCAAGGAGGAGGATATCTGTATTACTCTAGGACTTTCGATAAATGGAAAACTTTTTCTGTCATCAAAGCAACATATAGATGCATTGGTAAATATGTTTTTTCTACTATTCTTTTCTATTGTCAAACTCCAATAAAGTGAAACCTTTCTGGAGCTACCATAAAGGTTTACTGTCGATAGATGTTGAGAGTGATTTTATGGAGAATTTTTTGAATAAAGTGTACACTAGAATTACACTGTATTTCTATCCTTATGTTACAAATTATGGCTAGAAATGAAACTTTAAAATTATAAGTTTACATGAAATCCATGTTTTTGTCATTACAGACTCCTCTTCCTGAACAAGATGGCCCAAGTGAGGGAAGCTCAGGTACATTTGAGTTACTCAGCTCACGGGATATAGCCTACCAAATGATGGTTTATGATTGGCAGTTATTTACATGTATGCATGAATATGAGCTCATATACAAAGTGATGGGGCGGTCAAAGTTCAACCGGATCACTGCCAATTTGGATATATTTCTCCGCCGCTTCAATGAGATCCAATACTGGGTTGTGTCCGAGATGTGCCTAGCAAGTAATCTGGGAAAGAGGGTCACACTGCTGAGAAAATTCATCAAACTTGCTGCTTAGTAAGTATATAGTTTAATCTTGCAAGAGTCAACAAGGCATTAACATGTATATATAGTTTAATCTTGCAAGAGTCAACAAGGCATTAACATGGATATAGTTTAATCTTGCAAGAGTCAACAAGGCATTAACATGTATATAGTTAAATCTTGCAAGAGTCAACAAGGCTTTAACATGGATATAGTTTAATCTTGCAAGAGTCAACAAGGCATTAACATGTATATAGTTTAATCTTGCAAGAGTCAACAAGGCTTTAACATGGATATAGTTTAATCTTGCAAGAGTCAACAAGGCATTAACATGTATAGTTTAATCTTGCAAGAGTCAACAAGGCTTTAACATGGATATAGTTTAATCTTGCAAGAGTCAACAAGGCATTAACACAATAGTTTAATCTTGCAAGAGTCAACAAGGCATTAACATGTATATATTTTAATCTTGCAAGAGTCAACAAGGCATTAACATGGATATAGTTTATTTAATCTTGCAAGAGTCAACGAGGCATTAACATGTAAAATGTCACCCCCTGCCATTTGTTACAGATGCTGAATGCCAACCATTGAATGACGTCACAAAAAAGTTGGAGACCATAACAATATGTCACATTTGTGGTGGTGACATAATAATTAGGCGAAATCAGAATTTTAAGACTATTTTTGTCAAAAATCAATAAAAATCATATTTCTTGTGTTACAGCTGCAAGGAATACCAGAACTTGAACTCATTCTTTGCCATTGTTATGGGCCTTAGCAACATAGCTGTTAGTAGACTCTCACAGACATGGGAGGTAGGTTGAAGTGAATTTCTTTAAAAAAAACAAATCTGAAACTTCTTTCTGGGACTTGCGAATTGTTTGATTTTGGAGGTGATTCTAAAATGTTGATGTATTTTGTCGCTAATCTAAAATTTGTGGTAATTTGTTCTTACATTTAGAATTTAATTTTTTTGTTGTACATTTTATTATCCTCTTCATTGTCTTTTTATGGAGACAATGATTTTAATATTTAATATGCGTAACAATTCATATAATTGTAGAAGCTTCCAAGTAAATTCAAGAAGATGTTCTCTGATTTTGAAACCACAATGGATCCATCACGTAACCATAGAGTCTACCGATTGGCTATCGCAAAGATGGCGCCCCCTATGATTCCATTCATGCCCCTTCTCATGAAAGACATCACATTCACCCATGAAGGAAACAAAACCTACTTTGATCATCTAGTCAATTTCGAAAAAATGGTGAGTAGATTAGAGCCTTGCTTTATATCCCTCAGAATTTGCTTTATTTATGTTTCAAACTTCCTTTCAAATTATTACAGAGGCTAAACTATTCCCTTTTCACCAAAAGTTTACAACATGAAGGAAAATGAAGAAACCAAAATATTAATGGAAATAGCAAAAGTATATATTATTCTTTGGGTTAATTTTGTTTGTTGAATGTGACAATTTGAAAATTACCAATTTACACCTTCGTCTAAATTGAAGATATATCCTACAGAAAATGTTGCCAACAAATGTAAAAAATGGAAATTATCCAAGATTATCAAATGAATCCCAGTTATTGTATACCTTATTGTAATGGGATAATTTGAATGCTTATGTGTAAATGTTGAAGCGATGACATCATGGTGTATTTGTTGACCTTATAGCACATGATATCCCAGACAATACGCATCATCAGACAGTGTCGCAGTAAACCTCTCTCCATAGATTCACCTGCAAATTCCAAATCTGCACAGGATGCTGCAAACTATATCAGGTATGAATTTCAAAATAATCATTTTATTTTAACATTTTACCGACATTAAGCTACACAAATTAAATGCAATTTAGAAAGATTGCTTCAAAAATTTTACACTCTCTATCTGTTCTACTTCCTTCAAGTAAATTTTCTTATGTTGTTATTTTGGCCATCTTTTATTTGAACTTGGCTATCCATTTGTGTTTCAGTTCCCTGAAAGTAATAGACAATCAGAGGATTCTTAATCAACTATCTCACAGGCTGGAACCTCGGAGATCATAGCAGACGGCATCCTTGCACCCCTAAGAGAAACATGTCTTGATCCAAGTCTCTCACAGGCTGGAACCTCAGAGATCATAGCAGACATCACCTTACACCCCTCAGAGAAATATTTCTTCATCCCAGTCTCTCAAAGGCTGGCATTCCATAGATCATAGCAGACGACATACTTGCACCCCTTAGAGAAACATGACTTGGTCCTAAAGGATGGGATTCTAAAGACCATAGCATGTGACAGCCATACCTACATTAATGAATCATGACTTGATTCAAGTATGGATTGAGTTCAGAAAAAATATTCATATGTCTCCTCAGAGAGCCTTAAGCTGAACCCAGGAGATTAGTGCAGAGACATCCTAATACCCCCCTCCCCCCAGAGAGAATGATGACTTCCAAACAACTCTCAAACTTCAACCAAAGAACAAAATTATGGATGACCATAAAAGTATTGATCATAAAACTGTATATTAAGGTCATTGGAAACCAATTTGTGGTACTACAATGTCTCGCATCTTTGTATTCTATTTTGACAAACATATAATGAGAAATTAGCATATAAGACTCTCAATTAATTCTCAAAAACTACATTAATTCTTCCTTCTGAATCACATAGAACAAATGCCAGCATTTTGTTTATTTAGAGAAAGATGGTTTGAAATAAGCATGCCAAAAGTGAGGATTGAGCATGATAGAGTGTACATATGTCTACTAAAAAGCTTTAAGTATATTTTAGCAATATTGCAGGAACAGTACAGGATAGGAAAACTATATATTTACTGAAATGAGTATTGTAAAAATTTATGTCTTAGTAAAGTTAAAATCTTATTAAAATATTATTTAAGTTTAAACTCATATTTACAAAGTAAAATCTGGGTTCAATCTCATAGTTACAAAGTAAAATTTAAGTCAAACTCATAGTTACAAAGTAAAATTTGAATTCAATCTCATAGTTACAAAGTAATATCCGAGTCAAACTCATAGTTACAAAGTAAAATTTAAGACAAACTCATAGTTGCAAAGTAAAATCTGAATTCAACCCCATAGTTACAAAGTAATATCTGAGTCAAACTCATAGTTACAAAGTAAAATCTGAGTTCAACCTCAAGGTTACAAGATAAGTTTCAAGTCCTAGGATACTGTATGTTGTTAAAATGGTAGGAGAAAAGATGAGATGAGAAGTTAAACAAGGAGACATGACTTGGCATGATGTTGTAGTAAGGGTATTAATTGGAAGTATATAGAGAGCATTGTGACAATTACTAATAATTAGTTTCACATTAAACTTTGGAGTTTGTATTTTATGACAAATGTGTTATACAAGTATTTGTGGAATAAAAAAGAGTAGATATTGCAAGAAATATAATAAATAGGAGTCCATCACTATAAATTTGAAGAAAGGCGGGGAAATCACTTTAATCACTTTAGAAATTGAGAAGTTAAGCAAGGACTAGATTGGCAAGTTAATGGTTTACAAGTTCTGGAATGTGACTGTTAAGTAAATATCAAAGCAAGATACTACCCACATATTTTGTGAGAGTACACATGGCAGACACATTCAAATAATTGTGTAATGCTACATATATTGTGTAAGAATACACATCATGTGTTTTTGTGTGAAAGTTAAAGGCATTCAAATTATTATCTATGAATTACACATTTCTTTAGTTTTTACAGCACAGTTCTCAAGTTAGTACACATTATTATAAATTTCCACGGGTAGCTAAACTAAACACAGCTTCTTACTTTCTGATTGGAGTAAATAAATGAAAAACTGTAAGTTTATAAATATTATAAGTTTATAAATACATGTATGTATTTCGAAATTTCTAAAAGTACTTGGTTAAGTTCAGTTTTAATTTTTTGATGATTTAATTGTGATGTTATATATAAAATTTGTACATGATTCTTTAAAAATGATCCTTTCCATTTAATTATTGTACATTAATATATGTATTCTTAATACTTTCATACTGAGTACATGTACTTAATACTCTTGAAATATCTGTATATAAAATCTTGATTGAATATTTGGTCATTAAAACAGCCATCATTAAAGGAAGAATCATGGTAAGAGCAACCCTTTCAAGAATTCTTCAAAGGTACCCTTAATTTGTGTTTGTATACTGTTTTCATCTCTCTGACCAATTCTACCTTTAAATATGGCCAGCTATGTTTCCAAATAGACTCTGTTCTAACATATTTTAATTTTTTATAGTGTGTGAATTTATGATGTGAAATTATTTGCATATTGAGTAAGCTATATAATATTGTTAATATTGGGTGCCAAATGTTAATTTATTTTCCTTTTTATGTCACTACCAGGAAGTGTTGACATTGTTACAGATACAGTTTCTGTGACTGCATTTGGCATTCTGCATCAATGGTCAGTTTCTGTGACAAATTGTTACATTTTTGTACCATTTACAGTGTCTTACCATGTGGTGATAGTTTGTCATAATGTCTGCTTGTGTAAGTTTTTTCTCTGATATTTTATCCTACCTTGCCTATTATATGTCAGCCAGTCGCAAAAGTTCTCATATTATCAGTACAGTTATCATTGTGAATGTGCAGAAATTGAAAGTTTTGATTCGGTTCTTTGCCAAAAGTTCATGACATATTAATAAATTTTGGTTTCTGTTTACCATAACAAATACTTACATTCCAATCTCATTATGTTAAAACCATTTGGGAAATAAGTTCCAGCATATTTGTCATGACAAGGACAATTCATGAATTCACTTTGAAATTACTTTAATTTAGGATCAGTTCTAAGAGATTGTAACCCCTATTTATCTTTTAATATTTCTTGAAAACGTGTGGTTTATAGATGTGCATGATTGTCCGCTTCTGCAAATCCTTGAATGTAGTGCTGAAACTGCACTAAGGTTCAGAAAATGTACTCTTGGTATACATTTCTTGTAATTATAATTTCAAGTGGTACTGTTTCAAATCTCCAGTGATCCCCTGATTGTTTTTGGCAATATAGGGGTTTAATGTATAGTTGTATTTAAATTCTTACTTTCATAATTGTGCATGTACCAACGTTCTTCTGACAAGACATTGGCCAGTGATATATTTTATATTGCTAAATAAATGACATAAAACCATACATCATTTTGTAATAGTTCTTAGATTATAAGGTGAAAATTGTAGGCTATAAGTTCTAGAAGTACCTAGAAGGAATATTAAACCCAGATATTTTTATGGTGCTACACATGCTACTTGCTAATATTAAGACCCATTTTAATGAAATTTTTGAGTCTGTGGTAATTAAATTAATTGAACAAAACATTGTTAGAGAAGTTAGGTTTACGTGATGCCACTGTTAAGTAGCCACATCAATTATATCCCATTGAGAAACATAAGCTCCATTTTCATTAACGAAACCCATCTGACCCAGTTAACTACTCCTGATGTCATAGATCTACAACATTTCAGAAACAGGGAGTAGATAACTGGTCCAGACGAGTTTGGTTACATTTTCATAGGATAAGGTCAATGAAGTGAGTAGCTCCCAGAATTCTTTGGCATTTCATGGTATTGGGATTCCCCGTATCTTTCCCCACATGGTCTTATAAGCCTTATATGGATCTATCACATGACATTCAAAATGGCGGATAACAGTAAGGTAGATTCCTATGTGGTCCTATAAGCCTTATATGGATCCATCACATGGATACCGTGTGACCTTATACCAACACTGAACTTTGGGAGATCTCCCCCTGGGATAAGGTCACGTTTTTTACTGAAATTCTGCAGTACTGTTAACAAAGCAAGTGCTACAGAATATCCAGTGGTAATGTGTGCCGAGAGAGAATATGTGCTCGGGTTGGATGAGATATGGCAACACTTGATGTTATGGATGGCTTGGCTGACTGTCAAGACCAACGCTGTACAAGTTTACACTGCACTTGTTCTGAATGGAGGTCAATTTCAGTATAGTGCATGACATCAAAAAACTAGTCAAAAAACAATCATCTGAATGACCAATGTAAATAAATGGTTAATTATCGAACTGACCAATGTTAATAAATGAAAGATTTGCCTCAAATGAGGTACATGTATTAAGTAGGGCATTTGGTACATTGTGCTGACATATCATTTCATCTGGCACAATTTCATCGATCCTCATTTTGTTAATGTCATTCACAGTATTTTGGCACCTTTTGATTAAACATTCCGTCGTTTGTTCTGAATGAAGGTCACTTTTCAGTTTAGGGCACGGCATTAAAAATGAAGAACAATTATCTAACTGACCAATGTTAATAAATGAAAGATTTGCCTCAAATGAGGTACGTACATGTATTAAGTAGGGCATTTGGTACATTGTGCTGACATATCATTTCATCTGGCGCCATTTCATCGATCCTCATTTTGTTAACGTCATTCACAATATTTTGGCACCTTTTGATTAAACATTCCGTCGTTTGTTCTGAATGAAGGTCACTTTTCAGTTTAGTGCACGGCATCAAAAATGAAGAACAATTATCTAACTGACCAATGTTAATAATTGAGAGATTTGCCTGTATTAATTTACATGTATTAAGTAGGGCACTACATACATTATGCTGACACATCGTTTCATCTGGCGCCATTTTACGGACGTCATTCTCAGAAATTTGGCATTAAATATTCCTACAATTGTTATGGCAACAACATTCCAGTAATTGTTTCAGCAAAAACAATGATATGACAATGACATTGAAACTAAAAGTGCTTTCCTTACGAAGATGCCATAACAGTGTACATCCATAGATAAAGCTTTAGGAATTCTCAACTTTCTGTTTGTATGATCCACTGGGTTATGAAATTTTAATGATCGATAATATGCACTTTAATTCCTTTATATGAAATTATTATATCGCCACCAAAAGTGGTGACATACTGTCATATTGTGAACAGTGTTCATCAGTCAGCATCTGCAACAAATGGCAAGTAGTGACATTTTGTTGGTGAATGTGAACATCCTGTTATGTCAGCGAAAGTCAATATGACCTGTTTGATAGAAAATAGAATGGCAATGTGACAACTCAGTTGTTTTCTTTGTACTCTTAGTGGAACCATGTGAAGGCAAGAATTAACAAAGGAGCAATGAAAATAAGAAAACATGAATTGAGTTAAGAGGGTTGAGAGGTAGAGTGGATAACAAACAATGTTAAAGCAATGGTGAAAATGAAATGAAACATTAACAGTCAGAAAGAAGCTCTGTTTGTCACAATTGAATCATTGGCAGAAAATCAAATCAAATGCTACAAAAAGTCCTGATAATATGACCAAAGAGAAATCTTCTAATAAAATGTCTAGCTTTATTGATGAAAAATCAAATGAAGACCATGGCAGCCCCAGTTTGGTGTACAGTAAAACCTGTCTTATCTGAACGCCATTGGGACTGGCTAAAAGCATTCAGATTAGGAGATGTTCACCCTTTTGAGGTTCTTGCATATTCTCGAAATTCTGGATTCCGAAGAAATATGAACACATTCTTGGTAAATATTTATAGTTCTTTTGAAAACGAAGCTTTATGGCATTCCAGAAATTTGAAAATTTGATTCAAATGAATCTAGTGAGTCTAATGAATCTATGCTGGAATACCCTATTATGATTGAGACCGTTCAAATTTTTTTTCCCAAAGTCGACAATATATGAGCAATTTAGTATGAAACATGTGAAATTTTATGAAAAGTGTTCAGAACAGACAGGATTATTTTTCAAGTATAACTGTTCACTGTTCAGATTGGGAGGTGTTCGCATTTCATGGTTTTTTAACATGAGAGTCAATGGAAAGAAAAAATGGGACCAAAAAAGTGTTCAAATTGGAAGGTGTTCGGATTAGCCAGGTGTTCAGATCCACAGGTTCTACTGAACTAGTATTTGATAAGATCCTGGATTTCTGGACAAAAAGCACTTAAAGGCCCCATGCAGTTACTGTACCAGTATTCAATGCAACCCAAAGTAGTTTACTGTTGCATAAGGCCTTTAAAGGCTCATGTATAACCCCCCCCCCCATTTGACATGATTCTGGTTTATTAAACATGTTGTTTTGTATTGCCTGTTTGACTTGAATCTCTTTGAACTGATTATGACCAGAATATTAACAGATTGAAATTCTCTTTTACTATTGTTCACTTATTCAAAACAAATATCATAACAAAGTTCACAAATTAATCAACTCTTATAAACATTTTGAACAGTGCCAAATCTCATTCATATAGTGTAACTGTTGATTAAGTAGATGTTGGAAAATTTTATTACAAAATGAATGGATTTTAAAAGAAATACAGAGTGTTCTCAGAATCACTTCAAAGAGTCAAATTATATCACCAGATAATTGCACTGAAATCATGTCACAGATCTGTAACTGTCGCAGTATATTAATACTTTCCAAATGAGAGCATCCCTCAGCTCAAATTACGAGTAACCATGACAATGAAAAGTATTCATAATGGTTTCTATGGATGTATAATAATAATTAAACTCTAATATCAATCAATCTTTTTAAAATGTAATCTCACATGTTAATGATAACAGAATTATAATACAACAGAAGCTAAATGTCTTATATGATTATACATAAAATATATTTATCTGTACAAAATATGGAGAATATTTACAATATGAAATAATACAAAATAAACACAGCTCGAATGATAAGCAACTAAAAACATAACCCTTTCCAAATAATTCAAACAATCTTTGGGAGCGGGGATGGCAGGATGATTTTGTCTCATCCTGACACCCCTCCCCCAAAATGCCAACCCTGTCTGTATTTCTAATACATCGTGTAGTAGACACAATCTACACGTGGGCCACAGTAAACCTAGGTTATAAAAGAGGGGGAGAAACCCCAGGGTTCAAAGATGACATACGCTTATAATGTAAATCTGTATTGAGATGACATCGTCGCTGATTGGTTTAGCGAGTCGATCGTTGGGTTTAAAACTAGGTCAATTTGAAAACTTTGAAAACCAAGATGGAGGGTACGTTTTCGACAAAAGGCTGTGCTCGAAGGAGGAAATCGTATGTCATCAATTGAATCATGGGGTTTTCCCTCCTCTTGGTTATACGAAGCAACTAGAAGCAACATTACAATGATTACATAGAGTATAGAAAAATTTTATAATCACTGATACTTTCAAATATGTTAAGGACAGGTTTAATACAGGACTTCAAAATAAAGGAATGAGAAAAAGGAAATACATCATAAATCCCAAATATATTTAAAATATTTCCAAAAGTCATTGTACATGGATCAATCTTTGTTATGCATAAAATATCAAAATACAAGTAAAGGTATTAAAATGTAGAATAATAAGTTATCAATAATAATCATATAACTGATATCATTAAGACATTATTGTAAAAGTTAACTGCACACTCCCCTATTTGAAATCATGTACACTATTTACAAATTTTACATTTTGAAAATATATTCTATATCTACCATCTATCATATTGGAATGCAAACAATTAACATTTTCGCATATACAATACATAATTCATTTTAATTTGAACACATTTTCTCCATTACTCTAAAATGAAATATATGCACATCAACTCATAAAATTGTAAAAATAGTGATTAAACATATTCATGCTCATTATTTATAACAATATTCATTGATGTATTTCAAGTTTATGTAAGAAGTCAGAGAAAGTATTATCAATGCAATGCCTATTTTTATAATATTCCAAAGTCATGATTTGCATCTTATGACATCTATACAATAGATTAATAACATATAAACTCAATTGTGCATTGTATTTTACAGTCAAGTATGAAACATTCTAATTTCTAGTGTCACATTGTGAAGATGCAGGTAATAAGATGAAGCAGAAAATGGAGAGTGAACATGGGCATAGCGTAATCGGATGAAGCAGAAAATGGGGAGTGAACAAGGGCATAGCGTAATCGGATGAAGCAGAAAATGGGGAGTGAACAAGGGCATAGCCAGGGTAAACAAAATTCCAAGGTAAATAAGTGAGGCAAACTAAGATCAAAGGAGGTAGCTTGGAACTTCATTTCCAAACTTTTAGTTACTGAAATAATGTCTGAATGATACAGTTCTGCAATATTGTGGTGAGGCTCTGTCCCATGCCTGACTCAACCCATGTTGAAGGCTCTTGAGCAATTGTACAAAAGTAACAGATAATTTTACAATACACATGCACTTGTAAGTATGGAATGACTTTTACTATAAATCATACACGAATCATGCAATGATAGGAATTCAACTAAATATATACATATGACACATATTTACATAATGATTATTGTATATAAACCCCATCATGAATAACCTCCTACTAGAAAATATAACATCGTGGTCATATTTGTAAATTGTAACTCTAAATTGTATAGAAATATAAGAAAATCAGACAGTTCATTTAAAATTAAGAGAGAAATGCATAGAATTAGCAAGAAATGTGTATTCAACACTCAGATTTTCATGAAAATATGACCAATGTAGTATTTCCTAATAGAAACAATGCTTGTTGGTTATCTGGACTATCAGTTTGGGTACAATAATACAGGAATGTTACTATAATACAAGAATGCTACAATTATATAGGAATGTTACGATGAAAGCCTCTCCATAAGTTATATAGCTCAAACTATACACCATTTTAAAGGAGCAAATATTTATATTTTTTAATACACCATATTTATAAGTAATAACAAATATAGCATCTGACTATATACCATTTTAAGATTATAGGATTATAGCGTCTACACTATACACCATTTAAAGGTATAAACAACATCCTATGGAATTCATGTGATGTATCTTTGTGCATTTCCAATTTCAATAACTTATAATTTGTTAATTCCTTCTGTTTAATGTGTTAAGGTTTAACACAGTGTTCAATGGATACAATTTGCTAAATCCAATCCATTGATTCTGTATAACGTTGCATGATATATCCTTCATGTATCGATCATATGTCTCTATTTATGCACTGCTATATGATATCAATCCTGTATCTAGTTCACTTTATGAATGGCATACTAGGATATCACTGTATTCCTCATTGTACATGTATATACGAAACGAAATTTGTGCATCCACTACAGGACAAAACAGAAATGGTTCACTGTTGTAGAGGGGAATTCTAACCATTCCAACTTTAGGACTTGTCATTGTATAGATTACCATCACAACTCTTACAGCGTAGTCTCCTGGAAATTAGATAATGACATTTATAAGTTGTTAAAATATCAATCTTGAGTGTTAAGCACTATAACAAATCTAGAATCTGATCAATCATTTTCATGTGATAATTAAGGTAAATATTATATTCACTTTTTTAAAATGTTGGACAACAGTTTTTTCATAACAGAAGTACATGTAATTGATAATTTTGATCTCTTTGTAAGACAAGGACTTAGTCAAAATAAATATAATTTTTTTGTCATACAACTATGAATGCTTTTTAAAATTTTTTATTCATAAACATTTATCTGTTGATTTATATTGTATACATGCTATATATTTTATATGCTGAAAGGTAATGTATGCTTACCATAGGTTGCTGTTTCTTTACTGGGAATGAGGGCCCATCTATAGAGGTCCGGGACACCTGTCCGCAACTGTTCATGGATCTTGCATCTGACACGCTTCTTCCCCTACCCTCATATGGCTGCTCTTTATCCTGTCCCATGAACACAGAATCTGTGTCTAGTGATAGTCTTGATTCGCTATCTGATATCACATCTTCAATTTCTTCGCGTATGTAGCCAAGGTTGACCTCATCAAGTGCTCCCTGAAGTTCTTCAATTGTGGCGTTCTGGCCTTTTTTACGCCACCAACGATGCATCACTTCATTTACACGTTCAGTTAAGGTATCGGGGTATTTGCGTTCAATCTCTTCATTCATTTTTGCAACTGACTTCGAGTCCATAATGTCTTTAAACAAGGCCTTGCTCAAGTCCTTCCAGTTCTGGCTCACCTTAAAGAACAAGAACAGCTGTTTCTCTGGTGAGTTGGTGTAGTTGGTATGCCTCTCCCAGCCAGAGCCTATAGACCCAGACCCCATGCTACGATTGTCCCCTTCAGATGCTGGCCCATAAACTGACCCAGGAGAAGATCGCTTGTGTTTCATTCTGGGGTTCTTTGACCTGATAGGTGGAGTTTCCCAACCATACTGTGGATCCTCGCCTGGATACAGCACACCAGGATGGCGAGTGCCTCCATCCATTGACCGGGTTTTTGGTCTCCTGTTGATTTCGTCTGCACTTAAACTACGGGGATCACGATCAGCTCCTATGAGATCAGCAACCATAGTACCGGTACGTCCAGCTCGTTCCTTTCTTCTGCCTCCAAGTGAGGTTTCCCTCATGGGGACCTGTATATTATCATCAGAGTAACTCTGACCATGACCCTGACCTGGGGGTGTCTCCATGGTCTGCATATCACCAGATCTGGAAGATTCAGGTGTCATGCTACCAGCTGCAATAGCTACACCAGTAATTGCAGCAGCTGCTTCACGGTTCTTTGCTTCTTCTTGTTTCTTCTTCACCTTTTTCTCCTCTTTCTCTTTTTGTTTGGCTTCTTTATCTTCCTGGTCTTGCTGCCACTTGGCAATCTTTTCCATTTGTTTTTGTTGTAGTTGTCTTTCATGCTCCATATCTTTAACACTCCTTGCTGCATCTTTCTTAGCTTTAAAGTCCTTCTCTTTCTGAAGTTTTTCTTGTTTTTCACGTTGTTTTTGTAAAATATTATTCCTAGCTTGTTCTTCTTTCAGTCTGTATTTTTCTTGTTCTTTCTTGAAAGCAGCTTCCTTTTCCTCAAACTCTTTCTTCATTGCAGCTTTCTCAAGAGCACGTTCTGCCTCCCTTATTGCTTTCTCTTCTTCAGTCTGGGGTTCCATCATTGGAACATCATTGCTTCCTCGGCGACCATGCACCTTATGACCCTTGGGGTACCTCTTTGAGTCAAATTTAAATAAGGCTTGTCCTGTTTGGGGATCAGCTCTGAAGGGAATGGCAGCTACTGTACTTTCTTCTTGTGGCTCAACATGTTTATTTTGGGGGTGGTATGGGGCACCGCTAGTACTTGTGCCTGGTTCATCAATAGGAACTTGGCCCTTGCACCGCTCTACCTTATCTATAGCATTTTGTAACTCATCCACTGTGACCTGACCTTGCTTTGCAGCCAGCCAATGGTCCAAGAGATCATGAATTCGCTCTTCTTTGGTGGAACGGCTATCTTCAATGTTCTCAATCATCTTCTCAGTTGCAGCCTTAGATTGTAAATGACGGAACAACTCTCTAGCAACATCCTGCCAGTTTTTGTCTACATGTTCGTACATTGTCTCACTAGCTGATTTGTCCTCTTTACCACCCTTCTTTGACTCCTTAGGGGCTTCTCCATCAGCTCCCTTTGCTACCTTATCCAAGATATATTTCAACTGGACTCTCTCCAGTGCTTTCTGAAGCTGTTCAATTGATGCATCTTCTCCCTTCTGAGCCCTCCATCTATTCATCAATTCATTCACCCTGTTTGACAGCTTCTTATTTGATTTCTCAATGTCTTTGATCATTTTCTGGGTCTCCTTTTCACCTTGGATATCTTTGAAAAGTTCATGAGCTAGGTCTCTCCAATTTCTTCCAACATTAAAGAACATTGTTCCTGATTTCTGGGGCTGGTCTCCAGCTTTAGCCTCATCTGATTTACTAGCAACTGCTACACCAGTTGGAGGCTTATTAGAAATAGGAGCAGCTTCTTCGGCTGGTTGATCCTCTTCTCTGGGTTTAGCTCTGAATGATTTAGGTTTGGTCTGATCAGTTTGGGGAGTATGGTACTGTTGTTGGGGTGATGGTTTCTCTAGGTCGGCAGGTCTAGATATTTGTGCCGACTGTTTGGGGGGAGTTTCTCTTGGTTGGTATGGGCGTTGCGGAGATGCAGCTGTTGCAGCAACTGTTGACAAAAATAAATTCTGGATTTTATCATCAGCATTGTCTGGAGCAATTGCCTGTTTGGGCTGTTTTTGAGATAATGGCGTACGGCGTACTGGTTTGGGTGAGATTTGTGGCTTCTCCTTTTGAATTCTCTGCACTGGTTTTGATGAAGCAGCTACAGGTGGAGTATCGAGAGACTTATCAGGTTTAGATATATGAATGTTGCTGTCCTCTAATAAGTCGAGATCAGTAAAGAATGCTTTCCTCTTAGCTTCGGGGGTGCTGGCACTCATTGGGCCTTCTTCATCTTCTGGAGAGGGAAGGTCATCATCAATATTTGTCTCAACAGGTTTGCGTTTTGGAGCAACATCTGAGACATCATCAATGTTAGTCTCTTTAGATGGTTGTCTTGGAACATCAGAGACATCATCAATGTTTGTTTCCTTAGATGGTTGTCTTGGATGCCCTTGAGGACTACCCTTAGCACCAGGATGATCCAAAGGTTTTGCTCTTTGATTGCCTTTGTGTTGGTTATAATCAGCACTAACAGCAGCAGCTGTAGAAGCAACCTGACCCAGCCATAAATCAGATACTTTCTGATCAGCATTGTCGCTAGTTACAGGAGCATGCTTTGGTCTTTGGAGCTCACCAGTCACTTGAGGCTGTATAGGAGGATGTTGTTTAGCTTCATGGAGCTTTGTATCCTTAGGTGTAGGTTCATCATCTATTGGGGTCTCAACAGAGTGTGGTACTGTACCTGTTGGTTTACTTCCCTTCTTCTTTGGCCTAAATGAGAATCGTCCTCCTTTTTCCCTCTCCATCTTCTGAGGCTCCTCTTCAAGGCTATCATTGTTGGCTTTGTCATGAGTTTTGTCTTTATCTTTTTTAAACCTAGCCATGAGACCACCACCTTTCTTCTTAGTTTTCCCTGAGCTGGGTGTGTCAGAAGCAACTGATGATGTATCATCAAAGCTGGTGTTAGCTTTATTCGAGGATGTCTCTACTACTTCCGGTGTTTTTTGTATTTTAGTTGAGACTCGTGGCTGTTGATTTTTAGCTAGAACCATTTGATTTTGTGCAGCATCAGCTGCTACTTGAGCCATGAAAAGATCTGCTGTGGCATTGGAGTCATCGTGTTTTAAGGGAGGCTGTCTTCCTTGATGACCTTGTCTACTTGAAGTGGGTGTATTCACATTCTCATTTGGTTCTTTGTCTTCACTGACTGTAGAGTCATCCATACCATCTCCCGATTTTGATTTCTTCTTACCCCTTAGTGAGAGTCTCCCCGGTTTTCCTCGTCCTGGCTTCACAGTTGCATCATCATCACAATTTGCTTCAAGGATGTCATCAATATTAGTCTCTTTACCTTGCTGATTGTCCTTGTTACGTTTAAACAAAGCCTGTCCTTTATTCTTAGGTTGGTCTTCTTCTTGTTCCTCAGAGATCGCGCTAGGTATCACAGATGACATGTTGACATCATATGACCCAGACTCATTCTCAAGGGAGCTATCTGGACTGATTGTGTCTCCATCACTATCAACTTTCTTTTCATCTGGGCCCCTCCCTTCCTTCAAACCTTCAACTCTGGCAGCAGATTCAATGACCTGTGCTGTGAAAAGGCTACCAACTTTGGAATCTGCATCATCTGGTCTATACTCCTTTCTTTGTTGTCCAGGTGCATGTGTTACAGGCATGGCATCTATGGGTTTAAACTGATTCTGTTTTGATGCAACCATATTCTCATTGTCGTTGTAGTTTTGGCCAGTAGGTCCTGCTTTGTTAGTTTCTCCACTTTGGTTGGTAGTTTCATTTGGGGTGTCATCGATATTAGGTTTCCCTACATCCCTGTGAGAGAGATCAGGTCTCTCACGTAATATGTCTTTAACTTGATTATTGCCTTGAGCTGCTGCTAATTCATCTTCATCTTCAGAAGCCTCTTCGACATTAACAATCTCAACAACTTCAACTTTCTGTACAGTGTCAGCCTGTGTTGCTTGGACCTCAGCTACTTGTTCTACTTGTTGGCTCCACAAACCTCCTATCTTGCCCAAACTGTCCTCCTTTCCCTTGGAACGTTTGTCATACTTTGAGAAATCTACTTTTTTTACGCCAGGCATGGAGATGAATGCTGAAGGTCTGTCTTCATCATCATCAAATTCCTCTACTTCAAAGTATTCATCATGATCAGAGTAGCTTACATGTTTTTTCTTTTTCTTAATTCTACCTTCACCTACACGCTCATCAGTACCAGAGTCAAGCGCTGATGATTCACTAAGGGCTGCTTTAGATGGTCTAAGATCACCATTTTTATCTGAAGCATTTCGTAGTTTGTCTTTAGCATCTTCAATCACATCATCGTCATCGTATACATCATCAATATTAGTTTCCTTTTTAGGTGGTTCATAGACATCATCTATATTTGTTTCAATCTTAGGTTGTTGGTGTTGAGAAAGGAACATACCACCAACAGCCCCAGCTACTGCAGCTCCTGCTAGATCATCCTTTGGCTTGTGTTTGTTCTTAATAGCTTCAATGTCTCTTTCATATTGTTGCTCTTTAGCAGATTTGAATGATTTAGGTTGTTTAGAGTCTGTCACTGGGGGTGCAGGTGCAAGTCTGGTGGGTACCAGTTTTCCTTCACTGCTGACTGTGACCAGGGTGCCAGTATCATCTGGCTCTTCATCAGATGATGTTGAACCAATGCTTGCTCTTCTGGCAGTTAGCCTATCCTGTAGGTGTTGTTGGCTATCATCTTTAGCTTTATTTGGTTCAGTTTCCTTTATACCGGGGCTCTTTAGTTCAGACTCATCTTCTTCCTTGATGGAGTTAGGGTCAAAGGTTTGGTGTGCCAGCCACATGTTTGTAATAGCAGCATGGTCCTTCTCTGTTGTAAGCACAGTTTTGTTGGATATCCCTGCCTTAGGTTTATCTTTAGCTTGTGATGGTGGGGCAGGAGGAGGGACATTAGGCCTAGATAGGGGACTTTTAGGAGGACTTCCAGGAGAGTCACCCTCCTGAGGGATCTTATCAGTTGCAACAGGTCTGAATCCCTTCTTTGTGGTTGTCAGCTCACTGGGCCTAAAGCCCCTTGATGGAGAAGCTCTCTGGGTGGCTGGTTCTTCAACATCTAGTGTTTTCGGAGGAGGGTTCTTTTCCTTAGGGGCTTTAAATGAGATTATTCTCGTAGCATCAGACTCGGATGTTTCTGATATATCTGTGATGTCTGAAGTAGGGGTTTCACTGGGAGTTGGTAAGTCACTTGGATCAGTAGGCAGGAATTTAGGTGGCCTTTGTGGCAAATCATCTTGGTCGTCAGGGGGTACAGGAGGTAGAGCCTTGTTACCCCTAGGCTTGTCTCCTGTGGGTTGGGTACCTATTGTTTTAGGAGGCCGAGAAGGTGTGGATTCATCATCTAATGTAGGTTCAGGGAGTGGTTTCTTCCCTGTGATGCCAGGGTTGATTGTGACATCAACTTTCTCTGGGACCTGCCCATGTGGGTCATCTAGGTTACGTACCCTACAAAAAATAAATCCACAATTAATTTCAATCAATAAAATAAGGACTTCATAAATTTCATGCACCTTCTTATCCAGATGTTGACTGCCCTAATCATAAAACAAATATCTATAAATACATGATGTCATTTCATGATGTCATTTCATTTCATGAGATAGAATTTCAGAATACAAATATACAGTGAACACAAGTACAAAATCCAGCAATTACTACTGTCATGCTTGGGTTAGCAGTCGGTGGTTGGAGCTCATGCAAAACTACTATGGGAAACTTTATCAATTTTAAGTAGCAATCTAGACTTTCTACAGGGTACCACAAAACAACTGGATTTTCACTGTTTATCACACAAAACATGTGATACATAGATGTTATTTAATGGGATGTTTTTGATACAGGGTATATCCGATGGAAATACAATATATCTACCCCAGGGATTGTAGGGACCGAGGGTTGATATATTGTATTTAATAACGAGCATTCAATAACGGATTTATCCTATACTTAGTAGATTATGAGAATTAAATATGCATTGAATGTTAGGGAACTCTAATGTAAAAATTACAATCAAAACATGAATATTTTATCTTAATTTAAAGTCCTCAACAAGTTTTGTTTTTTAAAACTCAACAGCATTTAACAGTGTATGAAATTAATATTTATCAAATAGAGCCAAAATATCCGAAAAATATCAAAAAATCACCGAAAGAAATTCCAGGGGGTTGCTGATGAGTGGGTGATATATCTGCCGCTCACTTCAGCGGGAGATATATATATCACCCGCTCACCTCAGATATCGATTATATTCCCGTATGTTATTTACCTTTAACACTACTAAGTATGGGATAAATACACATATTCAAACAATATTTCTTTCGCAGCATTCCATGTTTTGAGCCTAAATTTGATAGAATAAATATATAATTAGCAAGCAAACGTGCAACATAACATATACAGGGTGGGCCAAATTATTTTTCTTAGCCCAACCTATATGTGTTATACTATGAAGGGCTGGCAGATCTACAAAATATACACAATATAGCTGTTACATAATACATTAATTCTTACAATATCAAATAAGAAATTAATACAGTGTGTCAAAAGATTCAGTAACCAAAGTTTTATAAAAAATAACTAATATGTGATCATGTTAGCTATAGCTTAAGTAGAGAACTAGTAACTGTTATACTTAGGAATACTGAGAACATATCTCTAATTAATCTCATGGCCCTCTATTTCAAACAGGTGCCATTTTGAGTCAAATACTCTACACAAGTTATAGAAACTTTGCAATGATTAGAATTCCCAAATCCATTGTTATAACCATGAATATTATGACATCATAGTAAGATAACTGTAGACTTATTAATCTTTCCTTGTGAAAGTTCCTGTTCTGACATGCTGGAAACTACCAGCCACTCAGTTCCTTAATTAAGTTAACCATTGCCAATTAATTTGTGAGTACTGAAATATTCTGTCACCCTGTATATAGTATGTTTATTATGTGTGGCATGCATCGTATCATAACTCACTTGGTTAAGGTTCGGTTCAGACTGTTAGTGATATGGCTACAATTGCAAAATCTAGTTCATCACAAAGTGATTTTTGGTTTATCATGTACATTAAAAAATAAATTTCAAGGAACAATCAAATAGAACTTCAAATTGTTGCGTATTCCTAATTACACTATAATTGTCGATGTCAGCATGTATTTACAATATGTTTGATATAAATAGACATCTGTATTTAGTAGAGAAAAATAGGTTTGAAGTTTGGATCACATCAATATTTCTAGAATATCCAACCACAAAACCAATATGGGGTATAGTGTGAGGTAAATTTTACAGGATTTGATGTCACTTTAATGCCGCAAATGAAATCAATGTTAAGCTTTATTTAAGGATAAGGGGTTGGTGATGAATGAAAACAAAAGAACTTATGGGTTCGATTTGATACATTGACATGATTTCTATTTATCTCAAGGCTACAAGTTAACTTTACTGAGTAACTTACCCATATGGTCCACCTGATGTTGGTTTCTGCTGGCTTGCTGTGTAACCTGGAATGTATGATAGTCATCATAAATACAATGTCATATAGTGGGAGCTTTACTGAGCTTTACTGCCTTCAAAGATATATCTGGTGCCCCAAAAAAATGAATCGCTTTTTGACAAGTGTTTTCTAAATAACGGTATTATGGGCAAGAGTTAAAGACCTGTTACTATCAATAAACTTATGAACAAAAATGTACTACATCCAAAATACATTAAGGAATGGGATAATTATGTCATCAGAGGTGATATTTATAGAAAAATGCACAATTACGGCTTGGAAAACAGCTTCTTTCAGATTGAAAGCTGGGTTTTCCATTGATATTGTATTTTTTGACATGCATTTTTGAATTTGTCATTTCTCACAGAATATGTAACTGATCTATTTCATATTTTTACAACTTACCAATAATACCCTAAGGCTACTCTACAGAAATTCAATGATTTTACCCTCACATGGAGTGGAAGTAGAAGAGGCATGGTATGGTTTTTACAGAATCAAATTATGTGTTGTTGAGAGATTGCCTTATAAAAAAAATATACTTACTTTTCTCAGGCAGTGGAGGTCCTGACTGTTGCATGGACTCTTGGGAAGTATCCCCCATTGTTGTGCTATCCAATGTGAATGTTGAAAGAGCACTGACTTCTGGGAATGAATCCATACTCTGCTGACTCACTTCTTGAAGGCTAGCAGGCGACTGGAATGCCCCAGGGTGGTCCCTACCAGGGGGCTGATCTCTCCCAGGATAGGGGGTGCTGTGTAACTGCTCTTGGTACTTGTCCCCCATGAGGAATTTCATCCTAGCTTCCTGATTGGCTGCCCTGGGGTGCAGCTGAGGGGGTGTTTCCCTGGATGCGGTATCATCAAGGAACACAGATGATGCATTTGATGCAGTAGAAAGAAGGCGTGGATCATTCTTTTCTCGTTCTTTTCTGTTTTTATCCACAAATTCAGGTGGGGTGCGGTTAGTCAGTGATCCTATCCTATCACTGAAGGCTGTATCCTGAGCCTTAACCTCCCATAGATCACGGCGGTTGGCAAAAGGCAAAGCACTAGGTGACTCAGTTGGTTCCTCATCTTCCATCATACTTATGTCATCAACAGAGGAACCTGTGATGTTCAATTCACTAGTGTTGGCATAAACTGGTTGCTCAGATTCTGCTCCTCTATTGTTGGATTTCGGCTCATCTGGTAGAGGTCTTCTTTTGCCATATTTGGGTTCCTCGGGTAAAGGTTTTCTTCCTCTGGTGTTGCCATACTTTGGTTCCTCAGGTAAAGGTTTTCTTCCTGTGGTGTTACCATACTGCGGTTCCTCAGGTAAAGGTTTCCCTCCTGGCCTGTTGTCATCCTGTGGTTCCTCGGGTAAAGGTTTCCTTCCTGTGGTGTTATCATACTTTGGCTCCTCAGGTAATGGTTTTCTTGATTTTGGATGGCCATGTTGTGGCTCATCAGATACAGGCATTCCACTTCCACTTGGAAAGTTGTCATATATTGGCTCATCAGGCAGTGGCTTTCTTGATTTTGTGCCTGTATTGTCTTTTACATTTGCATATTGGACTTTATCACTATGCCTTCCAGTTGGTGTATTAAGATTGGCATATTCTGACCTAGGCTTTGCCGATTCACTAACATTGTCATATTGAGGGCCTGGTTGACCTCTACCATCATTTATGTTACCATACTCTGGCTCCTCCAATTTTCTCCTTGCAATAGCATCACTTACATTAGCATACTCTGGGCCCTCCTTCTCCCTTCTTTTTGCATTAGTACTGTTAATATACTGTACATCATCTATGTTTCCATATTTTGGTTTCTCTCCTTGTTTTCCAAATGAGCTCATAGGAGCTCTTTCTGAATACTCTGCCCCATTTAGATTAGCGTATTGGGGCTTAGCGTCATTTTGACCTAGTTTTTCTAATGTCTTAGGTCTTTCTACAGGACTATTGGCATATATCACCTCCTCACTCTTATCTCTTTTAGGGTCATCACTTTTTGATTCTACAGTATAGGCAGCTGTTGTGTTGTGTTTGTTCCAATTGGCGTCATCATGCAATGTTTTATCAGGGGTTGCTATCGGGAGATTGGCATACTGCATACCATCATTTGGTTGATAACGGGGGTCTGTGGAATGTTGGTTGTTTGGGTCTTCCATTGAAGTATCTGAGGGTGAAAAGTTGGCATAGACTTGTTCCTCATTTGGTTTTGACTGAACAGCTTGTTTTACAGGGGCCCTGGCATGTGGTGGTGGGGGAGGCTTGAATTTTGGAGCATCAGGAGATTTAGGTGTGGTATTTTGATATTGATTTGATTCAGGTTGCCTATTCTGTTGATTTGGATGCTGTTGCTGTGTGTTTTCATACTGTGTATCAGGATCCAAAGAGATATGGCGAGGCTTTGGATCTGTTGGTGTAGGGAGGTCACTCTGCTCAAATGTAAGCTGTGTCGGCGTTCTTGTTGGTGTTGTAGGTTCAGACTCACCAAGGAATGAACTGAACCGCTTCTCTGCAGTTGGCGTTACATCATCATCCTCCTCGGGGGAGTCCTTTGCATGACGTCGCTTCACAGCACCACTTTCATTCTCATCTTTCTTGGGGACCTTTGGAAGAGGTTTTGTAGGGGTGCCTTTCATTTGTGGTCTCTCTGTGATACCTGAAGGGCCTCCTGGTCCCAAGGGGTCAGTTATATGTGGGCGGTCTCGTTTGATATCATCTAGTACTGAGTTGAAGGATACACTTGAAACCATTGAGATACGGTCAAGGTTAGGTTGCAGTTCATCCATACTCATATTTTGTGGTTGGGGTCGCCCATTTTTATTTCTGTGTTTATTAACCTGAGCATAGGCATCTCCTAGAGGACCTCTCATGGAGGATGTTTTCAAAGGAAGGGTAGATGAAGCTTCTGAATTAGTACCACCAAAATCAGAAAATTCTGAAATGACTGATTTGGTCCTCGGACGTGGAGGATGCTCCATTGCTGCTTTGACAATCTGTCTGGTGACAGTGTCTGATTCTGGTATTACATCAATCACACCATATCCTTCGTTAGTTTTAGCATGCGGGTCAGCACCATATTCAAGTAACAACTCTACGATACGCTGATAGTGATTCATACACGCAAGATGCAGAGCAGTTTCCCCAAAGGCATTCTGTTTCTCAACATCAACTTGGTGTTCCAGTAAGATTCGTGCTGTCTCAGTGTAATGAGCCTTCTCCCTCATAACATGGTTGTCATAAGGATGCATCACAACATTATGGAGAGCCGTTTGCCAATCAGAGTCCATTGATGTGATATCTCCATGACAGTTATTCAACAGAGCAGCCACTGTTTCATAGTGACCATTTTCTGCTGCGACATGAAGTGGCGCTTTTTCTCTCTGATCCGCAAAACATGGCACTTTACGATTAATATTGACTTCTAATGAACCAAAAAGTTTGATAAGGTGATTATGACCTTCTCTGGCTGCTATATGTAGAGGTATTGCTCCTGCTTGACCCTTCATATAGACATCAGCGTCATACTTAAGGAGAAGTATGACCATCTGTGTGTGACCATACAGGGTGGCTATGTGTAATGGAGCATTACCATTCCTCTCTGCTAGGTTAACCTGGGCACCATGTGAACACATCATCCTTGCCATAACAATGTCAGCTTTTTTAACTGCAATATGTAATGCAGTCTCCAGGTTATGATCTCTAATATTACAATCTGCATTTGCTTTAAGAAGTCCCTGTACACCATCGTAATTTCCTGTATCGACCGCCACATGAAGAGGTGTGACCATCTCCATACGACGCCCTATTTGGCTCCGATGGATAAAATTCACATCAACACCTTTACTGATCATATACCGTAAAATCGTAGTATCATCTAACCTTGCTGCAGCTATCAATGGACACACAATTTGTTTGGTTGGTTTGTATTTCACATCAGCTATACACAATTTCTGAATCCATTTCTCTTTCTTAAGGTATTTATCACAAAGGATTTTGAATTTCTCCGCCTGGTTCTCCTTTATGAACTGCAGGAGGTCCTCCCCATAACTCTTCACTAAACTCTCGACTCCCATCTCGATTGGTTGCCTTGGTAACTTCCTCTGTAGTAACCAATCAACTAGCAGGTACCTGGAAGTAAATTAGAAATTAAACTTTAAAAAAAACAGAGTATAATTTTAAGAGCAGAATTGACAAGGTATAAATACAAATAGTCTTCAAAATATAATAACATAGTCAATAAACATTCAAATATCCTAAAAATTCTTGTTCTCGACACCAGAATATCAGATGATTCTTTCAAATTTTAAAGAGAAATGTTGTAGAACAGGCACAGAAAGATTAAAATTCAAATTTTTCCTATACTCATCTGATTCTGAACTTATTGAGATAACAGAATGCTATTCCAAATAACTGATCCAGTTGTAAAAAATTTATCGACAGCTTAATAAATATTCTATTGATTTTGCACTAGATTATATCAATCACAAAATACTGTGCATCATTATGAATAATATCCAATTTCGGCACATTAAGAACCTCATCATTTACGGAGTCATCATCCATGGGAATTTAAGGAAGAGTTTAACAGAAAATTAATAAGAACATTGCAAGTTCCCAGAACCCATTTTGCTCAAAGAAAATATAATAAAATGAAGAAGTGTACCATAGAGAAATTACTTGTATCAAACTGTGGGTCATTGAATGAACAAGGGGTAATAAATATTAAGAAGTAGGAAAAATAAAAGCTGGATATTGAGAGCTATGGCTCTCAAGGGTGAAGGGTGATCTAATCCAGTTATCACTGGGGACAAACGTCACCTCCAGCAACATAAACCAAATCGAAAATAAGAAAGTAATATATAATACATAATTAAAAAAGACTATAAATCCTATTATTAGAAGACAATTATCATTTTGATAGATCTATAATGCGAGATAGCAAAGAAAATATTTATAGTATTAGTGTTAACAATTATATATTTTTGATTATCTTCTTGCATCTGAGCTTATAGAGAGGCGAAAGTGCAGTGCATATTTTGTATAGTTTATAATCTTATCAAATACTAAGTTGGTATTTTTTTAAATTTTGAAAATAGAACTTATTTCAAAAAATTACTTTAAAGATGATAAATATCAGCATTTAAATGGAGTATTTAAATAATTAGTTGCTTACAATGAGTCACCTTAAAAATGATGGAATTACATAACATAAATGTTTTAGAAACGTTTAAGACCATATGCAGAAATAATATACAAGACTATGCAGAGTAGCTATGTAAAAAAAAGAATAAATCAAGAAAGTTACAACCCATAAAGAGATTATATGAGACCATAGACCACCATAATATTCCAGAATTCACAGCAATCATATACAGTAGTCACTACAAGATGTTCAGAAAAAGCAGGGTTTAACCATGCATCAAGAAAGACCTTATCACTCTACAAGTTCATAAAAGTACTGAAACCTACGGATCATATAGCTTAATAGAGAAGATTCCAATGGAGTGAAAAATAGGAGAAATGTAATTATGCCATGCATCATGAGCAAGCAAAAGGTATATGGTACTCTTGCATTCCAAAGCTTAGCCATTTTGCTATGCAGAAAGGAGGCATATTGTGCCATATACAAAGATACCATACATGCTCATTCCACCATATATGGTTGACTTATGATAGGCACAGTACATGACCATTCTATCTTGCATAGTAATACAGTGCATAGTTACTCATACTAAGTATATACATACTATTTATGACCAAAGTCTACCATGCATAGTTATGCTACCATGCCCCTACAAGTATGGTCACCACCTACCATGTATGGCCACCATATATCATACATGATCACAATCGGCTACTGCATGATAGGTGGTGACCATGTCACTCTACCATACATGGCTACACTTACACAAATAGACCTATCCAGCAGACACATAGTAGGCAGTCTACAGCTAAAGGCACCAGAGTTAGTATAGTACCTGACATTAGATGTTAGAAACTATGTATACTGGGCCTGTATGCCTACAATTCAACAACATTTATATTCTCAACATTTGACAACAAACAATAGAGATATCAGGCCTGTAGCCAAAAATTCCTGCAAAATAATGCAATTTTCACCATTTTGGACACTTTTCAAGTGATTTTTGGCCAAAATTGGCAAATCTTAACCCCCTGAAGTTTTTTAAGAACCGAACTCCCATTGGCAAATGCTGGCTGCAGGCCTGAGAGTAAGGGTCGACATATACTGGTAGATATTAGAATTTACATGTGCATGCCATAATATGTTAACTTTGTTATTTTGACCCTGAAGCCAACTGACTAGATAAAGCTCTCTTTTACAAAGCAAAATCAGATAATTCTTTCAAAAGGAGAATTATGATAATTTAATAAGCCTTAGGCATATATTTGACATATTTTTTTACTGATATTTAGATGTCATAACAATAATATATTGGTCACACAAAACTAGTAGACTATACTAACTATACATGAACATATAAATTCCGCCTATGCTTATCCAAAGTACATTGGGCCCATATAATATGAACCAGACTCTTCAAAACTAGAAATCGACAACTCCACGGAGTAGCAAATCCCAATGAACACTACAATATGAAAAACATAAGATTTTTGCAAAAAATTCCCACCATTTTTAAAGCAACGGCCATCTTGAAAAATATTTTTGCTTGTATTCACCAATATACATCTTTCCACCAAATATGAAGAAAATCCATCATTTAGTATTCGAGTTATTTTCCGGACGGATGGACGGATGGATGGATGGACTAACTGACTGACAGACGTAGAGTTTCACTATATCCCTACCGAACTTTGTTCGTTGGGATAATAAGGTATCTTGAACTTTATAAAATACCATGTAAATTTTTTACTTTGAATAGAATAGAGTTTCTAATCCAACTGGTAAACAAGTTTTTTGAATTCAATACCTTCTGTTTTGTAGTCAATGATATGTTGTACAGTACAAGAAACAACAAACCTTGTATATATCATGGACTTCAAATAAGTATTGATTAGAAGTCCATGTATATATACAGTATTGAAGGTAAACATTTTAAATAACAAACATACAATAGTGCATAGCTACTTTGGCTAGGTTAAAATATAACATGAGAAGATATATAGTTCAACCAAAGAAAATCCGTCATTGGATACAGTATTAAAATTCCTGAGAAAGGTGTTCTTAATCTCATATCTTGAATTTGAAAATCCATTTTTGCCCGATACAAATCAAAAATGTTCTTGATTCCTCAACACAGCTACTGTATTCTACATGTGTTCATATTTATTTCTTACCTTCAAAGTATATTATTAGTATGGCCTATATCTAATTGGTTTCACTTAGATATAACATAATAATATACTAATACATGTATAATATAAAAACAGTTCTATCCGATCCAAATATCATCTAGTAATTCCAATGAGCACAGGAGCACAATAGTAAAAAAATTTCAGAAGAGCCCCAGGTGGTCAAATACATATGTTATATTAAATTAATAACATTAATGTTATATAAGATCAAAACAATTAACATACACTGATAACATCAGTCTATTATATACTAGTAAGTATATAAGGATGTCACTATCACTGTTCAACCAGGAAATCAAATCACTGATATCATCATATAGTTTTGATATAGGAACACTCCTTATTAGTTGGTACGTGACAATGGAGAATCTTATAGGGAAGGAGGGACTACAATCCACTACCAACTCTGATGCTGGGTCTCCAGATACATGTCATTTAGTGCCACAAATATTGAGAATTTCAATGCTATGTATTATTCTCTAAATATAAATGCAATCCTCAAGATGAGATCACTTTAGAATCGAGCATGACACTTCTGGTAAAAATGGTTGAATAAAATCAGCCTAATAAGGTCAAATCTACCAATTAGTACACATTTGGAAATAAAAGAGTTATATTTAGGAAGGATAATCATAGACTTTGTCCCCAACCTACTCATGCTATTTCAATAACATTTGCATACTCGATGAATTACTAATTAATAGCAGATAGTAATGTAGGACGGGTATGTATTTCCTACCAACTGAGTCACATAGCCCTTAAAAATACCTTGCTTGTCCCATATACTAATCTGCATTGAGTCCCAGTGAGTCCCATAATATGGGATATCCATTATCATATTCTAACTTGTTCATTCCTTATTCAGGAGGAGGGGTACAGGGGCTTGATGGCAAGATTAACAACATATTTGCTACACTTTACAAAAATAATACATTCTACTTAATGTTGATATCATTATTGTAGTGTTAAGGTAGATTCTTGTGAGCTCATTATCTGTTTTGTGTTTAGTGACCTTTTTCGAACTACATGTACATGTGTGGTTGTAAATATATGAAGTAAGTCAACACAATGATAGACCCAAACAGATAAATCATCAGCTATTCATGTATTGTACAAACTGTACTATATGCAATCCCTCCCTGGTATGAAATACACAATCATAAAATGAAAACAAACCAAATAATGATTTTATAAAAAATATAGGTGGATGTAAGAGATGTATAAGATGACAAGTTTTTATCACAGTTCATTAAAATGAAATAGCACGAACCGAAAGCTAAGGACGTACATGTAAATTTAAATAGAGAAATTTGAAGATTTAATACATGGGTGATCCATGCATACATTCTTTCTTATCTAAAATCAACATTGGACCTTTACCTGTGTTAATTAATTACTACCTACCACTACTAAATAGCATATAATTTGCAAAATGAATTCAATTTCAAGCCTTTCAAGTATGTATCCTGCTAGTTTTCAGAGTTTATATTGAGTTCTGTTTTTATTATTTATATGCAAAAATAATTTCTAGGTTTTAGATGTCGCTTTTCATTGCATAATTAATGTAATATTTAGCAGGTTATATTTTATATACATGTAAATATATCTGAGGCATTCATATTATTCAAAGTACACTATATTTCATCTCATCAATTACTGATATAATATATCTGGATGACTAAAATATACTAAACAAATATTCAGTATAATTGCCATGGTGATAATCTCAATGCTCCTCAATTTGAAATATTTCCCAAATGAAACATTTCAAAGATGCATGATGCATCATTTAAATGTGTTATATGGCAAATATAAATAAAAATGGCATTAACATGCAAAATGTCACCACCTACCATGTGTTATAGATGCCTACATCCAAACACCAAACAGTTGAATATGTCACCATTTGTGGTGGTGACATAATAAAAATTGTACAAAGATATTGAAAAACACAGCACCCTTTCTGATATTATGACTTCGTTAAAAAGATTTTTGTCTAATGAAATAAACTCTGACATAGGCAAGCATACAAGCATGAACCACATTCATGCATTGCAAATTACAAAAAACACTTTGTCTTGAACTTTCCAGAGGCCTATGAAAGTGATAAGATGGGGTTTGGTTAATCGGTATGCCTACAATGGTTTAGCATATAGCAATTTCTATCTGTTGTAAAACAGGAGATGAATGAGTATCAGAATAAATACAAGGAAATCAGAAAGTAATCGTTTCCAACAATGGAACCATATTGCATGGGACGCTGCTATCTCATTAGCCTCATCCTGTTAGTACTATCTCTCCTATTTAAACTGATTATTTCATTGTTTAGCTTGATGTTGGCAAAGCTATGATAACGTTCTAACTTAAAAGTAAAGTTTAACTAAAAATGAACTCATTAACTAAAGAATAGCAACTCTTCAATGCTCTCCAGATGTAAATACGAGAATGGTAAAATGTTACATGAATTTAGAAAAATTATGAATAAAATCTTTTCATGTATTTCATGTGTGTTCATTTGGAACCAGAATCAGTGATCTCCCCAGCATTGAAGCAAGTGGGCGCAGCACCTACCTGAGATTTTGAAAATAGGCTTGCCCTCACCTGAAAATCTATTTGCACCCACTTGAAAATGAGAAAAAAAAATCATGAAAAATTGGCATATTTTGACCAATTTTTATCTGAATTGGGAAAATGAGAATTTTGCACCCACCTGAGAAAAAACCCTGGGGAGATCACTGAGAATATAGCAAAATTTTCATTTTATATGTTATCTCTTATTGTCTCCCACGGGAGTTGATGTCTCCCTTAGAGTTATTAATCCCACAATGTCAGCTAAGTTTGTTCTGTTTAAAACAAGATAAAATGATCAAAATGAAATTATCATATCACAAATTGCACCATGTAGTTGCCAGTTTATCTGTTTATATAAAAAAAACTGTGAAGTGGAACATCTGTGTAAGTGGGGCATCTCTGATCTGTAAGTGAAACACTTCAGTGTCCCATGACCAATGCACCTCTATTATTGGAGCACCTCCCAATAGAACACCTTTTCAAGGTACCAAAGGTGTTCCAATTACACAGGTTTTACTGTATAAACATGTAATTTCTGAATACCTGTTAAAAATATAACCTTTAACAAGGTTATATAGTTTCTTGTCTCATTATTCAACTCAGAAGTGACTAAATATTTTCTGCATACTTTTCAAAAGAGTTAATATCACATTAACCTGAAATATACTCTTGAGTCCCAAGGCACCTTTAATAGCATAAACCTTAGCTTTGTCACATTCCAAAGTCACCTCAAGTCAGCTGGCATGTTTTTTCCCTACAATATTGTCTCAATAAGTAGTTATGATTTTTCCCAAAAAAAGGAAATGGAAATTATAACCAAGATTTGCACAATAAATAAAATAAAATAATATGTATAATTCCAATCTCTTAATTGTAAAGAAATAATCAAATGCGTTCTTCAATAAAATAATTAGATCAAAGCATTAACATGCAAAATGTCACCACCTACCATTTGTTACATATGTAAAACGCTGACCACTGGATAGCAACTGCCGAACAACATCCATAAACCAAATTGCAATATGTCAGTACTTGTGGTTGTGACATAATAAATAACACTAAACAAACAGTTAACAAATGGGCTAAATTATCAAAATCACTTAATAATCATAATCGAGATTACCTATAGATTCTCTCTAGGATATACTCTAAGTTTGTAAATTCTAAAATTTGAATAGCTTGCTCTCTAAATGCTTCTATTGTTTCGATTTATCTAACAATAGCTCTTTTCAAGATAAAACTGTTCTTACATGATCTCAGGATGAATAACCTCTCTGCATTCATTTTTTGACAAATTGAAAACAATAGATAGTAATATTTATGAAAATACTGACCATATACTGTCTGTTCTCATGAATAGCCAACTGAGGTCACAGCGGTGTCTTAGTTTTGAAGAATCCATTTTTTATATAGCCTACCTGGACCTTTTAAACCGCATGAAGCGATGCCAAAACACTATTGAAAAAACTTGTACTTTATACACAAACAACAAGTTTAATTCAAATTATTTATGAGGTTACTCAGTTAAAAAGCTTGGGAACCCTTAAACTATTTGAATAACATTTTATGTTCCTGTTTAAAAGCACGATGACATTCTCGTAAAATTTATACGAAGATTACATTGGTAAGGTATTAAGACATAGACATAGATATATCTATATCAACAATGCTATACTTTGCAATATAAGATTAAGATCTCCAAGGTGTGTAATATTATCTGGTAAAATAAATATTTTTTGAAGTAGTATAGCTATATCTTAAACATTAATATATCATTTATGTAACTTTCACAGGATGGTAATCTTCCTCATTTATGTTTAAATAAAGTGCCTCCTCTACATAGTGTTCAATTTGAACATGATGTTATATAGTATATACTGCGAAGGGTGTAAAGTAGAACACCTCTCAGGTCCGTAGCCAGGATTTGCCAGGGGGGGGGTTCACTTTTTGAAAAATTCCAGGGGGGTTCACTTTTGACAATTTTGGTCCAAATATGGCCAAAATCACTTAAAAGTGCTCAGAATGGTGAAAAACTGCATGATTTTGAAAAAATTTAGAAGTGAATTAACACCTCTGATAGTGGAACGCTTTTCAGAATTCCAAGACCAACTGACTAAAGGTGCCAAAGGTGTTTCACTGATACAATGGTTTAACTGTATTATAAATATACTCATAAGTGCACAACATGTATTTTCATAAGTATATTTCCTACCTCTTATTCATAAGTAATAAGTAAAAAAGTATTAGAGGGCATTTTTTAACTTTCCTGGTGTAAAATGGCTATATAGCTAGTAGCTACTGCATGGTCTATTCTTATACTAGAACTAGATCTTTTAAACATTGATAGAAAGGTTTCAAAGCAATAGTTTAGATGCAAGATTTATAAACTCATGGGTATAGGACGCGCCTAGGCCGACAATATGGCCCCACACTATGTGGTGGGGACATAAAAAACGTTGTGAAACAATATCACATCAGAGGTCATCTTAGGTCATAATGCGATTATCATTGAAATATTTGCCTTATTTTCTGAGGTTGACTATATCCTTCTTTTCAAAATAGTAACCTCAACTCCGTTTTACTTACTTGTCATAACCATGAAAGAGGAAACTTTGCCTCAAACTAAAAGGAAATCGTAAATGACACTAACTTTTTGGCGATCGTGAACTATTCAAAATAATCCTGATCAATACTAAGCTGATTGAAGAATATACATCAACAAAAGTAAGTGAAATAGAGGGGGGGGGGCTTCAAAATGGGTACAGAGGCCATTCAAAAATATGAAATGTTGACTGAAGCTCTAAATCACCAAAACAGTAAGAGTGCTTATTCGTGAGGAAAATCCCTTTGGCAGTTTGCTTTTTAGACGATAAAAATAGTTTGGAGTATAAAACTTATAGGAAAATATGGGATTTTTACAGTGAACCATCATGGTATAGTGAATGACTGATGACATACTACCATCAATACATCAAATTAATACAGAGGGGCCAAGATAACACAAAATGAGTCACTAGCATTCCAATACTATTCAATCATCCTCCATTTTGAACTAGAAAATACCTGTCAGAACTCTGATTGCAAAATTATGCAAATTAACACACCTGTTGATAATTAAAACTCTTCATTTACGAACTTTATGTTACTATTGAGTAAAAATAATAACACAAAGTAATGATTTACTGGTAAATATCGTAGAATTGTCTATAAATTATGATCATTTACCTTGACCTAATTGTTGAAAAAAATAAACAGCCATATTTGATGCGAAAATAATTCCAGGTGTTTCCTTTCAATAATGAGATATCATGCGACATTACCTTGTATTTTCTCCTTCCTATGGATTCTCTTGGTGGTTACACTGTCACATATTGCAATATCCACCCAGTAAACTGGCCACATTATCCATCATTTTAATCAAAATCCGGCGACAAGATTTTGTCAACTGCTTTCTCAGGTGAAGCTATTTAAATGATAAAAGGGTGCTGCCCTCTATAATAGCGAGCAAAGTTTATTCAAATGATGGAGAGCAAATATGCACGTATATACGAGGGTTGTCCCAGAAGTAATGCACTATATGTTCTAACTTTATCAATAATGAAAATTTTTCCATGAAATTTTCAGTAAATGTTCCTTAGAGACACTTTGATTATTCTACAAATTTTCACGTTGACTGCCCGGCAGGTTATACTGTCACGTCAAAAAGAATAAAAAGTTGAAAATGTGAAATGATTAATCAACAAATACCATTTTGTGTAGCTATAAGAAGTATGCTCAAAATACATTTTAAGATACTAAATTACAATGACCAAATTCTAGATTTAATGGATGTATATTGCACAGTGTCCCATTTCACTCAAAATATTGCCATTTGCATGTTATGTACTTTTGATGCCTGTCAGGTCAGACATTCTAAGTAATTTCTTCCACTGTGACTTGAAGAGTTTTTGCCTCCCATGTTTGGAGTTGTCATTCAGGGTCCAGTCGTCACTTTTGTAATGTGACTTCATTTCCCTAACAACAATAGCTTTGGAGAAACCCCCAAACTGTTAGTGGATTCTCCAAATTATTTCACATTTATATACAAAATTATCTCTAACTTGGGTAAAATAAGCGTTTTATCATATTGCAATCAATTCCTAATATTGATACAAATATATGATAATAATAGCGTTTACTGCTTTCAAGAAATAAGCCCAAAATGGCAATTTTATTGTAAATTGATTAAAGTGGGCCCCTCATTAAATACACTGAAAATTGCTAAAAGTAGTGGTCATTGTAACAGCTTCCACTCTGTCAATATTTTATCAATTTTTGTTTTCTTTATATGGAATGAATATCCACTGAATATCCACTCAAAATGCGTAAGTAAAAATCAGTGTTATATATACACAGCAACATGCTGTATTAAAGCTTTGAAAAGGAGTGAAAATCACTTTAATCTAATAGTTATATACAACCTTTAAGTATAGTGGGCCTTTAAATGACTGGTGTACTCTTGGATATTTTATTTTACTTGCTGTGTTCTGTAACATGTTTTTTTCTTTTTATCCTTGTTTGACACCTGAAAATACATTATTGTTCACACTGTTCAATTTTTGGAAACAGTGGTAGACTAAATCGCGACTATTAATTGTCAAGATTGTGCTTTGGTCGTTTTCTCCCTAAAGGATCCGGAATTTACACCATTTGGCGCAAAATTGAAAACTAAATAAAATAGATTTGCTCTGAACTAAATACATGTTTCTGGCATCTTGATAAGGTTTACACAATGATTTCTACAGGGGGAGGATGGGTAAAGACACGGTCTGCCCTGGCGAACCTAGAAAATCTTCTTTCATGTGGATCATGGTAAGAACTTTCACAATCTATTGAAACCGGAAGTGTTTTTTGTCAAATTCTTCACATTCAATTCACATGTTCATTCAAATGCAAACATTTGGATAAGTTCAGAATAGCTTAGATCTTATATACTGCATTTTATATTGGAGACATGTCTCTACCCTCACCCTGGTTCCAATGTTTAGTAATGTTCGAATTCTGACTGACATCCCTCCAAGCATGGGCTTTCAACTAGAAGGGTACTACTTTTTTCAAGGCCTGACTGCGTCGCTAACATGCTAAATATAAGAGTTAGCTGACGTTTGGGAGTCTGACTTACCTTCTAAAGGTTAGAACCCGAATCTTAATGAAACCATATCACCTTTGTTGCGTCGATGATGATGCATAAACATAGCATTTGATAGAAATTAGCGTAATTGCTTTTCCGACTTTTTCATTTTTCATCAATGTTGACTTCCGGCGTTGTAGTTATCACGAAATAACGCATTGACCCTTGAACTTTACTTTGTTGACGTGTCAACCAAACATGTCTGGTGTGAAAATTAAAAGAATATTAAGCAATGTTCTACATCCGCCAAGCTAAGTGAAGTAGTCAATATTTAAAATTACCAATTTCAAGTGAAGTACGCAACGAACGAAACTGCGTGATCTACACTCCCACTATTGGTCTGAATGAAATGCTACGTAGAAATATGAGCCGTCTGCTGTATTAGTCGATAATAGAGTAAGACCTGTTGGTGATGCTTTATAATTTAGACCAAAACATTGAAGAACAAACGAACCTGTAAATCGTGAAAACAACGAACAAATATTCGGTTTTCACATATGTTCGGTAATTTTTCGTATTGAAACTTCCGGAACTTGCAAGGAAATCATTCATTTTCTCGATCCATGATTTACCTCATGGATGTTGTGGCAAATGCTCCATGGTTGACGGAACAAAGGTGATATGGTTTCATTAAGATTCGGGTTCTAACCTTTAGAAGGTAAGTCAGACTCCCAAACGTCAGCTAACTCTTATATTTAGCATGTTAGCGACGAAGTCAGCCCTTGAAAAAAGTAGTAGGCAACTTCCCCTATTTCATCAAACTCACGTGCAGTGATATATCACTGCGGCGGGCAGGTTTCTCACCGTAAGCATGGTAACTTCGTAATAAACAACTGAAGTGATTGGTTCTAGTCCCATGCTCAGGTCGCGTGATTGTAAAATTTAGACAATTTCATTGGTTGAATTGTGCGTATTAACTAATAAACAACACATGCGGTAAACTAAATCAACACAACTTTTACTCAGAATTCCTTCCGCAGTGATGTCTTCTCATATTTCAATAATTTTGAAATATTTTGACAAAATAATGATTTGGGAACATTCATGAATACATATATATCTGCTTTATATGGGCTTATGAGCCTTTTACAGATTATTGACATAGACATATTTTATAAGTTGTTTGAAAATTGACCACACATATGATGAAAAGGGGAACTATTTTCACTAAATTCTGGAGACTTTCTTCATCTGCCCGCCGCAGTGTCTAAACTGAGACACTGATATTTCATACATAAGCATTGCCATTAGGTTTTCAAAATTGGAGAATGTACACATTCCAAGAAAATCTCATTTTGTACTTTTTGTGGATGATTTAAAGAAATAACTCAAAAATAAAAACATGATTAATCTACATACATGTTGATAATTTTATAAAAAATGGAATTCATCATAATTATGACAATACAGATGTGAACATTCTCCCACAAATTATGTTTTTATTGGAAGGTGTTCTTGAATAATTACCCACAATGCAATTCTCGAAGTGAACATCTTGATACCTCTTTTTCTTATTGTTATTATGTCATGGTTTAATCAATTTTTATTCAAAATAATACTAAAACATATACATTTATCTAATACTTTTTGAAATATTACCATAAAAGGGAAGCATGGCATTGCTCATTTTGAAGGTTTCATGTTTATTACACAGGGTTGCATACCCTTCTAATTGAAAGCCCATGCTCCAAGGGAGAACATCCATACATGTATGATGTACATGCCGGGTGCCGGCAAGATTCTTTCTTAGTAAGCTTACACTAGGATTAGGAGCTCAATAAATATTCTTCAAGATAGTCACCCCAAAAATATCAGATTTAGAAATGACGATTATGCAGCCATTTCAGAAATGTATGAGACTAAAGAAGACTATAAGGAAGTTGTTTATCCAAGTCTGAAGGTGCTTCTGTGATTCTGGAAATGTGACGTCCGGTTTACAATGATATTTGGACACTCAGCTTCACATGACAATCAAAATAATCTTTGCCATTGTGAAAGTTAAATTAGTCAGTGTCCATATCGTATTCACTCATACCAAACAAGGACAAATAAAAATATAAAGATCTCAGCAATAAAATAAGTGTAAGATCTTTCACAGGCAAGCATGTTACCACTTTGTATAAGGACCATTTTGAAGAGGTGAAATTAAGGCCTATAGGTGCATTTATGTACCTTGATATATTGTTTTTATTACTCAAAAGATAACTGAAGAAGATGAGTAAGCTTAGATCGTGCCAGTCATCCCAATTTGGGTCTATCAGTTCAGAATTTCGTGACCCCTGGCAAGCCTTGTATTGCATTGTGACTTAACTCGAAGCATTGTGATTTTAGCAACAACACAGTGGATGACCCTTGCACACTAGGAAGCTGTGAACACTACTTCTGCAGGTAATGAATAACCCATTTAAGTCCACCCTAGGCACAACTTTGAACTATCAATGAAAGCATTCATATTCCAGTGGGAACTTTACATTATACATTATTCTCACGTAAGAAACTAAACAAAAGAAGATTTTTGCAGACATGTATGAACTTAATTACAGTGCATGCCATGTCCTACCTACAGGTTGATTTTTCCTTCTGAAATGGATTTTGTGAACTGCCTTGTGTTCTCATAATTTCAGAATTTATGTTTTTCCTTAAAGTATGTTGCCTAATTGCTTAAAGGAATATTCCTTGCCAGACCCTTTCTCTCTTGATATGGAAGCTATAATCATATATATAGTTTCCATATTTAGCAAAACATGGGAAAATGTTTTAATATGGTCAATATTGATCATTTAAAAATCTAGTGCTTATTTCCAGTGAGCTGCCGTCTTTTAAGATTTCTTGCAGGAAGTGATGTCATCAACTCTCAACTTCTATAACCTTGCCCATAACAGTATAGGAAAGTAGCACAAAATCACTTCTAGACAAGTGATCATTACTTTCTGTGCAAAAATATTTTCAGGGCTTGTCAACTTAGAATAGAAAAAGAGATTTTCAGAAGGATTAAATAAGATACAAAGTTGAAAAAGAATATTTAGCCGGTTTTGTAATTCTTAATTGCTCCTCACCTAATGCTATATGCAAAGTTGAGAGTCGATGACATCACTTCCTAGTGTGTGAACTTTTAAAAGATGGCAGCTTACTGGAATTGAGCATCACATTTCTAAGTGATCAAATTTGACCATATCAAAACATTTTTGCGTGTTGCTAAACATGGCAAGCATATATGGTTATAGCTACCATATGAGGAGAGAGATGGTTTGGCAAGGAATATTCCTTTAAGCAAACTACTTTAAACAAAATCAACAATATAACAGTGCTCTTGGTTTCAAATGTACGAAAAATAAAAAAAAGTAATGATTCTCATCTGAATGTAAAGTTACCATCTGTACGGTAACTTTACATTCAGTTTCGCTCTGTTAGTTAGTCAATGTTTATGACTAGTTAGTCAATGTTTATGACATAGTTCGACTGCTTTTACAGTAGGCATTTAATCCATATTCAAATATCTGTAATGTTGTTGATCTTTATTTTAGAAAATGTGCAGAGGCTTTCAAAGGTGAAAAGTGTCCTGTTTGTGACATGCCATCCTATGCAGGAGAAGTCCAGAGTAATCGCCAGTTGGCAAATGCTGTTAAACTCTGCAGGAGACTCAACCTATTGCTCCTTAAAGACATTAGTCAAGATATCAACAACAAAGGTATGTACAGTAAGGGATGTTTAACATTATCAGACCAAAGGTCGAGGTCAACAGTAGTTTCAAGGTTTACAGTCGCGGTATATGACTTTGACGGTTGATCGAATGGAGAGGTCTACAATTGTTTTGTTAGTTAGCAATATTTTTTTCGAAAATCTGAAGACAGTGCAAGTAGCTAAACTCTCTGTATTCGGCACATCACGGCATACTCATTAGTAAATTAATGTTAATTTTACGTTTCTATTTGTATTTTTTCTATATTTGTTGTCTATTAAGTCAAAATATCATTTTCATCAACGTTTATAAAATGTCCGTCTTTCCTGTTTTTTGTGACGTCATGAAGCTATTTTTTAAAAGTAGCGGTCAACAGTACATATTGCTGACCGCTAATCAACCAATCAGAATCGAGTATTTCAGTTGAGGTACTAACAATAAGGGATGTTTTATGTTAGCAAATGGTTTTGGAAAAACAAGTTTAATAACATTATGGTTTGCCTCCTCCTTTCATATTAAGAATGTAAAATGTGAAGCGCATACTTTAAATAGTAATGTTAATATTTCTCAAAGATTTGATACAATATACTCGTCACATCAACTCACACTGCTGTTTTGTATATTATTCCAGTTATAAATGACACTGTTGATGTTCTTATGACAACACTTAATGAAGCCCTTCCAGCTGACCATAAGAGTCCAACTGAAGGCACTGAAGCAGAGAACAATACTGAACTCAAAAGCCCAATCAAACCTGACCAATGTGAGGACCTTCCAAGGGATAATCCTGATGATTCTGCTGACAACACTGATGACGTTATGTCATGTGATCAGCCTCTTAATGATGAAAACATTTCTGAACAGGATATTCAGCGACAAGAATTAGAGTCTAAACAGACTGTAAATCAGAAAAAGGAGTTCAAAGTCACTAAAGGGACACCAGTAAAAGATAGATCTAATGAAGAGAATGTTTCAAAATCGGTGTTTGATTTTGTGGCATCTCCTGATACAGCAAACCCAGTTGGCCGAAGAACGAGACGGGGAAAAAAGAAAGATAAAAAGAAACAAGCCGTGGTTCAGTCCAATAAGCTATGGGGGATCAAGGATGGGGCTGAAATAACCTGTACACCCCCAGGAGCAGAAATGAACTTACCCTGTACCAGCTGTAAGAAAATGAACCCTGCCAGAAAAGTTGCATTCGAAACACCAAATAAACGAAATACCAGACAACAGGCATGTGAATGCTCCCATAGTGCAACTACAGACGATGCCAATGTGGACTCAACAGATGCACCAAACCCAATATCTGATGAGACAATCGTCAAGCAGCTTGTGATGAAAACAGGTTTGAGGATTCGATGATATGAAAGTATTATCTGTACTGTATATATATACCGTTATTATAAATGCAAGAATTTTCACTAAAGCATAGAACTGTAGAGGATCATTGTTTTTCCAGGAGTTAGTTTTTCTCAACTGGATGCAAATTTCTCATTTTCACAACTCTGACCAAAATTTGGGATTGGGAAAACATGCAAATTTGTCATGACATTTTAGTCATAAAGTGATTTTGGTTGTCCATAATTATTTAAAGAACTCAGTTTCTTTATATTTAGATGCAGACCTTATGCCTTCACCTAAACCCCTGTCTACTATCAGTAAGAAAAAGAAAGATTTGCCCAACTCTGAACAATCAAAAAAGACAAAGGGAAACATAAGACAAGCAAAACGGAAGAGTGTAGAAAATGAAACCCCTGACATGAAGCGAGTTAAAAGTTTAGTTGCTGAAAATACAAGCCCACGGACAAGGACTAGAAGTCCCAGGATAGCTAGTCCTAAAGTGGCTTGTCCCAGGATTAGGAGTCCTAGGGTTGGAAGTCCTAGTGTAGGGAGTCCTGTCCCATCAAGTCCAATTAATAAGAAGAATGCTAAGGGAGAAACAGCTCTCCATGTTGCTTGTATAAAGGTATGTTGTTCAAGTCTTTTTTAAGATCATAAAATGCTAGGGATATAAAGTTAGTTGAAAAAAAGAATGAGTTGTCATTTGAAAGTTAAGATGGGAATTACCTTACATATTGTTAATTGAACCCTGTCTGTAGCTAAGGAGCACCTGCCTTCAAGGAACAGTTTTGGCTAGTACAGAGGTGTTCCACATGCACTGCTTTACTGGATTTTTTATTTACTCCATTGTGATGTTTTCTAGACAATAAATAATCCAGTTTCTAAATTCCAAGCTGATCACACATGTGCATCAACTTTTGCAACGTCTAAAACTTTGTTCAAAAGTGAATTGGCTTACTGTGCAAAAGGAATGATTATGCAGCCAACCATGACCCTATGTAAAAAAAGATATATCATTGAAAAGGAGGAAACATGGTTTCATGATACAATAAATAAAGTTGATGCAATCATCACTGGTTCTGTGGTTTTACGACTTATTTGTTTGTTGCTATTTTTTGAAATGTACTGTATAATTACAGGGTCAGATAGATAAAGTGAAGAAACTCCTAGATGAAGGGGCCAATCCTAACACTAAGGATCATGCTGGTTGGACACCATTGGTAAGATACATGAACAACTATATTTATAAAAACACACAGCATGCTAAATTGAAGAACCAGATCAATAAATTGGTGCCACCTAAAAATTAATGAACATTTATTGATTTTTTTGCATATTCAAATATCTTCATTAAAATAATCAATATCAGTTTTGAGAGTGAGATGGAATTTTCAGTTCCTCCCCTCATATGTAATTTATTATGTTTTTGAACATCAATGTATGTATTGACATTATCCATGAGCACCCTTTCCTTTGCTGGAGTCAGTTAAAAGTGAAAAGTAAAAAACTGGTCCTTGTCAACAATATGTCATTGTGTTACCACTTATTTGGAGTCTGTAACAAATTCTTACAACTTCCAATAACTTAACAAATACTGTTTAAGAGACTGATTTCAATTTTTTTTTCAAGGTCAAAAATGTCTTTTTTTTCAAATTGACCCAATTTTTTTCAAAATCATCTACAAGTTATCAAAAGTCCAAATCTGACTTTAGATTAGAGATTTGACCTTCAATAACCTTCTCAAGGTCAAAAAGGTCTTTCTTGAACTTGCTTCAAATTGAACACTTTTTTTCAAAAGCTTCTTCAAGTTCTCAAAATTTCAACTCTGACTATAGATTTGACATTCAATGACATTCTCTAGGTCAAAAAAGATTTGACCTTCAATGACCTTCTCAAGGTCAAAATGTCTTTTTTCAACTTGCTTCAAATTGACCTTTTTTTAAAATCAACTACAATTTCTCAGAAGTTCAAATCTGACTTTAGATTTGAGATTTCACCTTCAATGACTTTCTCAGAGTCAAAAAGGTATTTTTAACTTGCTTCAAATTTCACCAATTTTTTTTCAAAATCATCTATAAGATCTCAGAAATTCAAATCTGATTTCAGCTTGAACTAATAATATTGTGAACAACTAGGTGGTGACATGTTGTCATGTTAATGCCTTGTTACGACTTAATGGTACATCACTTGACCAGTGGTAACATAAAAAAATAAACCTTGACTATGCTGATCGTATCCTATATGTTTTTAGCATGAGGCTTCCAACCACGGTCATGTAAAGGTAGTTGAGCTGTTGTTAGACTATGGGGCTGGGGTAAATACGACTGGTGGAGATAATGACTCGCCACTTCATGATGCTGTGCAGAACTATCGACTTGAGGTTGTCAAGTTGTTGGTTGCCAGGGGAGCCAACCAGGAATGCAGGTTTGTACACACCCTGGCTTCTTGGAGTATTGTCTCAAACTTTACGAGGCCTGGTTAATTTATCAGCACAAAATCTAACTGAACATTCATATACATTCAAGTAAGCTTTCAAAAGGAAGAAAAAGGTTGTACGGGGAATTTGTATGGGACACTAGTTTCTACTTAAATGTTTCAAAACAAAATAAGCTTAGATTGACTTTAGGCCTAGAATGAATAAGGGTTATATAAAAAGTAAAACACTTCCAGTGGATGATTCCTTGATTGAAAATTGATGCTTAAAATGTGTATCCCTTGGTTTTTTCTCCAGAAATATATATGGCAAAACACCACGAGACTTTGCCCAGAATGATATCATGCAAGATGCATTGGCCACACCCATTTCTGCCAATCAATCAGACACACCCACCAAGGCCATACCCACCCCTCCAGTTGAAGAACAGCCAAAGAGGATGGTTCTTTTAGGAACTGGGTTAAAGAGAGAGCAAAAAACTAAATTACAGAAATTAGCAGGTTTATTAAATGCTGAGCTGATGAATGAGTTCTCTTACCAAGGTTTGTATGTTTTGTTATACAGTGGAGACGATAACCCGATTTAACGTGTAACACGGAGATTGCCATTTTGCATTTCAATTGACGTGAATCACGCCAATAAGCATAATATCCATAGTAATTCATAATTTAAACACCAGGTTAATTAGAAGACCTAGTGTTTAATATATATACAATCTAAGTACAATCTAAGTAATATTTCTTTTATAGTACGTAAACTTTGGTATACATTAATGATATATTAAATCCCAGGGAAGTATTTCATTCCAAAATTGTGGAGAAAAATGCCGTTCAATCTTGTGATTGTTCCTGTCAATGTTACAAACCAATGAAGTCACCACCGAACTTGCATTCTTGGAAAGTCTAAATCGATCGATGGAACGCTTTTTATTGCATTTTCTTCAAGTATTTAATCTAATCTAGCACTTGTATGCAGGAATTCACGATCCTATGTGGGAATTTTGCACTAACTAATCAAAGTTACCTCTCACGAATCCTAGAAAAACGCCATATTGGAATTACTAATACTCTTTCAATTGTCTAGATATCGTCTTTCCGACGGGTTTTACGACAAAGTTGGTACTGACCCAATGGTATTTTAATCTCTTAATACTACGTGTGCCCCGATTCCAAGAAAAGACCACTGAAAATCACTAAAATGGGGTCTACTTTCCCACTTCTTTTTGACCGGAAGTGTTTTCCTGACCTCGGTGTGTTGCCGATTTTTTCGTTTTTTTTCCTGGCTAGATTAGTTTTTAAACCTTCTTTACAGTGATCTAATGATTAATTAAATGAATTATAAAAAATTTAAATTCGTATCCTCATTAGATCAGAATTTATTAGTTTTCTTTCCATCATTTGTTTACTTCCGGTTTGCTGTTGAATAAATATTTCTTGTTAACATTGACGTGAGCACATCATAATAGTTGTGAGTTCAAAATGCAACCCGGACAATAGCAAATGTTTATGATTATAACTATTACATACGATGCAGATCATGATTTACCCACTAGTTTCCCAGTTTATAACTGCCTGTTGTCCTGCCGATAATATGTGAAACTTTTACAAGATAATAGTTTGCACGTCAATTGCCATGCAAAATATTGCACGTCACTTGACGGACATGACGGCAATTGCCGTTATTATCTATTGACATGCGCACTTATGCTTCATAATTTCACGTCAATTGTCGTGCAATATGGCAATTGCAGTACTTCACGTTAAATGGGGTTATCGTCTCCACTGTTATATATTTTGTGTACTTTTTCTGATTTAAACCAAAGTATGACTCGGTGGACTTATTTCAGTGTAAACATGTATATTTATAGTTTCAGTTTATATTAACTCTGTTAAATGTTACAACATGATTATTTTATTGCCACATCATTAAAGCAAGAGGCTTGCAGCCTTGGATACACTTGAATATTTATTTTCATTGACTTGAACATAATGTAATTTGACACTTGTTATTGTAGTGACTCGTCTTATTGTAGAGAAACTTGTTATTGTAGTGACTCGTCTTATTGTAGAGAAACTTGTTATTATAGTGACTCGTCTTATTGTAGTGAAACTTGTTATTGTAGTGACTCGTCTTATTGTAGTGAAACTTTTTATTGTAGTAACACATATTATTGTAGTGAAACTTGTTATTGTAGTGACACATATTATTGTAGTGAAACTTGTTATTGTAGTGACACATGTTGTGACAGAAGTGAATAAAGATGGACATTGTCCACGAACGCTGAAGTTTCTCTCTGCTCTACTAACTGGAAAATGGATTGTTAACTTTGAATGTAAGTATTTTTTAATACATGTGTTTTTAGGGCGTTTTAATCTGGGCCTTGTGGATATTATATCATGCCTGAAACATTATGTAAGAAGGCGGGAAATACAATTCTGATTGGGTTCCTGTACTTTGATTTAGGTGGGCATTATGTGTAGAAAGTGGATCAATATGGCAATTCTCATTTAATCGTTCTATCACTGACCCAACGTTTGCATAAAAATGAATCTTAACAGAATGCATAGGGCTTAAGGTATTGAAGCGTAAGAAAATATTTGGGTATAACTTTAAAAGATTTTTCTTTAAAAGATGCTAAATCAATCTCCTGAAAAGTGTACAAACAAAAGTGAATGGGTGCGCCACCAACAATTTAGCATTACTTGTACATTTCTGCATTGATCACAATATGACGATCATGCAGGCAATGTAGAGGGTCAGGATCTTAGTCAAAGTTGCATTTTAGTAATTTACAAAGTAAATAGATACTTTAGCAGGTCATGACACTTTGTTATGTCAATGCTTTGTTTTCTCTGTTCTTGCTCTAGGCTTCAGTTGTGTTTTCAGTTGCCCAGATAATTAAATGTCTAACTTTTTTGTGGTGGGTTTTCAGCATTCAGCATCTGTGACAAAGGACTTGGTCTGTGTCTGTAACAAATGGCAAGTGATGACATTTTGCATATAATACCTTGTCTCTTTTTATTATTAGCTCACATGGTGAGATTTTGCAATCACTCACTTGTCCGTCTGTCTGTCCGTCCGTCCGTCCGTCCGTCCGTCCGTCCGTCCGTCTGTCTGTCCGTCCATCAACAATAGTGGCACGTTTTAAAACCTCTGTCGATAGGATTCCTGTTTTAAGTTATTTCTGTTCAACATCAATACAGAAAACCCCCCTATGACTCCTGGTTCAAAAGCTCGCCTATTTTCAAAATGGCCGTCACTTTTGTCTCGTGAAATTCACTTTTAGCCCATTTCCTAGCTAACCTCTGTCGATAGGATTCCTGTTTTAAGTTATTTCTGTTCAACATCAATACAGAAAACCCCCCTATGACTCCTGGTTCAAAAGCTCGCCTATTTTCAAAATGGCCGTCACTTTTGTCTTGCGAAATTCACTTTTGACCCATTTCCTAGCTTTACAAATAATTTCAGGTGTCCTACATTGTAAAAATCCATGTCAATGTAAAGATTAGATATATGAAATGATTTTGTTACAAAAAATCAGCGAAAAATTGTATCCATTTTTTTATTTTCAGCCATTTTAGTTAACATTGATTTGTCTATCTGACTCGCGAAATCCACTTTCTGTCAATAACAGTGGCACGTTTTAAAACCTCTGTCGATAGGATTCCTGTTTTAAGTTATTTCTGTTCAACATGAATTCAGAAAACTCCCCTAGGCTATGACTCCTGGTTCAAAAGCTCGCCTATTTTCAAAATGGCCGCCATTTTTGTCTCGCGAAATTCACTTTTGACCCATTTCCTAGCTTTACAAATAATTTCAAGTATCCTACATTGTAGAAATCCATTGCAAAGTATAGAGTAGATGTATGAAATAATTTTGTTACGAAAAATCAGCGAAAAATTATATCCATTTATTTATTTTCAGCCATTTTAGTTAACATTGATTTGTCCATCTGTCTCGCAAAATTCACTTTTGGACCATTTACCTTAAACCCTCTGTCGATAGGATTCCCATTTTAAGTTATTTTTGTTCAACATCAATACAAAAAACTCTCCTATGACTCTTGGTTCAAAAGCTCGGCTATTTTCAAAATGGCCGTCACTTTTGTCTCGCGAAATTCACTTTTGACCCATTTCCTAGCTTTACAAATAATTTCAGGTGTCCTACATTGTAAAAATCCATGTCAATGTAAAGGGTAGATATATGAAATAATTTTGTTACAAAAAATCAGCGAAAAATTGTATCCATTTTTTTATTTTCAGCCATTTTAGTTAACATTGATTTGTCTATCTGACTCGCGAAATCCACTTTCTGTGGCACGTTTTAAAACCTCTGTCGATAGGATTCCTGTTTTAAGTTATTTCTGTTCAACATCAATTCAGAAAACTCCCCTATGACTCCTGGTTCAAAAGCTCGCCTATTTTCAAAATGGCCACCATTTTTGTCTCGCGAAATTCACTTTTGACCCATTTCCTAGCTTTACAAATAATTTCAAGTGTCCTACATTGTAAAAATCCATGTCAATGTAAAGAGTAGATGTATGAAATAATTTTGTTACGAAAAATCAGCGAAAAATTATATCCATTTATTTATTTTCAGCCATTTTAGTTAACATTGATTTGTCCATCTGTCTCGCAAAATCCACTTTTGGACCATTTACCTTAAACCCTCTGTCTATAGGATTCCCATTTTAAGTTAATTTTGTTCAACATCAATACAAAAAACTCTCCTATGACTCTTGGTTCAAAAGCTCGCCTATTTTCAAAATGGTTGCCATTTTTGTCACGCGAAATTCAATTTTGGCCCATTTCCTAGCTTTACAAATAATTTCAGGTGTCTTGCATTGCAAAAAGCCATGTCACTGTAAAGAGTAGTTGTATGAAATAATTTTGTTACAAATTATTGGCCATGTCACTGTAAAAGGTAGCTGTATGAAATAATTTTGTTACAAAAAATCGGCAAAATATTATATCTGTTTTTTTTATTTTCAGCCATTTTAGTTAACATTGATTTGTCCATCTGTCTCGCGAAATCCTCTTTTGGACCATTTGCTTAAAACCTCTGTCGATAGGATTCCAGTTTCAAGTTATTTTTGTTCAACATCAATACAAAAAACTCCCCTATGACTCCTGGTTCAAAAGCTTGCCTGATTTCAAAATGGTCGCCATTTTTGTCACGCGAAATTCAATTTTGGCCCATTTCCTAGCTTTACAAATAATTTCAGGTGTCTTGCATTGCAAAAAGCCATGTCACTGTAAAGACTAGTTGTATGAAATAATTTTGTTACAAATTATTGGCAAAAAATTATATCCGTATTTTTTTCAGCCATTTTAATTGACTGAGAGACAGATGGCTTGAAATAATTTTGTAACAAAAAATCAGCAAAAAATTATATCCATTTTTTTCTGTCACCATGTGAGCCCAGTACCCATGGTACTAATTTTTATTTTATTTTGCTAGGGGTTGCCAATTGTGTTGAATATCGTCAGCGTGTTAGTGAGGAACCATTCGAAGTGCCAGGATGTAGCACGTGCCCAGGGTCACTCGCTCCAATGACAGCTCGTACAAATATGGAACAACAAGTGAGTGAAAGGTTGAAAGGATAGGTATCGATATGGAGAACTGAATTCAAAAATGTTTTTCTCTTAAACCAATCATTGAAAACATTCTGTAAAAAACATGGTTTTTTATGTAATGTTGACTGATTGACAACAATTTAATGCGAAAATTATTTAGAAATATTTTATATAACTGTTTTTGTTAACATTTTTTTTTTTAGTGCAATTGTTTTTGCTCCTTTCTACCAATTCTTGAGATGAAATAAAATGTCTTTCCGAACCTTGTTGGAACAAAATAGCATATACAACATGTTTTTAGACCTCTCAATATTAAAGTTATACAAAGGAATTTTTGGTTGATTTTAAAAAAGTATTCAAAAAATTAAAACAAAATCCCTCCAAAATAGATAAAAATCAAGAAAAACCTTTTATTTCATTAACAAGATAGTTTTTTAAAATCAACCAACATTTCCCTTGTACAATTACAATATTGAGAGACCTAAACATGTTGTGTTTATGTCGTTTTGTTCCAATGAGGTTCGGAAAGATGTTTGATGTGTTTTTTAAAACAATATAGATGAAAGTATGTATATCTATTTCAAATTATATTGTTACCATTCAAAAGATGGCCATTAAATTGACAATTTGTAAGATTTTCAGAAATTTTTGATGACTGGTTTAAGAGAAACGTGTGTTCAAAAAGTTCGCCATATCGATACCCATTCTTTGAAAAAGATCCGAAACATAAAGAGTATCATTTTTAGAAAATGGATTCAAAATAGGCCTTTATTGATAGGAATTTTCTGAACTTTTGAGCCAACATCAATTTCCAGGTCTAGCTTTGAATATGAAGGTTCCCTCTTATCCCAAAATGATAAAGAGATACATGCAGGTAGCAAAAAAAAAACATTTTTAATTTATGTTTTATTACTGCTAATGAGTATTGCATTCATTCTCAAAATACTTGTATTTTCAGTTGCCAGGGTTATTTGATGGATGCCAAGTCTACCTTAAGGGGGAGATGGAGTACCCAACACCTCCCAAAGATCAACTTAGTATGCTGATCAAGTTTGGAGGTGGAAAACTTCTAACACGTGAACCTAAATTAGAGAACCTTAATGCTCTTGGTTTGAGGACCCCTTATCACAGTAAAAAAGAAACAGACAGTAGTGAATGTTCAGTGTTTATTGTACATGATCCTAAGAGTCTTAAGAAGCCAATAAGGAGTTCAAATATGTGCAGTGTGCCTGCAACTTGGGTTATGGATTGTATTGCAAAATTTGAGCTTCTTGATTTTCCAGAAGTTTAGCATGGACTATGGATAAAGGGGTTGTATAAAAAGTACAATTTTACTTCAGTGCATCATTGATATATTGAGATGATCCCTCAGATTTTGAGTCAACTTGGAATGGATAATAAGGCATGCATTGTTATTGTCAATAAAGATGCATGCAGTATAATACAATGCATCTTCTTTAAGTGAATAATTCATATAGCTAGAGTACTTAGAGCTGATTAAAAGGACCCCGTCTGTTAATTCATAACAGTTTGAAATTTGCAAAGTCAACAGACTTTGAAATAAAGCTTGCAAAATATTGGTTTGTGTTCACAAATCAACTATTGAATTAGTGAATAGGGTATAATTAGTTCGGCTTTAGTGCACTGCATGTGACAGTCAATCGCCTTTTGTGCCACACTGGTTTTTGGATAGCTTAACACATGTCAATTCTTTAATAAAACAATAGAAAAAGAATGCACTCTTCTTTGTAACATGCTTCTGTACTGCTCAATTTTTTATTATTGAATGTAGAATTATTGAACTCTTATAAAAATTTTAACCTGTAAATAAAATTGATAAATAATATCTAAGAAAATTATTTTATTTTTTGTTCAAAAATATATACTTAGCAATGATTACCTTGATATAATTACTGATATATGGCCAAAATTGACAAGTTAAAAATTCAGTGCCCACATCCAGTTATAGTCTATACTTATAATCCCATCAAATGAAGTTTGGAGGGATATAGGGAAAGCCTCTGTCCGTATGTCCATCTGGGCGATAACTCAAATACTCCTGGCCCGATTTTGTTCGTATTTTATACATATCTGCCCTAAAAGTTGATTTTCAAAATGGCCACTCGTTTTAGAAATGTAGATATTTAGGAAACACATGGCATCTTGGAAAATGGCGGCTACTATTTTAAGATTGTTGCTATAACTTGAAAAGTAGTGGAGTGATTATGTTCATTTTTAATATGTGATGACTTATAAGTATGCCACACTGTCTTTTGAGATTTTCCAAAGATGACCTTTGATATTGGCACGATCGATAACCAATTTTATAAACAGGCCTCATTTGCCATTGAAATGGATCTCACAATGTTCGCTGTTGTTTTATGAGTATTCTGTACAAGTTTGGATTGAGTAATTTCTAGAGTATTACTACAGTTTTGAAATGATGATGTTAAACTGAAATAAACGCCATTTCCATGATTTCAAATTTTACCTTGTGCATGAGCGGCACTGAGAGAGCATGTGCTCATAATGGTTCACATGATCACATCCTGCAATTTGATGGGCCTGATTTAAATAAATTATGTTCATGAATACGACATAATTATGGGAGCTACTCACTTCTGCATGTCATCTATGTTTTTTACTCTAACAAGAAATGTAATAGAGTGATTTTGTTCATATATAATGACTTAAAAGCTTTTTTTTAAACTGCTTTAGGACACTTTGGCTACTAGAACATGGCCATTTTGAAAATGACCGCCATTTTAATGTGTTACTTTACCTTTTCTACTATAGCTCAAAAAGTGATAGAGCGATTTTGTTCATATTTGATAAGCATGGAACATTGTTTATTGACAATTTTGCATCCATTTTGAAAAAAAAGTTTGCTATTACTTAGCTTAGTAGAGCAATTTTGTAAAGAGGATAGGCATTTGATGGGATTTGCCACACCTTGGTGCTGCTGTTGTCTAGTTATGATATAGAAATGGATTTACAGTGTTGAACTGAAAAGCATTCAAAATTGTGTACATTTTAAACTTTTCAAGGGTCTTCTAACCATATGAGGTAAGTGGCTAGGGCATATGGATAATTTAACATATGTAATGAAAAGAATGGGTATCGATATGGCGAACTTTTTGAACACACGTTTCTCTTAAACCAGTCATCAAAAATTTCTGAAAATCTTACAAATTGTCAATTTAATGGCCATCTTTTGAATGGTAACAATATAATTTGAAATAGATATACATACTTTCATCTATATTGTTTTAAAAAACACATCAAACACTTGTTTTGTTCTTGGTATCATGTTTCCAGAGTGAAATGAAACATCTTTCCGAACCTCATTGGAACAAAACGACACAAACAAAACATGTTTAGGTCTCTCAATATTGCATACCTGCCAACCTCTCAGAGAAAAAAAACAGGAGTTTTTTTTTAAAAAAACAGGAGAATCCAGGAGATATTTTGCAAAAAACAGGAGAAAAACAGGAGACTTTTACTGAAAAAAGCAGGAGAAAACAGGAGACTTCTTTTAAAAAACAGGAGAAAACAGGAGGTTTCTTTTAGAAAACAAGTAACCATCTAAAAAACAGGAGAAAACAGGAGATTTTCAGTCTAAACAGGAGATTTTCTTTAAAAACAGGAGTAAACAATTTATTTTAAAAGCATGAGAAAACAGATTATCTTTAAAAACAGGAGAAAACAGGGTATTTTCTTTTAAAACGGGAGAAAACAGGATATTTTCCTTAAAAACAAGAGAAAACAGGATATTTTCTTTAAAAACAGGAGAAAACAGGAGACTTCTTTATAAAACAGGAAGTTTCTCTTGGTAAAGATACCAAGTAAAAACAGGAGATCTTCTGTCAAAACAGGAGATTTTCTTTAAAAGCAGGAGACCGTCTAGGTCCAGGATCAAGGAGGATTGGCTCCCAGAATGCAACATCGATACTCTGTCGATATTCTTGATGTCATGATTGCAAAATTCGAATTCAAACAGCCGCTATTTTATTCACTTCAACATTTGTATCGTTAATTTTGGTTTTATTTTCAAACGAAAATGCAGTTTGAATTCGAATTTTGTAGTCACGACATAGGGAGTATCGGTATCGATGTTGCATCCTGGGAGCCAATTCTCCTTGGTCCAGGATGGAAAAACCAAAAAGCTTACCGTAAATGTGACTGATAAATCTCAATCCTTGACTTCAATGGTAAAATCATTCAAACTTATTTAACATGATTTCTCTTAATATATACATGCTTAATCTTGGTAGGCTTACCCAATCGTGCATAAATAGACAAAATTATTCTTACCCCGTTTCACGGACATACTTGCGCAGATTCTTATCGCCTCCACTCAGGAGATTATCTTCGTAATACGCATGCGCTAGGATCGTAATAAAGGATGGATTCGCTCTTACTGATTAAAATTGTTGCGCGTGCGCTAATTTCCTTGTTGTTGATTGGACATTTATATTAGATTAACTTTGTTTTTCATGATTAGATGTCGCTGGAGTTAATTGACTTATATGTAAGATACTGGAGACGATCGATGAGTACTCGGATTCAATTTAAAAATCGGGAGGTAGGAGAAAAAAACGGGAGGACACAGACAAAATCGGGGGATTTTTACCTAAAAAGAAATCGGGGGAAATCGGGAGAAAAAATCGGGAGATGATGAAAAATTACAAAATTAGAAAATTGGGAGATGGCAAAATTGCGCAGGAGATGGGTTAAAAAAACAGGAATCTCCCGATTTAAATCGGGAGTTGGCAACTGTGATATTGTAATTGTACAAAGGAAATTTTGGTTGATTTTAAAAAAGTATCTTGTTAATGAAATAAAAGGTTTTTCTTGATTTTTATCTATTTATGGGGGATTTTGTTTTAATTTTTTGAATACTTTTTTAAAATCAACCAAAAATTCCTTTGTATAACTTTAATATTGAGAGGTCTAAAAAACATGTTGTATATGCTATTTTGTTCCAACAAGGTTCGGAAAGACATTTTATTTCATTCTCAAGAATTGGTAGAAAGGAGCAAAAACAATTGTAGACAGGTTCCAATTCTAATAATTCAAGTTTTTGAGGCATTTTTTAGAAAAAGCAACAGACCTATTTTTACTCGATCAGTTTTTCATGCTGATAAAGATATTAAAAGATGACAGCTCAACGGGGTGGTCACGACACTGAATTTTGGCATTTTTACCCCCCTAGGAAAATATTCTAGGGGGTACTATGAAACTAGTTCATAACTCAAAGGATATATGAGCTATTGTTCTGAGTTGTATACCATACATTGCTAGTACAAATATGAATACTATCCTAAAGTTATAGGTTGATACCCTTATTGGTCTCAGAAAAAATACAATAAACAGGAAAAAGATATGCAATTTTTGTCTTGCCAATTTTATATTTGTAGCTTCAAGCAAAATATGACAGCTTTAACAGCTCATAGTAGTATTCTAAAAACATTTCCAAGCTATGTGCGGTATTGTAATACATCTATTTTAGTTATGAAGTACTATTTTGTAATTTTAATATGACTTTATAGTGCCCTACCCCTGGAAAATTGAAGAAAGTGGATGTGGTGAATTTTATCATTTTGCAGCATTAAGTTAGAAACATGTATTGATAGACACCAAATCAATAAATTCATACCATCATCAAATGTTAGGTGACATTCTAATTCATTTATTACGAGAATATAGGACTTAAGATATTTTATATGTAAGTTTTCAATTTAGTACATGTATCATAATGAAATCTAGTGTAATGACATACTAGAGAGGACATTGACATAAAGTCTAAACATTATAATCATCAATTGATCTCATTTGAGCAACTAGACTATGGTGGTCATCATGCACAAGTAATGTACTACAGTGCCCCATGTACTAGGGCACGAGTCATTTGAGCCATATATACCTCCTGGTATATACCTTTACAACCCATTCAGAAGGGTCATTTACAATGTGCAAAACATGGCAAAAGTTCCGTAAAACTGTTAGTTCTCATCATCTGGCCATATAGCAGAGTCCTCATTAAGCCATGATGCATCACAGCCAGATGTTAGAAAAGTAGCTAAGAATCTTTTTTATAAACCAAAGATGACTTTCCCAGCGATGGTGCCTCACACTTGTATAACTTAGTGTAACTTATTTATTATTATTTGGGAGAATTTGAACATTTCCCCCTTTTTACACTTTGAATTTTAAACAACATTACCAATTAATAATATATTATGGATCTTTTGGGAGATATTATATTTGAGATTGTAAGAAATACATTGGTAGGTCAACTGTACATGTTGCTTTCAATTTTGTTTATTCTACATAGATCTGATTCTGCATTTAAATACCAAGACTTCAGTTTACTTCAACTGTCATGACTAAAGCATTTGATAGTATTTACATAATAATGTTATAAAGGAGCATGTAGGTTATCGCAAACAACTTCAGACAATGGTCCTTTTTCCATATAGCTTTGAAATCACGTTAAGGTCTTGTTTTTAATGAGATTAAAAACTAACGTTTTCTTCCATCTGATGGCATGTTTGAATTCTGTGAGTAATTCTCTATAAAAGCAACTTTGATTTGCACTGTTATTTACCATTATTCAAATTCTAATGATTTTCTGGTTGTCTAAAAAAGGTCGGGCTAAATCCCCATTGACACAATGCTGAAAAACCTTTAAAAGTTCATTAACTCTTACGAGGATCACAATTTTAATGTGAAATCACAATCCACATGTCAATAAGATCATATAGTTACATTCCAATGATGTTTTAAGTTGATCCAAATGGAATTACTTCTTAAATCAAGAAATTAAGTGACTCTGGCAATACATTTACATGTATTCTAGCCCTACCCAAGCTCTACCAATACCCATGATGCCATCTATTTTTCATTTATATGGAAAAATGTCAATTCTAACTTGAATTATGAATATTTTCTGACCATGAACTTGGATATATCTTTTAGATCTATTCATTATCTTCAAGAAAAGTAAATATAATCATGATTAATCAGACCTAAGTGATATTAAAGGGAATGGCCCAATCAACATACTTTTTACTAAAAATGATGACCTAGTTTTTACCAAAGATGCAACCTTTAATTATATTGTTGAATGCATAATTAGAATATACTTTGAGACATGTTCTATTTCGTAAGAGGAAAAGTGGATTGCTCCAGGGACTTTAAAGACACTGCATTTAGATGACCAAAATGAACTGAAACCAATGGTTCAAGAGCTATTTGATACATTAAAATAAAGGATAGTAATGCATTAAACATTGTTAAAATGATTGCATTTTTGGTGTGATTGAGGTCAACAACATTAGGTGTTATAAGTCCCAGACCAGCATATTTGTTTAACAAAATAATTTTGTTTCTAGGGTTATTAACTTAATTATTCATAATAGAAATTAATTTATTAAATAAAGGAACAAAAGTATATAAAGTTGTGATTTTGATGAATATCAGAATCACTAATCATAATAATTTGGTTATCTAATTAACATTTATTAATAAAGATATTTAATGTAAAAAATACTTTTTGAACATGGTCTTTCATTGTATTTCACTGCATTGCAAGAAAGACCATTGCATTTCATTGCATATCATGATCAATCATTGTTTTTCATTGCATTTCATGGTGATAGTTATGAGTATGGCAATGAAATACCATGGTATGACCATAGTATTTGATGGTCAGGTTTGACAATAAAATGCCATGAAATACCACCAACCATGAAATGCAATTATAAAACCATGATAAATGAGAGTTATGATTTTGGCAATGAAATGACATGGTATGACCATGGTAATTGATTGTCACACCAAACAATGAAATGCCATGAAATGTCATCAACCATGATATACCATGGTATTACCATGGTAAATGATGGCCAGGTACATAACAATAAAATATCATGGTATGACCATGGCATTTGATTGTCACATCGTACAATGAAATACCATCAACCATTATATACAATGGTAATACCATGGTAAATGATGGTCAGGAACAAGGCAATGAAATACCATGGTATAACCATGGTATTTGATTCTCAAATCTTATAATGAAATGCCATCAACCATAATATACCATGGTAAATTATGGTCAGGAACATGGCATTGAAATACCATGGTATTTGATTGTCACATCTTACAATGAAATGCAATCAGTCATGATATACCATGGTAATACCATGGTAAATAATGGTCAGGAACATGGCAATGAAATACCATGATAATAACATGGTATTTGATGGTTAACTTTGAACATTAAATACCATGAAACATGGTATAACATGATATACCATGGTAAAAAATTGACCAAAAACATCATTGCCACCATGGTCAGAGTTGATGGTAATTTCATTGCCGATCATGATAGACCATGGTAAACCATGGTATACCATGGTATCATGGTTTACGTTTAAACATGGCAAGGATGCCACTTAACAGTTCTGGTATTTTTGAGGTCCCAACCCTCTATTAATGGGAATAGTTAACCATTGTAAAGCTACTCATGGTTAACTGACAGAATTGATTGTATCTTCAACTAAGAAGTCAATAAAATGTTAAAACCAGAAGAAAACCACACCAACTTTCTTCTATTTACCAGGGGTAGGGCACTATAAAGTCATATTAAAATTACAAAATAGTACTTCATCACTATAATAGATGTATTACAATATCACACATAGCTTGGGAATGTTGTTAGAATACTACTTTGAGCTGTTAAAGTTATCATATTTTGCTTGAAGCTACAAATATAAAATAAGCAAGAAAAAAATGACAAAAATTGCATATTTTTTTCTAATTAATTGTATTTTTCCGAAACCAACAAAGATATCAACCTATAACTTTAGGATAGTATTTATCTCTGTACTAACAATGTATGCCGTAGAACTCAGAACAATAGTTTACATATCCTTTGAGTTATGAACTAATATTATAGTACCCCCTAAGATAATTTCCTAGGGGGGTAAAAACGCTAAAATTCAGTGTCGTGACCACCCCGTTGAGCTGTCATCTTTTAATATCTTTATCAGCATGAAAAACTGATCCAGAAAAAATAGGTCTGTTGCTTTTTCTAAAAAATGCCTCAAAAACTCTTTCCCTTGAGATATTCTGAAATTGGAACCTGTCTATTGCACTAAAAAAAACAAAAAATGCTAACAAAAACAGTTATATAAAATATTTCTAAATAATTTTCGCATTAAATTGTTGTCAATCAGTCAACATTACATAAAATACCATGTTTTTTTACAGAATGTTTTCAATGATTGGTTTAAGAGAAAAACATTGTTGAATTCAGTTCTCCATATCGATACCTATCCTTTGTCATACTTTTAAAATGATAATAAGGCTGATAAACATAAAACATTATTCTTTATTGCATTTATTGTTTTAATGTTCAATTAAATTTTCTAATTTTTATCTTTCAATGCAATTATTCACCCTAAAATATTCAGCTCTCAGAGGTTATGGGTTTAATTTGTTAAATGTTCAATAGAAATGTCATATATTTTCACTGCATGATCTGCCCCACAACTTGCCAGTTGTAAATATTTTGACTCAGTGCTGCCATCTTTATCCTCTGCCCGACCTAAAACTGGTCGAAATTTTAGTCTCTTTACAGTCAATTGATGAGAAATACTGAGGAGTGTTAAGGTAAATACTATTATTACCACCTTGCCGGGCCAGTTCAAGGGGTTTTAGTGCTAGTTTAGAAGGCATTCATTTTACTATATCGACCTGAGCAATATGTGACGTCATAGTGGCGGTCTATACTGCCGGTCAATAAGGCAATTAATGACTGGCAATTTTCCCTGGGAAATTAGATATTGTTCAGTGCATAAGATTTTCTTGCTGTTTCAGTCCTGGTCATTAATGGTGGTTATAATACTAATAACGTCATTTCTGCGGGCCTTATTTCATTATATTGCCCTTTGAAATGATGTTATTGTACTAGTAATGACTGATTTAACCAAAGAGGCACATCTGACACAAAATACTGCATTTGATTTACTGTATTTGTCACAATGGGCTGTAACTGTCACAATAGGTTGTATTTGTCAAATTGGGCTGTATCTGTAGCATATTTACATCGTAGTGACTTTGTACGAATTTCAGCACAAATTGCAAAGCTTAATGAAGCTGTCACATTGGACTGCACCCTATGGACCTACCATTTGCCACAGAGTGAAAATTTTGGGCAGATGGCGGGGCATGATATGGACACATGGTGGGCAAAACAGTTTGATAGCAAGAATGCAAGATATCCCCCTCACACCAATTACCAAAGTTTATGTTCAAAATTATTCACAAGGTGGCTAATGGTGAACCCACACAGCATAGTGTGACAGCTACTTCAACAAAACACACAACAGGTTTAAAACCAATTAAATATTTCGAGTACACCAGAAAATATTGATGTTTAATTTTTTGCAAGGATACTTATTATCTAGAGCTCCCATCAACTGAAAGGAAGATGTCTTGTCCCAGAGATGTAGTAATATCTTGCCACTCTCCAAACCTGTGGTCACCAGGTATCTGAAGTAGATACAGTAGAAATCACAATAATGCCCTATTGTAGCATCCTCCCAGAACTTTTAGTACTCATATATATAAGTTCACCATGATTTCTTCGAATTTTAATTGCTATTGAGGTCAAAAGGAGGGGATCAATTACATTTGACCATAGTTTGAAATCGGATAATTATGCATACGGTAATAAGGGCAACCTTTTAATAAAATACTTAATATTGTAATGCATCATACTTATTTTGTAAGCTTATTACCCCTTTAAATTAGATGATTGCATGTTTTGTACACCTAGTATGAACCATATATATTGGTGAGGGTCATTAATAGAAACTTTGGTAAGGCTAACAATTTCCAAGTCCATTGTCATCTTATTTTTCAATTGAGTAATAGGAATTCTTAACTTGATGTAGTTACTATAAATGACTGAATCATACAATATACTTACCTGTTTTTAACTTCACATGGAGCCATATCAACAGCAGTTGCTGCTTCTCCACAGTCTAGAGGTGCTCCACATGACCCATAACCACACACAGTGCCCTCTGGTGTCTGGCCCCACATAACTACCTGCAAATAGGAAAGTTAGAATATGTACATTGAAAGGAAATAGGTTGGATGGGGGGGAAGATCAGCTTTATTTTATGGAAAATGATAGTTCATACTTCAAGGATGACATGTATGTTTTACATCTACATGTACATTGATCTCGCTGTACAAAAAAATATAAAAAATGTTTGAATGATTTATATTCATTGAAATTATGTGACAGTAACTTCATTTTTGGCTCCCTAGTTTTCACAATGCCTTACCTTTTTGTCTCTTGCTGCAGTAACAAAGTGGCAGTCATCATGGCTCCAGGCACATGACCAGATAATCCGGGAATGAACTGAAGTCTTTTTGTCAGTATGAGCTATGCACCTTACACATTCCTCTGAAAGGGAATTATTAAATGGTCAAGAAAAGGCCAACGTTTTTGTAAATGCATAATAAAAAGACATTAGAATGATAAAATAACTGCCTTAGTTATGGTTATGGTTGATGTCAGTGAGGCTGAACACGAGTCACAAAAAATTGTGGCCATAAGAATATGTCTCCACATTTTGGTGATCGCATTATAACACGAGTCTGATCCAAGCACCAACGGGACAAGTCAAAAGTGTTTGGATTAGCAACAGTGTTCAAATTTCAAAAGTTCTTAATATGTGAATCAATATGGGACTAAGAAAAAGTGTTCACATTCAGAGATGTTCGGATTAGAGACGTGTTCAGATATGTATTAATACCTACCAACATCTGATACTTTCACTGGCACTTCAAACAATGACCATGTTCTGTCCCTAGATACAGATAACAGCTGGTTTCCCTTATGGGAAAATGCAAGCTGGGTGATCGTCAGCGTGTGAGATTCCAGTTTGAAGATTTGTCGCCATGTAGATACATCCCATAAGAGTATAGAAGCATATTCAGGTTTTGATGCCTGGAACAGAAACACTTTTTACTTCTCCAAATATTTGATTTTACACATTTTTAGTATGGCCAGGTCATTAAAACAGCATCATACATTAAATTCCAATTTCAAAGTGTCTCCAACTGATTGATAAGTAAATGATTTTAGTAACTGACTTACTTAATAGTGTAACAGTGTCTTGTAACGAGAGAAATAAAGTAAACACACTTGTAGCTAAAACTGTATACCACAAAATGACAGAAAATCAATTACCATATTCAAATTTAGCAAAATGGGAATGGAAAGCCATTAAAGAGTTTTATTGAAATTGTTGAGAAAAATTTAGCCAAAAGAGAATAGGCAAACATTTTCTGCATGGTTTTTTTTTTTTTTATTTATTAAAATCATATAAACATATATACATATAAGTGATAATGACACCCTAGTGGGTGTATGTCTTATCACAAGCTAAAATATTTAAAAATGGCATATTGTTAGTTACATTTATTATTGATGTTACAAAGTGTCTCAAAGTATAAATTATGTAAGCCAAACTGGGAAACAAATAAAAATAAAAATGATGTACATTATAAAAAGTGTAATAAAACATTTTAATGATGTAGAATAGCTAAATGGAAAAAGGTGCATCTGTTAAAAATTTGTACAGGGTACTAATCATAGAGACTAATTACATGTCTTTTGAAGGCTCGCTTAAAAATAAAAATGGTTTTTGAATTTTTGATAACATCTGGAGTTGAATTCCAGATTATTCCCCCTTGAGTTTTAATACTTCGTTTGCCATAGTTGGTTCTAAATTTGGAAATATGAAGATTGTCAGTCTGTCTTGTATTGTGGTCGTGTACCTGCTGATTTGCTTGAAAATAATTGCAAAATAAGTCATTCGGAAAATTGTATGGACGTTTGATGCATTTGTAAGTAAAGATAAGAACATTGAGTTTATAAATATCATTTATTTTCAGTATATTTAGTTGTTGAAATAAAGGTGATGATGGTGCTTTATTATATTCACTATTAGTAACTAAGCGGGCAAATCTTTTCTGCAGCTTTAATAAGATATCAATATGTGTTTTTCCTGTCCCACCCCAAGCTGGGATGCAATATTGTAAGTGTGAATAAATAAGTGAGTAATAGATATTCAATAATGATTTGATACTGAGTTTGTGTTTTATTCGAAATAGAGTACCTATGGTTTTTGAAATTTTTAGTGCAATTGTTCTTACCTTACAAGCTGTGGCCAGCACAGTGCCCTGAGGATTACAAGCCATACTGTATATTTCAAACCCATGCCCATATAACTTTTGAGTTTCTGGCCATAGTGTATTTTGTAATAGGTGTTCTTCTGTAGGAGGACCTACATAAAACATAAATTGCAGGATGAAACATGGATTTTAGTTCAAAGGGTCAATAGTTACTTGACCCTTTCATAATTAAGGATTCTTAAATCAAACATTGTAACCATGGATATTATGGTGTCATAGAACAGTAAATGGACTTCAGGATTCTTAACTTTTTGAAAGCTTCTGGAAATGCCCTCAAGGTGGACATTTCTATATTGCTCAAAATTAATTAATTTAATTTTCATATTGACCTTTAACATGTATCTACCCCGAAAATGTAGTTGAATAAAAAACAGACTAAGTAGAAATTAATGAAATATAACTATGTTACTTGTACTTACATTCTAAAGCAACAGATTTGAAATAAATTTCCCCGTACTGTCCATTTTTCTGTGGTTGAAGTTCACCGTCCTCGTATAGATTTTGTGGTTGTTCTGAGAAAACTGCTTTATTGGAAAGACCCAGAGCAGGAACACTAGCACCTTCAGCTAAATCACTCGGCTAAACCAAAACAAACAAAGATAGCTGTCAAGTTTACAAAAAATATTGTGGAAACAGTGGATTCAGCAAGGAAAAAAGTTAACAGACTGGCGTCAACATTCCAAGTTGTATGAAAATGCTTGAAAATGTGACACATTATTTAGATTAACCCAAGTAATTAGGGCTGTCAAAAATAAAATTTCATGATGCTTCATTCAAATTCTATATAAATAATAAAATAAATTAAAAGAGATATATGTAAATCCATCTGGAATATCAAAATTAAAGAGAACTCAAAGCTAATCTTGAATTGCAGTTCAAGTCCAGCCATTTCATTAAATGCATAGAGTGGGCTGAAAATGGCTAGAGTGTTTGAAATATGGAAATAAAATATATTAAGTATTATACATATAAATAGATTATAAAAGAAACTTTAAGCCACATTTTACACAAATATATACATTTAAAATATATGTATCCTTTATTAACTCAAGCATAGCTGCACACTTACATGGGATGCAATGTCTTTACTGGTATCTATGCCACAAATACTGTCCAGATTTTCCTTAAAATTTTTAGGTGCTTCAAATATTCGACTGACTTTTTCATCTGCTCCTGATGCAAACTTGTATTTGTTGATCATGCAGAGACAGGTCATGTCATAACCATGTACCTGTGGTCTTGCTATCTCATGCCATGATACCTGAAAACAAAGACAAGACTCAACAGACAGGATTTCATGATGGAAAAACCAAAATGGCTACTTAAACATTTACCAATAGTGCCCAAAAACTCATAAGTTAGAGATTATCATACATTCCTGGAAATTTGAAATCAATTCGTCAAATGGTTCACCTGGAAACAAAAGACAAAATTTTTAACCCAGGTAGGGGCCAGAACTTTTTACCTTATCTTCGTGCCTCCAGATAGCGTGTAGCCGAGTGGTCTGATCCAGGCCAACAGAAAGCAGATAGTTCCCATTCTCTGGGTCCCAGGCGATGTCTTCTACTGAATCAAAATGGCCGCTCACTGCTACCCCTGGACTCCACAAATTATCCTGTAAAAAAGGAAAGAAACAGTACTCCAAACACTTCGAGAATAACATGTCTCACATCTTAGCCATTTGATACTTTAAACATACATGTATCTTCAACACTCAGTTTTTATGATACAAGATTTACTCTCAAATTTGTGTTTGGGATACTATCAGGTTTATAGTTTATATCATTCAGAGTTTATTTCAATTTCTCTGATGGGTACAAGATCATTTTTGAAATTGTGATTTTTCTCATCACCAGATAATTTTTTATGCATCATTGATTTATCATTGACAATCCCTGTCTGAACTGAAGATCATTTTATACATTCTTCCAAAATTGCTACATTTCCATTTTATATTAAAAGTTATTATGTACATGTACATGTATTAACTGTACATGTCAGAAATCTACTGCCATTAAATTGTACACTGATAATTCAGAAAAATGAGGAGCATATACATTTTTATTAAAACCATCTAGGTCCTTTTTACCTGTTGTTGGTGCCACAAATGGAAGGCTCCCTGGTATCCATGGCCGAGGATTGAGCTGCCATCAGGGCTGAATTGGCAGCCATACAAACCCAAGGTGTTCCCACCAACCTCCCCTACTCTCACCTAAAAACAAACATTAGTAAAACATGTCTCAGTATGTCTGTCTGTGGTCACTGCAGTCATTACTGAATCTTTCAGGCTATCTAGAGACAGTATAGCTATTGTAAATGAGGAAGTATGCTATTCCGCACATGCCACATTTTTTCTTACTATGATGTTTTAAAACATTTACATTGAGGCTCCTTATAAATAATCAGTAAAGCATAAATACTGATTAAAACATTTATTATTTTGGATTCATGTATCTCCACTTTGTAAATAGAGATGGACCAATTGATTTGTTCTATCATTTGATAAAAATAAATTACGGTCATTGTTAATACAAATTAAAATGTGTACCTGCTCTAACCATACTCCTGATTCCTCATCTTGCCTCCATACAATCATAGTTTTGTCCATAGAGGCAGACAGCAAGCACATGGTTTGTGTGGGGACACCATGTTGCAATACAGGGGGTGCCCAATGTGCAGCATATACCCAACCTTCATGACCAGCTAGCACAGATTCCAGAATCACAGCAAAGCATTTACCTGAAACGGTCATAATGCATTAGTTAGTGCTAACCAGAATACTAGGGGCATACTAAAAGCTTGATTTCATGTTAATGTGTTGCTAACCTTTACATTTTTGTCACTGCTATTGTAATCATTATGGTAAAATAATAGGATATAAAGAGGATGGTTATTATGAAACACCCAGTATAAGGGCAGCATTTGAAAAATTAGAACATAAAATAAAATATTTCATGATTCTTACCTGAAGTTGAAATGGTTGTTTCTTTAAGCTTCAATTCGCCATTGTCTTGTTCTGTAGACTGAAAATGAATAAAACATAATTGATAAATACTGAGTGGAGTATCAGGTCTAATAAGATAAACAAACTGGAAAAACATTTAGACTAACCGACTTGTTCTTCAATCTTGACCTGCGCATCTGAAATCTTTGCTTTGCTACTACACCAGACCACATCATACCCTGAGTATTTTAGACTCCGTAATGAGCTTATTATAATGCCTATTTTGCTTATACATATGGAATCAGGCCTAACAAATGAATTCCATTTTAAGCTTTGAGACTATTTCCTATAATAATCACACATTGTTATGTACCTGCTGTTGCCTAGGTGATAGTCGCCATATTCTGATGAAGGTGTCCTGGCTAGAAGTGGCAAGCAGAATATCTCCATCGCCTTTAACAAAAGTGATATTGTGACATTTTGAGACAGTTGTACAAGCTAAAGGCAAGGATAAAATACAATGTATGCAAACATTTCCTAAAAGGATTTCATACTTTAAGGAATTTCAGTTTGAGATCTCATGATTTTACAGGTGCATATAAAGAAAGGACATTAAAAATTAACATTCATTTGTAACAACACGTGAATAAAATATTCATGATGTAGTGATGTTTTTTAAGAAAACACCAAAACACATTTTATCGCAATCACTTTTTTCAGTGTTTCACAAAAACAAGAAACTCAATTCATAAAAAATTAGTACCGTGGGTACTGGGCTCACATGGTGTTGCTCAAAAGTGAAAATAAAAAAGATGGGTGTAATCTTTTGCAGATTTTTTGTGACAAAATTATTTCATACAACTACTCTTTACAAAGACATGGCTTTTTACAATGCAGGACACCTGAACTTATTTGTAAAGCTAGGAAATGGGCCAAAAGTGAATTTCCCGAGACAAAAATGGTGGCCATTTTGAAATTAGGCGAGATTTTGAAGGAGGAGTCACAGGTTTTTTTCTTTATTGATGTTGAACAAAATTATTTTAAATCGGGAATCCTATCTACAGAGGATTTAAAAAGTGTTGACAGAGGTTTAAAACTTGCCACTTTTTTGGACTGACTGAGAGACAGATGGACGAATCAATGTTAACTAAAATGGCTGAAAATAAAATAAAAAAACTGATATAATATTTTGCCGACTTTTTGTAACAAAATTATTTCATACAACTACTCTTTACAGTGACATGGCTTTTTACAATGCAGGACAGCTGAAATAAATTTGTAAAGCTAGGAAATGGGCCAAAAGTGAATTTCGCGAGACAAGAATGGTGACCATTTTGAAAATAGGCGAGCTTTTGAACCAAGAGTCATAGGAGAGTTTTTTGTATTGATGTTGAACAAAATTAACTTAAAACAGGAATCCTATCGACAGAGGGTTTAAGGCAAATGGTCCAAAAGTGGATTTTGCGAGACAGATGGACAAATCAATGTTAACTAAAATGGCTGAAAATAAAAAAAATGTATTTAATTTTTTGCTGATTTTTCGTAACAAAATTATTTCATACATCTACTCTTTACATTGACATGGATTTTTACAATGTAGGACACTTGAAATTATTTGTAAAGCTAGGAAATAGGTCAAAAGTGAATTTCGCGAGACAAAAATGGCGGCCATTTTGAAAATAGGCAACCTTTTGAGCCAGGAGTCATAGGGGAGTTTTCTGTATTGATGTTGAACAGAAATAACTTAAAACAGGAATCCTATCGACAAAGGTTTTAAAACGTGCCACTATTGTTGACGGACGGACAGACAGACGGACGGACGGACAGACGGACAAGTGAGCGATTGCAAAAGCTCACTATGTGAGCTAATAAAAAGTGGACTTCTTATTTTTATTTATTTTTTATTTAGAGCAAGGGAGGTGTATTTTCTGAGGTTTTACTTACTTTGCTGTGAGAACTCACAAGATCGAATCCAATCCTCATGACCAGGTAGAGAGATTCCCTTCACAAACTAAAAATAAATAAAGCATGCACTCAGGACGCACAATTAACCAAGTTACTCACTCTCTCACAAATTAATTCCTAATATCCCATGTACCTCTTCAACTTTAAGAATTGGGGGTTGAATGGTCTCTTTCAGAAATATTTTCTAGCCATATTATGAAATAGGATAAGAATAAGCAACGAACCACATGAAAAATATCATGATCATATGATAAAATGGTACCATTTGGTTTTGTACTCATGTTTTAAGAACAAAACCTTACTTTTATTCTAAGGAAAAAATCAAAAGTGCAGGTCCAAACATACGATTTAAAACTTTTATCTGCTATTATATCAAATTGAATGTGTATATGTGCATTTTTACCTGTCCACTGTTTTCTGTATAAAGATGAACTTTCATGTCATCACCAACACAAGCTAATATTGGCACTATAAAACAAAGATTTGTACACAAGTTAATATTGGCACTATAAAACAAAGGTTTGCACACAAGTTAATATTGGCACTATAAAACAAAGATTTGTACACAAGTTAATATTGGTACTATAAAACAAAGAGTTGTACAATATAATCAATTAACATGTCTCATGAGAAAATGGTCCCAGAGATCATGTAATTTTCTCTCTAAAATTGGAATGACCTTGAACTTATGTTCTAACATTTCTCTGCAATCAAGATCAGGCCTGTCAAGTTTTATACAAAATGCTTGATTATCACCCAATCATATCTACTTCTTCCACGTTACACGAGAAAATTGCCAAATGTCGCTTGACTCAATGTTTTTCTTCACCCAGGGAGAAGTTTCTGTGTAATTTTTGTTTACCCTTTTGTAAAAAATCAATCCTAACGTGAGCCTTCGACAAAAAAAACAGAAGATAATTGTCTGTTAAAACCTGTTATAAACCTAACCCAAATCACGTAAATAGAAAAAAGATATAAAAATTGTGACAACTTTCCCCTGCTCTTCAGTTTTTGACATGTCAATTGAGACACCTTACCCCTGGTACAATGTTTACATCACGTATCGCGCAAGTTGTTCAATTCTCGACTTGACAATCGACAAGCCAGTAAGAGTGTCAACTACATGTTTGTTTACTTTATTTCTTGTTATCAGACTCTTCATAATTTAATATTTCAAAAGATGCTTTCTGTGGTATTTTTGTAAATAAAAACATTTATTCAAAGTCAACAGGTAATGTATCAATATTATGCACAGTTTAAGCTATATAAAAATCAAGATATAATCTCACCACAGATATATGTAGTACATTTACATGCAAGATGTCTTTTATTACATGGTACATGGAATTACTTACCATTGCTATCTGGCAGTAGTGTAATAGAAACATCAAGAGCAAACCCATTCCCAAATGAGAGTGTTTGGATACAAGTGAATTCACCTGAAATAAAGAGTGAACATCATCAAAAAGTTATTCAATCATACTTTATACCCTTAAAGTACACATCATACTTATGTCTGATCGTAAGTTCGAATAATATTTCTGTTTCAAATATTAATTGTATGACATATACGAGACCAATGATAATGCTACCAGGGAGATTGGATCTGCAGGCCTTACTTTTTATAAATGTTTTTTTTTCTGTTTTGGAAAATCTGATATGTGATGTATATTTCTTAGTTTTTCTAAAATATATTTTGTTGCGGTTTTATCTTTACATTGTAATTTCAATCATCACCATCACCTTTCAAACAAGTTACCTTGAAATATCAAGATGTCATTCTATTCTCATACTTGTAAAACTTAATGTGACTGTCATTAACCATTTATTAAGCAGTAAAATATTAATTTGCTTCACTGTTGGCAAAATGTTTCTAGTTTCCTGTTGAATGTCGAGTCTCACCTCATATGAATGTAATTTTAAGCGATCTGTCTGCATGGGGTGAGAAATATAGACTGCATAACTCACCACAATCAGGTTTTCTCTCCCATATTTTTACTGTAGAATCTGAAGAGGCTGATACAACAAGCGTTCTTGCCCCTTCTTTTGTTTCTGAATACAGCGTGTCTATTGCATTCACAGGACCCGTGTGGCCAATGAGTGTACAATTCCTCTCAAACTACAATTGATAAGAATTTGTTTTTACATTTTTGATTACTAAATTTCAAAATGTCAATTTAATGAATGCTTTTGCAGTGCTCATCTTGCAGTCGTCACAAAATATTCTCACGAGTATAACATATAGCATGTTGTGGCGTCAATAATGATATGATGATAATGAACACTGGACAGGTTCCATAAATTTAAAATCCAGGTTTATAAATAATGGTGCAGATTACAATTTGTCTCAAAGCAAAAATTGGTATTTCTATTTTTAAATGATCTAGGTTTCATTGATGAGCAATTGTCAAATAACTATAACTTTAAAACATGTTACCAAGAGTCACAAAGAGCAGCCAAAAATAAGCTGTGCATTTGAATAAACTGTTCATTAGAATGAAACTGTCGATTGAAATGAGGCACTTGCAAAGAATGAGGCTCTTGACTTGAATATAGCTGTTCCCTAGAATGAGATGTTCTCTAGAACGTTGACTCAAATGAAAACTAGTTGAAAAGAGCTGATTTTACATACTTGTTTATCAACCCTTTTCCAGACAATGGCAGTGGTATCTGTGGAGCCTGACACCAGTTCACACTCCTCAGCTATAAAATAATAAACACTTGTTTTAAAATTGATTAGCAATTTATTAATACAGTGTATACTAACATAGTAAAATGTAACCATACTTTGAAGAGATTTATAATAGTGAATTCCTTTTCTAAGTAGCCATTTTGAATTTTCTGAGACATGAAGAGGTTTGTGTTTGAGTATGTTAAAGCTAAGAAAGATGTCAAAACACCACCCTTGGGGGTCAGGCGGAAAAACACAGAATATATGTGAAATAAATAGATGTTGTGAAAATGTACGAAAATTTCAAACAAAAATATTTATTACTTTGGTTTAAAATGAAAAACATAAGATTTTCGCAAAAAATCGAGCCATTTCTAAAGTGGCTGCCATCTTGAAAAAATATTTCAATGTAAAACCATTTACTAATATACATCCTTCCACCAAATATGAAGAAATTCCATCTACTAGTATTTAAGTTATTTTCCAGATGGACAGACTGACAGATGGACGGAGGGCTTCACTATCCCTACCAACTTTATTTGTTGAGATTATCAAATATACAGAGCACATGGATCAATAGAATCTTCATATGCGTACATAAAGCTTGTGAAAATCATATCTAAGCCAGACTTATTTTGTTACCAACTTACCAACAGAATTATTTCCAATCCATTTGACACAGTTCACCCTCGCTTTGTGCCCAGATAGAGTACATATCACAGCACCACATCTCTCATCCAACTGTAAAGATATAAAAGATAAATATTAAGGACTTTTCAGTGAGCTTATACAGGAATTCTAAGATATAGAGGCAGTTCAATACTCCAATACGCGATAAAGTTTATATTATTCATTACAGTGGGGAACATAAAGAATTACTATAGCTATGAAAATTACATGCTGTCGCACATGTAATAAATTCTTACCTCAGTGTATTCAGTGCTCTATTTTCTCCGTCCTAGTATTCCAATTATAGTGGAATTTGTGTCCATAATGACAAATAATAACTTAAAAAGTTGAAGTGGATATTCACATGTTAAGGACAGGGTGCATGTTGGGAAATTTTCTGCATTCCTCAATTGAGTCACATGTTATTTTTCAAACATGAATAACTCCTTCCCCACATTGTCTACATCTTCCAAGTTTGCACAAAGAGTGCACTTCTGTGTCTAGAAAAGCCTTGTGAGAAGGTTTGTTTTGTAAAATGTATAAAAAATGAGAAAATTCAGTGAAAAAAATTTCTGAAAATTTTCTGATTTTTTTCACTGAATTTTCTTGTTTTTTATACACTTTATCAAAACATTCTTCTCACAAGTCTTTTCTAGGCACATAAGTGCACTCTTTGTGCAAAACTGGAAGATATAGACAATGAAGGGAAGGAGTGATTCTTGTTTGAAAAATAACATGTGACTCAATTGAGGAATGCAGAAAATTTCCCATCATGCACCCTGACCTTAATGCCGACTCTTCAAGTGTCAAGGTGATTTTGTCGCCCGATTGCGCCGCAATGGAGGATTGGCTCCCAGAATGCAACATGATACGTGCCAGCTTTCAAAATACTGTTCCGCCATTTTAAAACCTGCCACGAGTAAATAAGGTTAACTGATGTTGCATCTGGGAGTCAATCGTCCTTAGATAACAAACATGGCGATTCACGAAAACATTCGTTCGATTTGGTAGGGATTTTAAGATAAGATAAGATAATATTTATTTTACGTCGGTTATAGTGTACAAAAAACATTAGCGCAAGCGCTATTCTCCGACTAGTGTATAATAAAATCTATGGTAAAAAGTGTAACGAATAAAATACATGCATACAATAATTTAACAGAGACATCTATAAGACATGAATAGAATAAAATTGATACATAGTATAGACTGGCTATATGACTGAGACATCTATTGACTAGTTTATAAAATTGAGGTGATAAGTTATTATTTGCACATTGCACATTTACAATCCTGACCCTCCCATTGGGAGATTAAACGTTTGAACTCTCCCAAGGAAATTGCCAATCTGCATTTATTGGGGAGGCTGTTCCAAATGAAAGCAGCATCCACTCTGAGAGAGTGTCTACCATAGCGAGAACTACGGTATGGAGGGACATTGATTGTGTTGGTTGATCTTAAGGTACAGCTGGAAAGTAACATTTTGGTAAAAAATTGCTATTACCTGCACATGTTATTTTCTGGTACAAAATAAAGTATGAAGGCATGTGTCAATTTCCTTGCTTTTTTCAGGAAAGTATCATTACATTGTCTTCTTTTAGAATATCTGGTAGGGGTTCAATGGAAACTCCAGGAAATTCTGATATTTCACACTTTCTATTTTTCCAAATTTTCTTTCAAAGTTTCCAGACAACATAGGAGCTACCATTGACCTGTTTTTAGATATTCTATAAGTAAACAGTGTAATGACAAATAAGATGGGCACGTGCCTTCCATCATTTGCAGGTATGAAGCTTTTGATTCATTTATTGTGCTACTTTAGTGAACGGGAATTATTTGTCTACCGCTTGGGAGAGTTTGAGACACGAAACTTGGAATTTAGTTCATTGTGACAACTTTTGAACGTTGAGTTTTATTTTTGTGCCACACTGACAAAATTTATTTTTCAAATTTCTGGTAAAAAGCTACCTTAGCTTACCTTAGGATCATAGATGGCGACTCCTTTACATGACCCATATGCAATCAAACCATTATTGCCCCAATCAACACTATTTGGGGTGCGGTTGCACCCAGAGGAGATGTAACCCTCTGAAAATATTTTCATGCCTGCAAACCGGAAGTAGCTCTTCTTTTTATTTGAAGAGCTCTGATCTTGGTGCATTGTGGGATCGATGCGGAAAATTTGAAACGGAAATTTTTCAAATTTCTCTCAATTTTAATAATTTAGGTGTCAAATGTGTACCCTAGCGTAAAAACAGAAAGTCAGTATTTCATTTACTGATATCTAGAAGACGTTAATTAAAATTCGATGTAAAATACGAATTTACAGATCGCTAAGAAGCGCATTTAGATTTACTGAACACCACCGACGTAGAACCTAGGCCTAGTCTACAGTTGGGGACAAAAATAAATGACAGGTCGATTTTCGATCACCATTTCCTAATTATGGTGGTCTGAAAGCCCATAATTTCCAATATTGTCTAGATATATATCCCTTAAAATTTGTATATTTTACATTTTGTATAATCTCATCCACTGATGTATGGCCTCTTGTAAATTCTCTTATTTTTAACATGGGAAATCCTCACTTCAGCAAATCCACCTGTCATTTATTTATGTCCCCAACTGTACCACCGACGTTACACCTGCAACCGAACTTCAACTTGGACAAGTCGCAACACACCCTACGCCTACAGGTCTAGAGTTTATTACAAGCCCTGAACAATTATCGATCATTGCTAATCATGGAAAGGCAAAGAGATTCAAATGATCAGTTTGGGTAAGTTACACTTCCATACACAAAATGAGCATTTACAACAACTAACCCCCCCTCCCACTGTAAAATTTAAAAAGGTCTGGATCCTTCTTCAGAATTATTGGTATAAAATAATGGATTAGTCTGAATCCCAACTGTCCAAATCCTATATCCCAATGGTCCATATTGAATCCATAAATTTTCAGAAAAAATAAAAATGATAACCCACAGCTACTTTGGAGTTTATTTCTCTTAATCTCCAGTTATTGTGTGTAATATGTCATCCAATTCTTAAGGAATGCTATGACCACTTTAGTACTTTAATGGGGGTCGTAGGATGCGATAAATCCCATTCTACTTGTACATGTGCTCCAATGATTGTCTGCCCTGTCAACCCTCACGCATTAGGCGTTATTGTCACGCATTTGCCGGAAAGATAGAAATCATGCATCAATTTAGCGTGTATGATGAAATATCACGCAAATCACGCGTTTTGTTGATACTTTTAAAAATCGTTTTTTGTAAAATGCCGACAGGGTAAAATACCGAACGGCGAAAAACAGTGAACGCATTCAACTGCATAAAAAGGTATTTTTTCAACTTGCTTCAAATTGACCAGTTTCTTTTTCAAAATCATCTACATGTTTTCAGAAGTTCAAATCTGACTGTAGATTTGACCTTCAATGACATTTTCAAGGTCAAAATAGATTTGATCTTCAATGACCTTCTAAAGGTCAAAAATGTTTTTTCAAATTCACCAATATTTTTTTCAAAATCATCTTCAAGTTCTCAGAAGTTCAAATCTGACATTAGATTTGAGATTTCATCTCCAATGACCTTCTCAGGGTCAAAAACTTCAAATTGACCATTTTTTCAAAATCATCTACAGAGTTCTCAGAAATTCAAATCTGACTTAAGTTTGAACTAATAATATTGTGAGCAACTTGGTGGTGACATTGTGTCATGTTAATGCCTTGCATGTAGTTGAGTACCCAATTGTATGGGTTAAACCTTCTTTATTTACATTCTCAAAAATGTGAAAAAATGACAAAAGTTGTCATAGCTTTATGAAACTTAACTATTGAAACCGATTTCATTCAAAGGCGACGGATACTTTAGTCCTTTACGAACTGAGCATGTCAATTTGGTTTGTATAACTCCAAATAAACGATTTCAACATTTTAAAAAAATTGATGCTAGCCCACATGTTAATACGGAATGGGTAGAGTCATGAATTGACACATTCTGTATTCACATATGGACTTGCATCAAATTTTTTAAACCGTTGAAATCCTTCATTTCCAGATATAAAAAAACGCATAATAATAGCCTGCACAATTAATGAAGGGCTAAAATATCCGTCGCTTGCATGTGAAATCGATTTGATATTTGGAGTTTCAAAAATTTATGACTACATGTACTTTTCTCAATTTTCACATTTTTAAGAATGTAAACAAAGGAGGTTTGGACCCTAAGGCTTTTTAATTCTTCTATCGTCAAAGGTGTATTTGGTAATATAGAAAAAAGAATTGAATCCCTTGAGGTATACAGTATCACTGTCTGAACTTGCTATGAAACATAATCCCCATTTTTCATAAAATTGTATGTTTTATTCCGTATTAATGTAAACGGTATGGTATACTTTAGAATCATCTAAACTGAATGTCAGGTCAATCAGCCTCTCCTCAAAAGGGGTCCACATTCTTAGGTTAATGTGCAAATTGATACAACACATGCAACCACAGGTTTGATTTACCATTTTCTTTTTTAAAATCAATCAATGTTTTAGGTCAAATGTCCCCATGCAGTTTTGCGATGAGGATGAAGAAATATTTATTGGTGATGTAAATGAGACGGAGAAAGCCAGGATGGACAGGTTCAATAATAGACGCACATTGGTTTTTGTCCCTGGTTTTAGGAGGAACAGGTAAATATAATAATATTGACTTTATTTTTTCAAATGAATTTTAGTTTTGGTAGAAACTGAAAAATTGCACAGAACTATTTATATTGTACTTTTATTAACTCCATACTCAAAACTCATTACATAGAGTTCAGGGTCACTGCACTATATGCATCAATACTACAGCCTTGATTATACAATTACATGTATTAACTACAGTGAAACCTGTATATAGTGAACATCAATGGAGCCACAAAAAATGTTCACTGCAGGTATGTGTTCACTACAGAGGGATTTAATACAATTCAGGAGTCAATATCTTGTTGAAATGGTTGGGAGTAATGTCTATATAAGACATATGATAAGAGATATAACTCCAAATGTCCCTTTTCTTTACTTTTCAGAGTTGTAACATCAAGTTGTTACTGAGTTACTGAGTTCATTTTTCAAATACACACATTCGCAGAAATTTCTTCCACCTTAAAGACATTACTCCCTCCCACTTAAATATAGGTATATTCCCTGTGACAATATGATATTTCCTTATGGCCCCTCCGGGCCCTCGGGAAATATCATATTGTCCCTCAGAATAAAACCCATATTGAATCCCTCCCAGTAAATAAACTCTATATACTTATACCATGGTCAGAGCAATATCAGGTACAGGGGTTTCACTAGAATTTCTCACAACAGGCTAAATAAATGAAAACAATAGCCAAAAATTAATGGAAATCATAAAAACATAGAAAAGTTGAAAAGTCCCTAAAAACAACAGGTGATTTTGTGGTATTTAATAGCAAGTGATAAATCACATATTTGGGACAGGGATGATATCAGGATTAGAGAGATGATATTGATATCATCACGGGTAAATTCAAAAATATTTCAAATTTTTCATTTTTTCAAATTTGTTCATTTTTTCAAAGTTTCTATTTTTCAAATATTTTGTTATTCTTGCCTTTAAATTCTCAATGTACTTGGGTGGGATAATATGTAACGTAAATCTTTCCAAGTTCCTTTTTTTCTCTCATTCAACAGAAGATTTAGGTCAAATATTGCTCTTGACCATGGTATAAGGTTATTATTCACCTGTCCCTCGGATGATATTCATATTTCCCTCGGTCACTGTGTTCCCTAGGGAAATATTGATATCATGTGATATTCCCCATATAAAATCCCTCCTGGTGAATAACTACTTTATACCAACTCAGCCAGATTTAGACTTTTTTAAATTTTATTTTTAAATAGAAAAATACTGAACTGATTGGCTCTTTCTAAACACTTCAGAGATGATTTCCTCGTTTTATCTCTGGTCTGATTCTTAAGACTGACTTTTATTGTGGGTTATGTACATTTACTCGCAAACATGTGCAGTGCTCTCCCCACATTGAAATCACTGAGGCGCAGCACCTCCATGTATTTTCTAAAACCAAAATGCTCCTCAATGCAATAAGATGCGCCTCACTAATGTTGCAATAAAAAATAAGGAAATTATAAAATGTTGCACAAAAAGTTCAAAAATGTAAAATGTTGCACAAAAAAATTCCCAAATCATAAAATGTTGCACAAAAAGTTACAAAATACTAGAATGTTGCGCTAAAAAAATAACAAAATCCTCCACACAAATAAATCCTGGGGAGAGCACTGATGTGTATGGGTTGCGCTTAAATATATATGCACTCACAAACATATTTTGTTGGTTGTCTTCTCAACTTCATATACGAGCAAACTTGTGTTGTGGGTTATCCATTAATGTCGTAAACATTATGTATGGGTTACCCTTTAATGTACATGTACTCTTAAACACGTGGTGTAAATTCACCTCCAAATAGATTACTTCTTGAAAAAAGGAGAAAGACGGGTAAAATGTTTATATATTAATTTCAGATCAGATAGGGCAATAAGTATAATGATCCCTAATATGATAAAGGTTTCTATACTACCTATAACGATAGCCGAGGGTCTCTTATCTGATTCTGTGAAGTCATTAATCTCCACCCTTTTAAGAACTTGTATACTTTTAAAAAGTGTAACAGTATCTTTGAAATGAATTGGAGGATTTGTTTTGTGGACTAGAGCACTAGTAGTTTGGACAGGAGCATCAGAAGTCTGTGGTGAAGAATCAGAAGTCTGCACTGGAATATCAGAAGTCTGCACCAAAATATCAGAAGTCTGCACCAAAGTATCAGAAGTCTGAACAGAAATATCAGAAGTCTGTGCTGGAAAATAAGTCTGCACTGAAGTATCAGAGGTCTGCACTGGAATATCAGAAGTCTGCACTGGAATATCAGAAGTCTGTACCGAGATATCAGAAGTCTGCACCGAAGTATCAGAAGTCTGAACAGAAATATCAGAAGTCTGTGCTGAAGTATTAGAAGTCTGTGCTGAAGTATTAGAAGTCTGTACTGAAGTATCAGGCATATCAGAAGTCTGCACAGAAGTATCAGAAGTCTGCACTGAAGTATCAGAAGTCTGCACCGGAATATCAGAAGTCTGGACTGGAATATCAGAAGTCTGCACAGAAATATCAGAAGTCTGTGCTGAAGTATCAGAAGTCTGCATTGAAGATTCAGAAGTCTGCACTGAAGCATCTGAACCTGATGTCTGCCCTGGAGCAACAGTTGTATATACTGGAGCATTAGTAGTTGCAACATCACCGTCATCAGTAGTTTGGACTAGACCATCTGTTGTTTGGACTAAACCATCAGTTGTTTGGATTGGAGTATCAGTAGTTTGTACTGCACCATCTGTTGTTTGTACTGCACCATCTGTTGTTTGGACTGAACCATCAGTTGTTTGGACTGTGGCATCTGGGGTTTGGACTGAAGATTCAGTAGTTAGGATTTGAGCATCAGTTGTTTGGACCAGACCATCAGTTGTTTGAGCTGGAGCATTGGTAGTTTGAACTGGAGCCCCTGGGCAAACTACTTCTTCAGGAGGATTTCCTATTAATAAAACATATCACATTATCTCAGGCTGGTATCGAAAGATTTGTACGCTGTGGCGGAACATGCTATTTTTCATAAAAACACTATTTAAAGAATACTTCACATTTCATTTTTTAACTCATATGTTTCTTTATATCAAAGAAAATTACTTACTCCATGCAATGGATGTATCAATTGTGGGTAACTCTCACTTCTGTTTGAAGTCCAATAAAGCTAGGAGTAAAAGCTATTGAAAACTGCAACAGAGTATCATACTCTAAAATGTACCATTTCTTTTTAATGAAATGATATAGGGACACGTTAATATTTACATGTTTTCAGCATAACTCTTAATATATTAATGAGATCTGGATGTATTGGGTCATTTTAATTTTTTATGAAAAAATAATGTTTAAATTTATTGTCTACTCACTGAGCAGTTTCACAGTTCACATTTGCTAACTAAACATTATTTTTTTATAAAAAAATTAAAAAGACCCAATACGTCAATATCTCATTAATATCTTCAGAGTTATGCTTAAAACATATGTAAATATTATCGTTTCCCTGTATCGTGCCATTCAAAAGTTAAAAAGAAATGGTACATTTTGGAGTATGATACTCCTGCGCCATTTTCAATAGCTTTTCCTCATAGCGTTATGGAACTTCAAACAGAAGTGAGAGTTACCCACAAATGATATATCCATTGGATGGAGTAAGTAATTATCCCAACGAACGAAGTTCGTTAGGGATATAGTGAAGCCCTCCGTCCGTCCGTCCGTCTGTCCGTCAGTCCGTCAGTCTGTCAGTCCGTCAGTCAGTCAGTCCGTCCGTCCGTCCGTCCGTCTGTCCGGAAGATAACTCAAATACTAGTAGACAGATTTTCTTCATATTTAGTGGAAAGATGTATATTGGTGAATAGTTTTACGCAAAAAAAAAAAATTCAAGATGGCCGCCGCTTTAAAAATGACGGGACTTTTTCGCAAAAATCATAAATTTTTCATTCTAAACCAAAGTAATTAATATTATTGTTTGAAATTTTGGTAGTGTATTCACAACATTTATCTTTTTCACATATATTCCGTGTTTTTCATCCTGACCCCCAGGGGCCATGTATGGGGGGACAGGAAAACAGAAATTTTCGCTGATTTTAAGATCTTTCTGAAGTATAGCTTTATTATACTCAAACGAAAGGCAATTAAGAGTAGATTACAAATATTGTATCTTTTTTCTGATTCGAGCCTCGTAAAATTCAAAATGGCCGTCTAATGTACGATTTCGCAATAATTTTTCGATCCCTTCAAAGTATGGCTATATTATACTCAAATTGAAGGAATTTTGGAGTAGATCACAATTATGGTATTATTTTTCAGATTTGTACCTCAGAAAATTCAAAATTGCTGCTTTGCAGGAATTTGCAATTCTAAAATCTAATTTTTTCATTTTCAACCAAAGTAATGAGTATAATTGATTGGAATTCGGTAATTGATATTTTGTTCGTTGGGATTTGCTACTCCGCGGAGTTGCCATTATCTAGTTTTCTTTGGTATAACGAAACATATGAGTTAAGAATAAATTGGGTGGTTTTAATGTTTTTATGAAAAATAATATCCTCCGTCACAGCGGACAAATCTTTCGATACCAGCCTGTGATTATCACACCAAATGGATACATTGTACTTCAGTTGCAAAATTTAAACAAATTGCCATCATTAATCTAAAGAGAATTTGCTTTGAATGGTGTATGCATTTTTAAAATTATTCAGCTCTTAATAAATACAAACCAATTTTACAAGGAATTATCACCCATCCCATATTGCATGTTAGATCACATGAGCAACTGCACTCATAAACAGTTGTTGTAATGGGATCAGTTATCTTCACCTAAAATGAACAAAATTAAGGTTCTTCAACATAAGATATAAAATAGGATGATGGCTTTAAGATCTATTCCATTGTATGTTGTTCCATTATATAATGGTAATCATGTGTACTTGTAAATGTCAATGAAGAGTTGAGGATCCTCAATACTTGAAGAATATCTTTAGATTTTTATATCACCACCACAAGTATTTTTGTGGATGGTATTTGGCCGTATTTGACATTTGATGGTTTGTGTTTGACTGTCATCATCTGTAACAAATAGCAGGTGGTGACATTTTGCATATAATGCCTTGTTATGAGACATGCTCTTTTATAACCAAGAACAAAATTGCTTACCATATCAAATCCCCAAAAGCATTGACTGAATAAAAACCTTTTCAATTCGAAAGCAACTTCTGTTATGAGTCCCATATTCCAAGTGTTGTAATTGTAGATGCCAATGCTGAAAATATAAGTCTTTAATATTACAGAAATTCACTCCACATTTGTGTCTTAGACTTGTGCAATGGGATTTTGATTCTTGAAGGCCTCTCTGAAGGATGACTCCCATATCAAAAGTAACCTTAGAAAGTAACATATGGCTCAAATGTTATTAGCTAATTGGCATAAGACCTCTATTCGAGACTGTATATGGAGTTCAGAGTTGATACCATTTTTTGCTTATTAAAAAGCTGGCATTTAAATTATGAATTGGCACCATTTCCTTGCAGGTTTTTGGCTATAACTAGACTGCCCATACAATGTTTATTTGTTATCTAGGAACTACAGAAAATGTCCATTCGATATTAAATCATGTTTTTCTTGAACAAAGTTTAGATGTCAAAATTAAATAACAATAGTTTTATGTACAATGTAAGTTGTATTATATTAGATAGACAATATAATGTTTCACTAACCTGCCCTGTTCAAAGTCATCATCTGGACTGTCAAGGGATATTTTTGGTGAGATGTGTCCAGAACAGTTGTGTAGCTCCAAGTAGACATAGTCATTAGTACCCGACCCAGCTGTGTCCATTGTATGGGTCTCAACAGTATATTGAATAGACTCTCCTACAAGTGTATTATTCATGCATTCATTTTTTGAGTCTGATTTTACTATATTATGTAGATCAACCTGATTGGATACAGTGATTATTTGCAGTTCATGAATATCACTTGTAGTTAATTCAGAAAGTTCAAAATGGCCACCTTTTTATCTTGACTATAACACAATCACTGCATGATAGATCTGTTCAGTGTATGGCTAGTATAAGTAGCATTGCACATGTGTAATGACGCACGTGAATATGCAATGTTTTTTTTTGTTTTTTTTAGCTTTCATTTATCTGTATTATGAATAATATATACTAGGTGATTTGGACAAAAATAAATGTACATGTACAGTATATATTTAATGCTTTGATAAATAGTCTAAAACAAATTGATCTGAGAAATACAATACATTGAAAACCACATCTTTTCAATAAGGGAAGATGATTATTTACTTAGTAGACAAATATTTGCAAGCTGGTTAAACAATCCATTCCTTGAAAAATAAAAAATGAGAATGCCAAGTAGTTAAATTAATTTTTAATGAAATTAAAACTTGATAAGTTGATTATGATATAAAAATAATAAATTATAGTTTTCAATGATAACATACAGTAAAATACAATTATACTGTTCACGTTCATATTATTGATTTCATTACCATGCTTACTTTACTTACCAAAGATTTGGTATTTTTTACAACTTACCTTTGATGCAATGTGCAAGGCATGCTAGCGTCCATGCTAAAGTCTGCAGAGGCAGGGACCACATAATTCACGTTACTTCATATCCTTCATATCCTAGAAATTTGAGATATGATTTAAAAAAATATATATTTGACCTAATAAGTGTTATTTTAAGTCATTCTATTTCCTTTTGGAATTGAGAGGTGTGTATCCCTTTTCCAATATTTATCCCATCGACCAAAGCAACAAGGAATAGCCATTTGTCCGTTTATTCATCTGTCTTGACGATATCTCAAAATGCAACTGAGATAACATTTCTTCGACTTATAAATATTTTAGAAGTATGAAATCTGCCTGACAGTGTTTCAAAATGGTGCCTTATTTTAAAATTTGCAGTCACATGAAAATATGTAAAAAAATCAGACAATTAAAATTCACATTTTGGGCGATATTTTGAGTATTGAATGTTACTGCTCAATTTCTAATATTGGTGATGTCAGCTAGAAAATATTGAATTTATAATGTGTCATCTCTGCAGTTAAGGAACTTCAATGTTTACCAATTAAGCTTATATTATCAATTTATCATAGGTTACGTCATATTTTCCTCTTTTAGCTTGATTAGATTGATACCTTGACACGTGACTTGGACTTGCACATGTGATTTTTTATAGCACCCATAGGGACTATTTTGTTGTTAATTATTGCTAGAAATTAAAGTACACACAAACAGGGGTGGGTCTTGAAACTGATGACTAGAAAGGTGCGTGGGTAAGACTTCCATGAAGCAAGTATGGGGGAAGGGGGAGGGGTAGGCAAGTCAGGAAAATGGGAAAGAGGAGTTAGGGCAAGTTTGGGGAATGGAGGAGCGGGGTCAGCAAGTAGGATATTGGGAAAGAGCAGGTAGGAAATAGGGAGTGTTCCAGAGACCTGATTCAAAACTTTGATCTGCTCAAATAAGCGTTAATTTTGAGAATCCTTCCATGCTTGCAAAGGCAACATTTTGGGTCCATTTTGAAAATCTGGGCCTTATGTATAAAAAACAGAGGCCTGTTTTTCTGATGCAAACCCATTCTTTTTAAAAAGGCCTGTTTTGCAAATGAGTAGCTACTAATAGGCCTAAAATAAAAAATAAAGCATAGTCTCTGAATCCTTCACCACAGTTGTGATGATCAGGGTCTCATATCGTCCATTGATACCTTTTCATGGCCAGTCACTTAACTTGAGAAGTTCAAAGGAAGTTTGTAAGAAAGTCAATTTCCCATCATTATCAGAATATTCAGTAATACATATAAACATCAATATAATGAAAAGAACTGGGTTAGGGTTAGTGTCTTAATATTGACAGGTATGTCATTCACTTTAATCCCACTTGAAAATTTACATTTCTTCTTTGTTCCTCTGGTATACAAAGCCATTTACTTTGAATGTTTTGTTTTGTTATGCGAGTTCATTTCATTCTTTAACTGCCAAATAAAGGAATGGTAATATATATGTACATGTATGTTGAAAATTAGAAATATTAGAAAATAGTAAAAACAAATTCTAAGTCTTACCGAAAAGTCTCTCCATTTCTATCACATTAATTCATGGTATGGTATTTTTATTATAACATGGCAGACCATTAGTAATGGACTTCACCTTATTGTCCTCAACCATACTGAACCCAAAATATTTTATATATATTTATTTTTTATCACACTTTTAAAAAGTGGATGACACATAAATCTTGTAACATATTCATGTATTTCCAGATATACCCAAGTTCAGGTTACCAGTGAGGAAGAATACACAGATGGTACAATGGACAGAGATAGCTTAAACAGTACTGCCTCACTAGCCACAGTGGACTACACCAGAGATAGTCTTGATACAGTCCATAGCAGTCTTGAACCAGTTAGAGACAGTATTGAACCAGTTAGAGAAAGTATTGGACCAGCTAAAAGCCCAGATAGTGGAATGGAGTTAGATTACGACAAACTGAAACTCAATGGTTCCTTATCAGGTATTGATGACTTTTATATTCACTCTTTATTTTCCAGTTCCAATTTGCGAACCATTTTGGCCTTTATCTTTCAAAATATCAGGTATAAAAAAATCTATTGATATCTTATTCTTATGCATTTAGTTTTTGAGTTTTAAATGTAGAAATGGTAAATGGTCTAATTACATTTAGCATGTAAAACGTGCAAAAAATACTGACTAGCTATAGGATGAAAACATATTCCATGAAAATATTATATTAAAAAGAGATACATGTCAATGAATGATAGAAGATATCCTATGCTTTTTGAAGGATGTAATTTTTATCCATGAGTGGATATCGATCCTTCTTCATGAGTGAGTGCAGCAAAAGTATGGAGGTGGGTTACATGTATATCAACAAATAGATAACAATGATTATCCTACACTTAGTGTACTAAATGTATCACAACAATAAAAAATAAATTTGATATCTATTGGCAAAATGAAAAACTGGAGGATATCGCCATGATATACTCCGGAAAACCAATATGCGGAGGATATCATGATAATATATTCCGTAAAATATGTGGAGGATATTGTGACGATATACTCTGCTGATATTATACTCTGTTGATTCCCACCAAATTGAACTATTTGAACTACATGCAATTTATTTTTCAATCATATTATACCGATTTAGTACACTACTAGTAAGTGTAGGATAATAAGAACATCCTATGATTTTTTCAGAATATCATTTTAATCAACCTCGGTGATGTTGACCAAGCCTCGAAACTCGCATTGCTATGGTAGTTAATAACTACCTGATTTTAAAGAAAAGCTACCTACTATTTTACCCATTAGTTATTTTGGCCACCCACACTCTTAGATTGAGCCAAGTATTGCATGATTTGAAGCAATATTTACCAATTTTGCAAAGGGTCGCTCAGTTACAATTGCACTTTACATAGTTCAACTTATATGAGAATACCCGAGGCCTGTTGATACACGCACTCGTTCGCTTCGCTCTCATGCAGATATCAGTATCACCTGTTAGATAAAAATGATATTCCTCAAAATTGATTTTATATTTATCTCTTTGATTTCAAAATTTTCTCCTATACACTTGTTCTAGAAATAAACATTCAAAAGTTCATGGTGGCATGTAAACATTAAAATCATTTTAATAAACTTTTCTAAAATTGTGCCTCTTTCGATACTTAAATCATATCTTATGAATATGACATGATATCCTATTAGTACATGTTCTTCGTTATTTTTCACAAGTTTTGAATTTAGTGTCTAAAATAGTTCAACAAATGAGGACCTTACCTGATTGACCATCAATATAATGTGCTGTCACTGTGTTCAATCCTGGATAAGGTATATATCCACTCATGGATAAAAATTACATCTCTCAAAAATCAAAGGACATTTATTTGAGAAACGTTATTGCGTATCTCAGATTCTATCTTTGATATACCTGGTCACACAAATCAAACATGATAGTGGGAATAACAAATATTTGGATTTGTGGAATATCAATTGTTGAGAACCACTTTAGCTGAGCAAATGTGACCTTCAAAGTCCTTAATGGAAATTAAATGACGTTTAATATATATCCAATATCAATATACAGGGTGACCGGAAAAAAAGGAGACCATTGAAATAGGCAATATCTCCTAAAATAGACTAGTGACATCAATGAAATTTTGCATACATCAGGACAGTTCTATGGAAATTTGTTCCTGAAAGTGTCAATACAAGCAGTCAACTGGTTCAGGAGCTATGATCATTTACATAACATGCTCCAAATAGGCGCAATTGAGACCAACGCAGAGCTGGATACATTTGGCAAATACCCTTACATATTCCGACCTTGTTATGGCATTACATTTAGCATTTATTGCCACCTTTAGGTCAGCAATTGTCTCAGGATTGTTTTGGTACACATTGTCTTTCAAATTGCCCCACAAAAAGAAATCAGGTGGATTCAAATTTGAGGTGTATGGAGACGAAGCTTATCTGACCTATGGCTTCTGACTCAGTGGTCCCACTCAGTTACAGTATCATCCTAAGGAGGTTTTGGGCAGCCCTTGGTTTCCATATGGGATTTAATTGTGCCATATAGTGGTTTTAGTAACATGGCACTATGCCCAATACCTAAAGTGACTCTTAAGATTTGGTAAATCAGCACTTTGGCAACAGGATGATGAACCACATGTCAGATAACCCTTCATTGCCATTACAGCCTAGACTTGAATCCTGCTGATTTCTTTTTGTATGGATATTTGAAAGACAATCTATACCAAAACAATCCTCAGACTATTGTTGACCTAAAGAAGGCAATCACTGCTATATGTAATGCCATAATAATGCCATAGAGGGCAGAACATGTAAGGGTAGTTTGCCATATGAATCCAACTCTGCTTTGGTCTCAATTGTGCCTATTTGGAGCATGTTATGTAAATGATCATAGCTCCTGAACCAGTTGAATGCTTGTATTGAAACCTTCAGTAACAAATTTCCATATAACTGTTCCAGTGAATGCAAAATTTCATTGATGGCACTTGTCTAGTTTAGGAGAAATTGATTACTTCAATGGTCTCCTTTTTTTCCGGTCACCCTGTACCTTCCCCTTTCTAATGGTATAAATAGCATCATTCTTTTGGCCCTAATTTGCTCAACTACAGGTGTTTCCCTTGATGGAATAAAGTAACTGAATAATATCGATCAAATATTGATTGTGATGTTTCACTTAATTGGGGTTATGTAATTGGAGCTTTTAGAGATTGGGTTTATTACTGTAAGTATCATGAACATGTTTTTTATCTAAATTGTTTATTTATAGATGAGCATGTTGTGGAAGCTAACTCCAGTAGGGACATATCTGAGTTCACCATGGTAACAGCATTAGGAGACAGTCAAATGTACAACACATACTACATGAACCCTCAATCAAACGATAACCCGAAAGATTTAGTCACACAAGGGGAACTTAATTTAAGAGAAAATCACAAGAATGAGCAAATTGAAAAAATAAATCCAAAACTAAAAAATGAAAGACGAATATCATTTGAAAATGTTGTAGTGCCATCTATAAAACCTATTGTCACCAAAGTTTCTCCACAAGCCATGAACCAACAACCATATCATATAACAGAACTTGAATCTATGATCCCAAGTTTAACATTAGTTGAGAATGCTGCAGCTGTTAATAGAGAAGAGGATATCACAGGAGGTGCATTTAGTGTCTATACCCCAGTTAAACATACTGATGCGGGCAAATCTGAAACAAGCCTTATAAGTGCATTCGATTTGGAGTCCAAAGCTACAAAACAATTATTTAAAGATGACACCTCACCTAATGAAGAGCTGTCTGATGCATCACCTGTTTCTGAAAAAATTGACAAGTCCCCTAATCGCCTTTCAGGTGCATCCACTATTTCCTTATATGAACCATCATCTCCAGAAATCTATAATGATTTTCCAGAATTATTTGTTGATATACCTAAACGACATTCAGAGGCTTCAACCATTATGTCAAAAGAATCTGATGTAAGTGATATAACTCGAGACAGTTTCACATCCCAAATGTCAGGAATGTCAAGCTTTGTATCTCAAAATAGTGATAGTTTGACCTCTCAGAATCCTAGTTCAGATGAGGATTTGATCACCCGTAAGCTCAGCTTGATGTCTGGAGTGGACTATTTGAAGTCTGATAAAGAGAGTTTGATATCTGAGGCGTCTGATTATGAAGACTCTCTAGTACAGAACAGTAGTGCAAGCACTGTAGAGGAAACTGTCATACAGCGTAGGATCTCAGAGATGAGCAATGGTTTCACAGGTACAGGGCTGGACCCTCCGAGGAGCCTAAGGAATCTACGAAGCATGGACAGCTGTTTTAGTGACGCATCCTCAGTCGGGACTGCCAACAAAGCTCTCAGTGAGAGTCAATTTAGCCTTGGCGGTCTCAGTGATAGAGTCGATACCCCAACCTCCATAGTTAGCAGTTATGAAGGAAATGAAACAAATACTGAATTTGATTTAACAAAAGATACAAAATCTACCGATTCTAGTGATGAAACATTAGATTCAGAAAATGCTGAAGAGAATGCAGATCATGAAAATGTTGTATCAGTAGAACCAGATGTTAAGTTAAAGGCTGGTAAGGACATTAAGGCAAAGGCTGAGTCAGGACCTATTGATGACACAAATCCAAGTGATGAGGTTAGATCTATGGCTGCTTATTCCACAGAACAACCTGTTACAACCCAACCACAGTCATCTGCTCCTATATTTGGTAAGTTATTCAGCCAAACTATATGACTGTGTGTGCTCTACCAAATTTGAATACCTTTTCATGTTGTGAATGAACAACTACATCTGAGTTAAGTTCCCAAACTAAGCACACTTAATGAACTTTAAGACTGGTGTTAAACTGTTTTAAAGTACAGGTTGGATGTTTGAATGTACAAGATGGTGTAAAAAATTGGAACATCTTTTAATTGTACTCATAATATTTGTTTCACCGAAATTTCACTGAGCATAGTTCAGCCAATTGTCTATTCTGTTGTAAAGCTTATTGTTCAATCCGTTAAGTTATACATTAAACTAGCAAATGTTGGATAGGGCCCCTTTTCTTAAATTATAAACTTTATAGCCAATATACATTTTAGACTGAACTTTGCTCATTGGTATTTTGGTCTATTTTAGTGGAGAAATAAATTTTCTATATACATAAAGTAATATTCCATTTTTTTGGACCACCCTGTTTTTCTCAAAGTATTTTTCAAATTAATCAAAGAATTCACAATGCTACCATTCTATATTCAATCTAAATATCAATCACTAAACCAAAGAGTCTTCAACATGTTTCACTTAATTGTTTCACTTATTAATTATTTGTTTGTAGAGTCTCAACTTGACACATTACTGGCGAAACTGACGTCAGAGTCTCTTGAGAAGAAGAAGCAAAGGCTTGAAGAGTTGCGTGAAGATAAGATGCGTCTCCAGAGAGAAATTGAGGAACAAGAACATAAGATTTACCCCAGGGTAAGGGAAACTATGCAACTTGATTTCACTCATTGATTTATCACTTCGTAAAGTTATAATGACATCAAAGTTAGAGAACAATGGATTTTACGAATTCTTAACTTAACGAAGTTTCTGTTAATGGCCCCCTGACCCATGCCTTATTTATTGACACTCATTGATTGCTAGACAACATTCTCACTTTTTAGTTCATTATTCCATTACGTTGATCTATTAATTGAGAAAACTGTTAATTCATTGGTTAAAGTACTCACATGTAGAATTCTCTTTGTTATAATGTTAGACAGTACATCATAGCATCATTTCATCTGGAAGAAGACAGTTCAAAACAAATAATGCAATAGTACTTTGGTATTCATTCAGGTTTAAGCCCAAACTAAATTGTTGTATTGAACTGATATGAAATTTGTTTACTGATATCAACAGGGTGATCCAAAAGGAAGGTCCTGAAACTGTCCATCAGTCAATGTAAAACAGAAAATGGGAATTTTAAAAAATTTTGAGATCTCTGAATTGAAGCTCAAATAAATTATTGTACTGACAAACCTTAAATGGGTGAGAATTCTGAAATTTCACAGTCTCTGACATTTTTCAGATTCTTTAATAATTTGCTCACTGGGGTTTCCCACTCTATGTAGTTGCTGCTTTCTACTTCACAATAGATTTGGCCTCGAGCCTAGCAAAAGATTTGTATTGCATTCTATCATCTTGAGATCATTGTTCCAAGAAGACCTTCTCAAGGACCTATGAAAATTGATTCAGGCTATCTGAAAGTTCATTGAATTGAAAACAAATTATGGCTGCAAGTTAAAGATAGGTATTGATTTTGATTTTTATCTCAATAGAAATATATTTATTATATCCTAAAATTTGCTTACTTATAAACTTGAGCTGGTGTAAAATTTCTATTGCCTTGAGTTCACATCCACTAAAGGTGTCACAACGACCCAAAGTCAACCTAAATTCTACAGTACGTTGACTCAGTTGAGTCAGAGTGACTACTATTCTAGTACTAGAATATAGTAACTTAGTGACTAGCGCAACATTATTATCTATTTGATGTTATCATAATATGGCTATTAAAAAGATTGCTCAACTAATAAGTCAAATTTATTCTATTGTTTTCTTCTGACCCAACTCTGAATTACCCAACCCGCACATTTTTTACTGGCCTGACCTGTGACACCTCTAATATCCATCTTCTGATAGCAGGCCACTCCCATCGATAACTAAGTGAGAGATTTATATGTGAATTCGGTTTGGGGACACTTGCTAATTGTAAGGCTACACTTCAAAATATTCCGAGATAAATATTATAACATACTTTATTTATTCAATGATCATGCATAATGTTTATCAAATGACACCTCCAAGAAGGTACACAATCATTCAGCAGTTTCTCTGAATGTAGTGTCAATGTACCATACAATTTTGAGGAAAAAATCCTTTCACAAGTGGTGGCATATTTTTGGGGGGCTTTTATAGCCCATTTATTTCATTTACATTATACACAATACATATATTATTTATATAAGTAGAAAAACTTGTGCCGGAAAAAAAGAAAAAAGAAATAAAGGTAGATGTCACATTGGTAAGGAGTCTTTTTCATTTTTAACATAGTTTATAAGTTGAGGATGCTAGGGGACTCATTTGAATCTGTCGTTGTAACTTTTTGCTTCCTTTGAAAATAGTATGTCTTGCTTCACACTGTTCTTCCATCTTTATAAGTCTGGTTTTTCTTGTGCTTGTTTAGTTTTTTTTATATAAATAAGGTAAAGTAAGTTTTCAGATTTTGGTAGTCTATTGTTGCCAAGAATTACTTCATTGTTGGGATTCACCTCACATATATTAAAACAGGACTGCTTGAAAATTGCAATAGATGAATGCATGTTCAATTGAGTCTTCCTCTTGTTCACAAATGTCACACAGCGCAGATTGTTTTTATGCATTTGAACTAATAGATTATTAAAGTAAAGCGCTCTGTGTAGCATTTTATATTGGAAGTATTGTAGTCTCACGTTGTTTGTGATTGTTTTTGTTAAAAAGTACACTTGATTCCAATTGATGATTTGCGATCACCGGATAGATTTTACCTGCAGTGACGTCACAATTAGGCAACACTGATGGAGCTGTTTGATTTTGAGAGATTTTCTTCTGTATTTCGTACTTTTTTACTTCGACAAAATACATGACAACAGTATCCATAAGCAAAATACTTGAATTCTGATCGCAAAAAGTCAATTAATGTCAATGTTTTTTTCCAATTTCTCTATCCATTTCGCCTGTGTCTTGTCTGGTTTACATTTCATTGACTTGGTTAGCTGGTGGTACATGAAACTATTCTGTGATCCACTGTCTAAATATCTCTCATAAAGATTTTGATTATGTGGATTTTCAACTAGTATATCCCGCTTCCATTCTTGTGGAATACCTTGTATTATACAATGTAGGCATGAGAAATTATTTCCAATTATATTATATTTTTGTTTTATTGTTTTACTTGGTTGTTCTCCATTGTCTCTGTAAATGTCCTTTATGTATCGAATTCCTTTTTCATACCAATCTTCATTCCATATTGGTTTCCCATTTATCCTGATGTGTGAGTTATTTTTGAAATTCACCTTTGACCATATTTTAAATGTCTCTTTCAAGTGGTGACTTATTGTTATATTCACCTTTTTTGTTGATGGTGTTCGATGGTTGGTGTTTGGCATTTGATGGTTGGTCTTTGGTGGTTGGCATCTGTCACAGAAGGCAGATGGTGACAATTTTCATGTTTAATGCCTTGTTTGCTTCTCAGAATGTTTACAAAATTTACTTTTGCAGGGCTTGCATTAACTCCGTCACAGGAATAATATGATTAAAAGTCGGTTAACATTTAGAGAGTTCATTTACAAGTACATCCAAGTTGTCTAAAATTGTTCAGTAGAGAATTTTATGTGAACTTTGGTTTCAATGTCATCGATATGCATATCATAATACATATTTGTAAAGGGGCACTTTGTAAAATGTACTAAAATAGAGAATAAATATAGAAAACTATAGGATTTTTTTTCTGCATTCAAGAAAATTATTCTATTAAAATTGATATTGTAAATCTTATTTACTGACCATGTCTTTATTGTATATGATGTAACATCTGAAGAACCTCATTTGCAATTAAAGCAGGAATTATATTTGTCTTAAATTATCACTTACCTGAGGTAGCTATCTTGGCATGAAATTTCTTTCTATATCGGAGGAGTCTTCTTGAGCGATACCGCTGTCACATAGGATGACCAATTTTATAAACTGGTATCGTTTGCCATTAATCTCACTCTACACTGTTGTTTTCTGAACATTAGTTTGGATAGCATAACTGAAATAGTATTACTGTATTTCCGTGTAGGTTCATCTCTCAGGTAATTTAGTTCATTTAGTGTTACTGTAGTTTAGAATGGATGATGTTCAACTGAGATAACTGGCATTTCCACGATTTTGCTTTGCGCATACACAATTCTAAGCAAATATATGCAAATGATTGTTCATGTGATCATATCCTGCAAATTGATTGGATAGCGCTTCGACTGATGTGTATGATGATTAATTATGAATGAGTGGCAAATAGTACAAAATAATTGTGGGATCTACTCACTTCTTCTGTTTCTGTCTATTGAATACTCTAATGATATTGCCATAGCTACAACCTGAAAAACAATTAAATTTCTAGAAGTCCTTGAAATAGCCTTGCAGGCCAAAATTCCTTTCGTTGAAATAGGCATTGATTTCACTTGAAACAATGTATAATTCTTCTTGTAGACATACCTGAATTGATTTATGCTGTTGTATATAAATCAGATTGACCCTTAGTTGAGCATTAAATTATTAAGAACATTTTATTATCCCACCAAACAAAGTTTGTAAAGATATAGAGGAGATGTCCATCCATTCGTCTATCCATCTATGGCTGTTCGAGGGGATTTGCTACACTTTGGCGTTGCCGTTTTCTACTTCTGATTTGATTCACCTGATTTTCAGCTTGTAAAGAAAACTAATATAACTGGTCCATAATTTAAGGTTGAACAGTAGATTAGAAAATCCTTTTCAGACGCCTTGAATGTATGCTTGCTAGTTGTAAGGTTGGACCTGATGTGTTATGATATGCCTCCAGCCTCTTGCTGTGTATACTTCATGTTTTACTATAATTTATAATAATATTTTCTGTTTTTATAGTCTCCCAAGCCAAAAGCTCAACGCCCAGTGGAAGGGGCTCCTATGGTTATTCCTAAAGTTGCGTGTACTGGTATCCCAGCCCTGACCTTGGTAAGTCTCATTGGTACCTGTTGTACAGTAGAGTTAAAAAGCTTTGTTACTTGTTCCTGTGTAACAAAATGAATTCCACAAACCCGAGATTTGGAAATATCTCACAAAGTACGTATGCATTATTACAGTTATGGAATTTAGTTGAATCAAATTGAATCGAATTTGATTCAATAGTTTTCTTAGTATCGACTTAGATTTAAAAGAAAACTTTTTTTGTCAAAATACTTTGATAATCATACAATTTCTCTAAAAGTTTCCTCTAAAAGTTTGGCAATTGGATGTTCCCTTTTATAAACATATGTTAAAGCTTGTAGTCTTTTATGATGTTTGAGGATTTTACTTTTTGTCATAAGTTTCTGACCCATCATTTTTGAGGAACAAATTAAAGATTCACCGTATGCAATATTGACAGATTCTAACACGCTTCTGGTTATTAAACTTATTCAATGGGATTTTTACCGATCTATAAACAATACCTGAGTGGTGACTGCCATTTAATTACCATTAATTCCGACATAATTATATTTTTTTTATTTCATATCCAAGACCCATACCAAGGGAATGGAGTTATTAAAAGTATTGAATAATTTATATTCAAACATGACCGTGCTCTATTCGAATTTCTCAACCAATCAGAATGCAGCATAGCCAATATAGAACGTTCTCTAATTCTCCAAAGATCCAAGACCATGCTCTATTCAATCTGCAATTTGCATTGTTTTGAGTGACGTCACATCTCAGCTGCACATCTGGGGCTCTGTCCGGGGATAGCTGTTCTTTTTTACTCCCTCCTCCCTCTATATTTATTTTTATTTTATCAACACCCCATGTTTGCATACACCGTATAAAATCTAAAACGGGGAGTAAAATAGAACAGCCCAAACAAATTCTAAAATTTTTCCGGCCGACTTCAGAATCTTGACAGCATGCGTATTCTTCCTTCATGCCCGTTCCACAGACACTGCTTTTACTAATTTTTATGTTTGAATCGTTTGACAGAATGTTAGTACAAATGCACTCACCTTCGGTTCGTGCTTTGTACAACATTCTGTCCAACTCGTGCTGAATTTCACCATATTGAATGGCCTATCATTATTTATTCCTTAATGAAATGGTTGCTTTATTTGATTAAATGCATTTATTGAATGATGACAAACACTGAACCAGCGTAAAATACAATCATATCAAGAGCAACTTATTATCCCATCGAACGAAGTTCGGAGGGATATAGGGAACGCCTCCATCCGTCCGTCCGTCCGTCCGTCCGTACGTCCGTCCGTCCGGGCAATAACTCAAATACCGTTGGCCCGATTTTGTTCATATTTTGTACACATATACCCTATGGGGGTAGAAGTTCTGCTAAAAAGCCGATTTTCAAAATGGCAGCTCATTTAAAAATGGCGGCCATTTTAGTGCCGATTTTACAGTAATTTAGGTGCAATATGTAAAACTGTGATAGCATTATGTTTTAAATGTAAAAAAATTATATAGGACATTGATAAAGCTAGAAATAGAGATACTAAAGAAGCACATGGCAGCCATCTTGAAAAATGGCGGCCTTTACTCGTTATTTTACGATTTTTCCTGTAACTCGAAAAAGTAGTGGAGCGATTTTGTTCATATTTGGTATGTGAATACTATAAGCATGGCTCACTGTCTAATGACACTTTTGGTAGGAGGAGGCCATTTTGAAAATTTGCCGCCATTTTGAAAAATGGTCGCCATTTTAACATATTTTACTTTAACTCAAAAAGTAGTGGAGCGATTTTGTTCATATTTGGTTTGTGAATACTATAAGCATGGCACACTGTCTAATGACATTTTTGGTAGAAGGCGGCCATTTTGAAAAATGGCCGCCATTCTAATGTATTTTACTATAACTCAAAAAGTAGTGGAGCGATTTTGTTCATATTTGGTATGTGAATAATATAAGCATGGCACACTGTCTAATGACACTTTTGGTAGAAGGCGGCCATTTTGAAAACTGGGCTGTGTAACAGGAGCCATTATTTCCCAAATATGGGCACAGTCAATTCCTTGGCAGCTTATGGCTTAGTTGGTTGGGCAAGATGCAAATGAGGTCAGCGGAACCATGATTGTACAAGATATAATAGTGCAGTATCAGATTTATAATGTTAAATTCCCTCCAAAGTGTGATATTTGTCATTTTTGTCTTGTTTAGATTTGAGAATTGAATGAATAAGAAGTCATGACAGTTGTATAAAGAAACTGAACTAATTTAAATATTCATTATACTTCTGCAGAATGACCGTGAGCTTAATGCAGTGACCACGCTACATACAATTTGTAATGGCCAGCAGATTGTCAAGGTTATGGAGAAGCCTCAAACCCCAACTATCATACGACACTGTAATGGTAAGTTATCGATGAATTATTAATGGCTTTAATTGAAAATATTAATACAAATCTATGTTGTCATAAAAACGTGTGTATTATAAATTGTAAGATATTTTTCAAAGAAAATGATAACACCTTATTATTTCACCGCCACAAGTGGTGACATTTGTTAGTCTCCAACTATTTTGTGGACAGTGAACGGTGTCTGGCATTTGGTGTCTGGCAGTTAGTGTTTGGTGGTTGGAATCTGTAAAAAATGGCAGTTAGTGACATGTTGCATCTTAATGCCTTGTTTTAATCAGTCAGAGTAGTCTCCTGGAAATAAATGAATTTAGAATCTGCAGGACCTGCAACAGAGATTAGACAAAATGTGTATACATTTTATCATTTTATTTTACATATCAGCACCCAAGACAACAAAAGCTGCGGTTAAGAGCACATTAAAGAAGACTGAAAACACAACCCCAGGCTCTAAATGTATACCGAAGACGAGGGTCAAGTTCAATGAGAACACACCCCCTGCTGGGTCTCCTTACAGACATAGTCCCAGGAGTGCTACCACTAAGAAGTCCAAACCAATTTTACAAGAAGTGAGTTTTTCAACATGAATGAATTTCATCACCTAAGATCTAATAATGTTTAGAATGTTGTGGTAACTTAATTAATGAGTCAACATTTTGAGGTTTTAAGCTTAATGTATTAACCTATTACAAATTGGAGTTAAGTGTTGGAAGAGGAGATAAATGGGATCCTTTAAACGGTATTACTTTTGATAACTGATTTTCCTTGATGATTTCAGCATTATTGACTTTACGATATCGTATTCATCTATTTCGATCTTTAGTCTGTAAACGTTTGATAAATAATCTCAACCTTTGCTGTGGGTTCAACATCTGTAACAAATGACATTTTGCATGTAAGTGCCTTGTGAGCTTATACTTTAACCTCAACCCTTTATTTTCAGAGATCTCAGAAGTACACATTTCCTTTCTCTGGCCAGGTTCCATCACCAATTGTCGTAACCAAACCCAAGCGGACCCATAAGTTAGCTGATCTAAACACCTCTGTTTCACAGAACAGCAAGAAGGCGCCATTCAAATAAAGAGCCATTCTTACATCGTAATTTTTCGCCAACTTAACATTACGTGCAAGCTAAGATTGCAAGTCTTGCTATATTATAACACCACTTTGGCACGAGGATGCCATTTAAATAAAATAAACTTTTCATACATTAGTATCAAAAAGCATGTAAAACAATTCATTGATATCCCACACATACATAGCAACCCAAGATATCATTTTAAATTGAGTGATATTGTACCACAAACTTAGACATACATCATCATTTTGCTGACATCATAATGCAAGCCAAGATGTCATGCTTTTGTTGACATCACACTGCAAGACATGGCAATGAGTGTTCAACAAGTAGAGTGTTCAGTGAGGAAAGTGTTCAATGGGTGTGTTCATCCATCTACTCTGTTTTGCTGAATTGTGCAATTTGCTTTAAAATTATTATTATTCAAAAATGTATACATAAGCTGTATAAGTACCAATGTACCAGTGGAATATGTTATTAAGTTAAGTTTAATTTAAATAAATACACAAAGCATGTGTTCAGATTTCAGATCAGTTCAATATTGGTATCAATTATAAAACAATTATGTTCAACTGCTCTTTTGAAAAAAATGCACATACAATTTAGATTTATCTCAGTTGGTGTCGGGATGAATGTATAGATGGCATGTCAAATACATTTTAAACCAACCAGTGGTGCCATCTTTTAACAGTACTTGTTACTGTATAGTTGATCTCTCTGTACATAAGAAACAATTTCTAAAAGATTTGCATATAATGTAAACTGTAAATACGCATAATCTTATATATTTTAGTCAGAATTTAAAATTCTGCATTATGAGTGGATTTCTTTCATGAGTGTTAGTTGAAGTAAATAATTTCCAAGTGCCACTTGCATGGGCGTAGCGCTATTTTTCTAAGTAGTACGCCACCACCACAGGAACAAGAGTTGAGTGAATCAAAAACGAGCATGCAGGGGGGTCCCCCAGGAAATTTTTTAAATTTGGTTGTATTTGGAGCGGATTTGAAACCATCTGGTATGCCTGTGCGTACCCAGCGTACCAGGCGCTACGCCCATGACTTGTGTTTGAAGAAAAGTATTAGTTTTCTTTTTAGGTTTTAGTGTGTTAATGTACAGTATATATTTTATTAAGATAGAGATGTTCTATGTATCATAATATCATTACGGTATCGTGTTCAGATTTCAACAATGAACAACTTCTTAAATATTTTTTTAGTAAACTTGCAAAAATGTAGTTTATTAACTTGCTGAAATAATTTACAGTAATTAATCGTATTTAATGATTGTATTGTTAAACCCTGAAAGTCTGTATGGAACTAGAGATGTCTAGGTTATCAGTTTTAACTTAAAGCCCCCGATAAATCGGGCTACGTATACCGCCGTGTTTACATTAGGGGATTAGAAGAGTTTATTTTTACTTAGGTGTGCAAGCAATATCAATATTAGGCCTTCATGCATGTACTCGTGTGTACAATCTGCATGCCCTTCAATATTATATAAGCCAGGCTATTCAAGTACAACATAATGTACACGATTTATGTGTGTATACGAACTACATGGGAATACAATTCCCTGGGAAACAAAACACAAATACTTTTTATATGTTCAAAATGAGCCATTTGTTTGATGCATACACTTAATAATACCTTCATATATAAACATCTACAAAGTATATCTAATAGTCATTTTCAATTCCAATGGTGAAACTTGCCTGGTTACGATTATACGGGAAATCAACACGGGACGATAGTTGTACACCTTCCTGGCTTACCTCTGAAGCCTGTACCCTGTAATCTCTTTATATAGGTTAGCGAGAGCGCTGCGCCTGCGCAGTTTTAAACTTTGGCGCACACTTTAAGATAGATTGAAAACAAAATGAAAATATTTAGTGAATAAATGTACAATATTACTATGATGTTTATGCATTTATATGTGTTTGAGGCGCGCAAAGCATGTTTGTAAAATGTTGTATTTTTGACAGCAAGAATAAGGTCATAAATCCTGCCTGATTTTTTTATTATAATTCGCAAGTCTTGAGAAAATTCAAAAATACAGTTTTTCCAAAAAACGATCTGAGGGGCATGTATGGGAACTTTTTGATACAACAACGCCTAATGGCTGAAAGCCGACATGTAAAGAATCAAATTATTATCTTGATTACTTGTCCCACTAAACCCATCTTCTTAAAATGTTAAAAGGGGATTGTCCATATGGAGATTGTGTTATTTTCTGGATTTTCTCATTACCGTTTTTATATAGTTTTATGATTGATAGATGTCACAATATAAAATTATACAAAATAGTCCTATTTATTAATCGTTATTGCCATCTATAGTTCAAAACATGACTGTTTATCAATCTTCTTGAATATTCACCATTCACACCGGAATAGCCTGACTACGGTAAAGTCAGATAGGTGCTCTATTAAACATACAGTTCATGAAAATCTAATTGAAGCGACGGTTATGTCCGCCATTTGTGACAACGGTATCTGACTTTACCGTAGTCAGGCTAATCCGGGGTGCTATTGTACAATCACCAAGATGATTTTTAAGACAATCTATGGAAATTAAAGAAAATAATTCCATAACTCCATGTAGACTGCGTTGATTTACAGATTTCAATAAAACCCTTAGCAACACAACATCCATTTTTCTATACTTTTATAATTGAACAGTTTTTGTTAAAGGCCCCGTATAAAGTTTAAACCACTTTGGCTTATATTGTAGTCTTACCCAATGTTATCAAAGTGTGATATGTGAAACTTTTTTTTTTAATTTCAAAAAGTGTTTTTTGATAGACTTTTTGTTCCAAAATTTGTAAATTTATTTAAAACCAACTTTTAGAGGTCACTCATATCTTTTAATTAGCCACAATTCATACCAATGCATAGCAGTCATCCTCCCATGTTTTTTTCCGAAAAAATTAAGAAAATCGGTTCAAAAATAAGCGAGAAATGAACTTATAAGTGCATGAAAATGGTTCTGAGAAAAATGCAAAAAAAAAAGAAGATTTTAGTTCGCATAGAAACCAATGGTACAATGATATCTAAAACATAATTTATTCTTCCTTTTAACCTGGTTAGACAATCCACATTGGTTTTTTATGAAAGTCTAGCATATTTAGAAAAGATTGACATCGAAAAAAAAATTCAATTTTTTTCAAAAAGTTTTTGTTACCTTAGTGACATCACTAATGTTTCAAAATATTTTTGATATGCTAAAACATTGAAGTGGACCATTAAATATGGCATTTTATTATTGAAATAGTGTGTCCTTTGTTCAATCTTTGCATTGGTGTTAAAAAAATAATCTTTTTTGAAATGCATTAAGAAATATTTGATGATTAAGAAATTTCAACTTTTTTTGAAAAATGGCGGGAAATTTGAATATTTGAGAAATAAATGCTCACAACTTTTTTTTCAAAAAATTTTTTTTTTCAAAAATCTCTAAAATCACTTTTTAAGTCCTGACAAATAGTAAATGAATGATAAGAAAATATTTTCAAACTTTAGACGGGGACTTTAAGAATTAATTTTCTCTATACATTACTCTTGACTCATTACAGCATTACAATCTATTTTGATTGGTGAAACATAATATTATAAAAAGTTATTTGTGGAAGGATCAGATCAATCAAATATAATCTTAATGAAAATTTGTCTCCTACTATTACTTCACTTATAACCGGAAACATCAATAATTGATGTTGTCTTACTGCTTAATTAATTGTAATTGTTCTATTCATAATAAAAGATCCAATATGTTAAATATAATGTAAATACAGTAAAACTTGTAAAGGGGAATACCTCTTGAAGTTGAATACCTCCATAAGTGAAGCACTTTTCAAAGTCCCATTACACATTCATTAATTTAATGTGAACTGAACATGTGTAAGTGGAACACCACCAAGATGAAGCAGTCTTTTAAGGTACTAAAGGTGTTTCACTTACACAGAGGAACCGTCTTGTTATAATAAAATACTAAAGGTTGCAGATTGAGCACAATTTAGAAAAATAGTTTTCAAAATATTTTTTCCCACCCCATGACTCTTTCTTTTGGGGTATGAGATAATTGCAATGTATCGGTCCTTCCCATTAATTATTTTTGTAAAACATTTCACACTTTGATCCATGAACGAACTATTGATCTATTTCCTTACAATTGTAACCATGATATCTCCTTAAATCATAGATTTGAGTCAGCAGTTTGGGAAAAATTGTGATATTGATTAATTTTGGTTAGAATAATAGTACAGTATAGTATTATTAACAAAAAATATGATGGTAATAATTAATTATTTTGCTTTATTAAATTAGGTAGGTTTGTTTGTGTTGCTTTGAACTGAGCTCATGAAATTCTTATATAAACTGACATGTGTATAAATCAAAGATGGTCTAGCATTCAATCTTCTCATCTCTCCAACAATACCAAAATTTTGCAGAGAATAAAAATTTAACCCCTATATTTTCTGAATTTCTATATATCTACCATATATGTATGGGGGTCTAATCAGTGATAAAATGAAAAAATAGCCACGGCAGAAGTAATCTTTGAATCTATACAATGTAAGCCAAAACAAGCCAGAACAAGGTCTTGGGTTACACTAGAAATACTGTACAGTTAATTGTATAGGAGTCATATGCTTTCAACCATAATATGGACGATATTATAAGTTATTGAATGATTTGAAGTGCAACACAGGATATATTCTGTTCAAGAAATTTTGACAAAGTCGAGTGCCAATACAGAATATCGAGACAGAATATATCCTGTATTGCACTTCAAATCATTCAATAACGCTTTTATCATGTGATCCTCTGTATTGCTACTGAGATTGTCCCTTACATACCAATATTTCTGTATTGCGACGAAGATGATCAACAGGGACAACCTCAGTAGCAATACTGATTGGTACAGCACAAGAACTGACCAATCAGAGGGCTTCATTTTACAGGTCATACGATAAAAGTTATTACTGTATTTTATATTGTTATATTATCAAACTTTGCCATACTGGTAAGTAGTTTTTGTAGATTTTACAAAAATGATTATAAAAATGTTGAATGTTTGATTAGCCTGTGATTAGCTTGAGACAACCTTTGGCCTGAATTGTAAGCCCATCCCTTATGATGTTATGGCCCTTTTGAATATTTGTGCTAATTGTATTGACCAGAACTGTAGCTCTGAAAGACATTTGATGTAACACCCTCTGATATTTTTTGTGTAGTCACATTTTTACCCTCTGGCATCATATTCTCATCAAGCAAGACTCATAATTTAAGAGATGTTTTTGATCTTCAAAAATAAATTTTCATTAACAAGTCAAGGAATGAAGATATTGCAAATTTGAAACTATGGGTGGATAATGGCTGTGTATAATTGCATAAGTGGGTTAAGCTGGGTTTTTAGACCAAGCTTATCTTTCTATAATGTCCTCTGTGTTAATCTCTTCAGTGTCTTCCATATAATCGAATTATGTAAGCTGAATAAATACATTTGTCTTATACTAGTTTTATGGCATACTGTAAGGC